AGTTGGTGCATCTCAGACGTCTTAAAGGTTTCATGACTCGGGAGAAAAGCATGTATGTGAGAAAAAAAACACAGTTTTCTTCTTTACATCCTGATATCGTTGATTTTTTTTATCCCTTCTATCTGAAAAGCTCTGCAGAAGTGCTCGCTTGTTTTTCTTCCCAGTGTCTTAAACAGTCAGTATGTTTGGAACCCGTGCTGGAAAGGAAGTCGGGCACAGACACAAAATAAAACATCTGTCTTCTTTTCAAAATAAAACACTCCGTGTTTCAGGAGGATCGTATTTCACACCATGCAAACGGGCGGAGACGAACAAGTGAAAGGTTTTTAGACGTCATTTCACCCCGATGACACCATGGATGAGGAGATGCTGATTCTAGAAGTCTAGAAGTAGATTTCCTCCTCTGGAAGGACACAATCTACTGCTTATATGGTTAGCTTCTGTGGCTAAGAGATGATTGTGCAATTGAACGTGAATCCGTAGGTTCTTGTGATTTCTCACGATTCCTGCTGTCCATAATCTGCCACAAAATTCGGATCTGGTAGGAATTGGCGTATGGTGAAAATCGCAGAATCTGAACCATTCTGGATGCGGCAGAAATCCCGGGTAAGTCAATAATTCGCTTTTCTCGAGTTTCATGTAAACATACTGACTGACAAAGTTCCCCCCCTGGACATGCGCTCTCTGGACGCCGTACCTGTAAAAAAGATGGAAACTAACGTCCTCTGAACTTCCTGTCAGTCTGCTGGTGTGTCTTTCCGAACCCTCACCTTTACCGTTAGTCCACACCCCCAAACTACCAGAAACCAGTCCTGATACAGGCCCTGAAAAACCCCCTCATGTTTACTTATCGAACCTAGACTTTCCCAGGTTTCATGTGTCCGCCGCTGTCGGGTAAACAAAGACCCTCAAAGTTCCCAAAGTATCTCAGCGTGTCCCTTTTCTTGTCTCTGGTTTTGCACACACACCTGGAGCCTGACGTCAGCGGACTTTTCTGGCTGTAAATCGGATCATTAACCCCGAGTGTCGGTGGATTTCTGCTCGGTCATGGTAACGGGAGCCCGTCGAGGACATTTACAGGAAGACGGGAACATCTCCCCTCTCTAAAAACTCCTCCATGACCCCCCGAGGATGAGACTGGACTTCAGGCCCTCTGTGGTCCAGTTGTCCTGCCCTTCCTGCAGCCGCGGTCCAAACACTCCCTGCTCCTGAGGAATCTGAAAACCGGTCATAGGGTCTAAAAACAGACACGGACCCTCCAACAGCGATTGTCTCCGGTCTGTCACACCCTTTTTTCCACTCACACACACACACACACACACACACACACACACACACACACACAGCTGTTTGACACAGGCAGCGTGACAGCTGGGAACGGGCACGTTACCGAGGTCAGAGTGGAAGAAGTGTGGGAAACCCCGAGGGGAGAGTCTGGAAAGTGAGGAGGAGCGGGTCGCGGTTCAGTCACTGATGCTGTGAAGATTATTAATGAGGGTTTATTCCTCTGAGTCTTTAGAGGATTACATAACAAAGAGTGAAACTGAACGTCTCAGTCTGCGTCGTGTTTTTGAGTTTTAGATTTATGTTTGATAAAGTTAATTTTACAGTGACTGTGTTTTTGGAGACAGACGTACAAGATTTTCAAGATTTCAAGATTTGTTCATTTGTCATGTGCATGTTAGACGAGTTAAACAGTGCAATGAAACGCTCTGGATGAGAGGACCGCTCGACTCAAAGGAGATAAAAACGAACAATAAGTGCTGAGAGGAAAACAATAAAATAAAGATGCAAAGGAAATATTAGAGAAGAATAAAATTATAAGATAAATATTTACAAAGGTGCGGAGTGTGAATGTATGAAATTGAGGATAAGTTGTGAAGATTGCACATAATAAATAATGAACACGCGTCTCAATAAATCAAAAAGTTCATTTTTTCATCTTTTCAAAAAGATTTTCTCATATTTTAAGCATTAAGATCAAAAGTCCACTCACTTATGATTTAAATATGTCCTTAAATTAATCATATACAGTGAATAAAATCAACAGGTGCATCTCCATAAATAAGAATATTGAATAAAAGTGAAAGTTTCACTAATTCTGGACTCATTACATACAAACTAAACATGTTTCTGTGGGTGTTTTTATCTTTAAAATTGATTTTTTAAAAATCTAAATTAATGCATCAGATTTTAAGATGAGCTAAAAATAATTAATAAATCATAATGTCTGTTTGAAAAGATGATTTTGAGCATCTTTATCTGAACCGTCTCATTCAGGTCCTCTTTTTTAACTATTTCACAGACCTGCAGGAAAGTTAATGAAGTTAACGCTGCGTTGGAGTTTCCTCAGAGGTCAGAAGTCGGAGCTGAAAATGACGTCACACCCGAGTTCTTAGCGTTTCAGTTACCAAGTCATTAAAAAGCAAAAAAGGGGGCCTGAAACAAAATGGCTACAACTACGAAAGTTAGTTGTTATACTGCCTCATAATAACTTTCATAGACGTAGCCATCTTGTTTCAGGCCTCAGATTTTGCTTTTTAATGACTTGGTAACTGAAACGTTGGGAACTTCGGTGTGACGTTAAAATCTCCACTCTGGCCGGAGTTTTTAAAAAACATCGTTTTCAGGGGCGGATTCTCCGTTTGTGTCTAAACAAAGGCTGCAAACGACGGTTAATGTCTCCATTTAAAAAAAAAAAAAACACAGTGTTAAAAATATATATTTTATTTGACTGTATTTCAGTTTGCATCATTGGCACCTACTCTGACTTCCTGTCCGCGCTCGTGTTTTCCTCTGGCGTTTCTGAGCGTCCTCGGGGCCGTCCGCAGCCTTGAATGTTTCCATGTTGGACAGCTGTGATCTAAATTTACAGAGGGACTTCCTAACTTCAGGAAAAAGATAGAAGGAAGGGCCCGATTCAGATCCTCCTGCACATTTCCTGTGATAGCGTCCCTAGGTGACAAAAGAACAACAGCGAGTAAAAACAGAGGCAGAGGCGGGCGGGCGGCGGCGGCGGCCGAGGTCACCGGGGGGCAGAGGAGGGTCAGCGTTTGTTTCTGAGGTTATTGATTATTTTAGATAAAGTCTGAAGAACGAGAGAGAGAGAGAGAGAGAGAGAGAGAGAGAGCTGCTGTGAGGCTGTGCACACCTGTCTGTCTGACACACATTCCTACACACACACACACACACACACACACACACACACACACACACACACACACACACACAGTCTGTGTTAGAGCTGGAGATTTCAACACAGCTGCTGAGCTGACGCACAACTGTGCTGCAGCTTTAGGATAAATATATACGTCTGAAAGTGTGTGTGTGTGTGTGTGTGTGAGAGTGTGTGTGTGTGTGTGTGTGTGTGTGTGTTATATAAGCTGGAGTGTTTGTTTAAAGGGCAGTTATTCCAAACCTGCTGCTGTATCTTCACACACGTTTACAGGACTATAGATGACCTTTAATTCTGGATCAGGGTTTCATCGGCTGACCCACATCAGACCGTCTGACCTTAAAACCCTCACCTCTTCACATTTAAGATGAAAAAAAAAACAGTTTTAATTGATTATTGACGTTACAGACAGAGAAAATTGAATTGTTTCATGATAATTTGTTTTTCTGAATCACTTCAGTGTTTTTTTTTCATCTTTTATTTTGATGTTTTTACTTTTACTTTCTTTCCTTTCTTTCTCATATTCAAGAAACATGCTTTGATTTTGTATGGTGGCCGAGAAACGCCACTGCTGCAAAAAAAGAAACCACAACAGAAGTTACTGATGCAAAAAAAGTGGCGACAGAATCATAAGATGAAAAAGGTCAATAATGAAAAAGGTTCAGAAAAAACATCTGCAGAAAGCTGAGGGTCATGACTGTCGGTGTCTCGCTCTCTGCAGCGTCTCTGTGTTCTGGTCCTGGTTTCATCGAGCAGAGCTCCTCCGCTGGTTCTTTGTCGTGGTTATTTACAGCCGGACAGGTGCTGTCGACTCTGAACTTTGACAAACTCGCTCCACCTCGCAGAAATCTGCGGCCTCTCGGCGACGCGGCGAAACCCGTCTCAATTTCTCTCAGCGAGACTTTTTTCGGTGACAGATTGAGATGAATTGTGTAAAAGGGGTGCTCCGGGTCGCTCTGGGGACACCCTTGAGGGGTGTCGTGGCGCGGCCTGTGACGCGTTCACCGGCGGGGGAACAATAGGTGGAACCAGCTGCTGTGGGAGTGGGTGTGAGTCAGTGGAGAAGCTGTTTACAGGCGGCCGGACACCGGCCTACGTCAGCTCTGTCACGGTTTATCACGGCCTGCAGAGCTGCTGACCTGTGTGTGTGTGTGTGTGTGTGTGTGTGTGTGTGTGTGTGTGTATGACACTCTGAACACAATGAAGTTTCTCTGCAGCCGCTCTTTGATCGATCGGAGGAAAATATAGAAGCTGCAACATTTTAGGATCTGATGAAGTTCCAGTTTTTAGGAGAAATCTTGAATGTAAACTCTACCCCTCCAAACCAGTTTTCCCCTCAGCTCCTCCTCTCCCCTCAAGCCCCGCCCACAAACAGACGCTCCTGCTCTCTCGTATCGTTCCAATTAAATTCAGATATAATGCAGATAAATACTTCAGATCATTACAAATGGGGCCCAGTCAAGGTGAAAGTCAAAAGCATTGGTGCTACTGTAGATGCCAACAGACCACCAGCAAACACAATGTTTGCAGGACTTCTACAACGAGGATAAAGTGACATAGTCCAGGACCCGAGGGAGGACAGTTTAGCGATGGCGCTACAACACGCTACAGCAGGTCCGTTTGACAAGAAACACTTCTGTTACAGACACTTGTCTTACTTTGTTAAAGCGGTTTACCTGTCCAGCAGAAAGGTTACAGGGTCACCAAGATCCCCAAGCGTCCCCCATCGTTTATGTTGACCCGGCTTTTTAGCTCTTGTCCGGTCTACCTCCGTCTTTTGTTTTCTCACTTGTGTCATCAATAACTCATAGATATCGATTGATTCCTGTCTTCTCCACCTTGAACTCCAGCGTCTCTGACTTTGTTTACATGCAGATCCGCTCTGCAGTGATCTCCTCCTGCAGAATAAAGACATGTGGAGTTCAAACGTGTTTTCCCACATATTTCTGTGACAAATAATCAGTGACTCATCTTCATAAGAAACTACTATAACTCTCTATTTACTACATATACCACCAAACTTACTCCATGTGTCGCTGAGTGAATCATGTCTCACGCACGTTCTTTACAGACTCAAGAAAACACAAAGTGGAAACAGCCAAACTCTCAGACGGGTCGGAGATTTCTGCGGTGCATCTTCAGACTCTGACGGTCCCGGGTGGACAGCAGTGCTCTCTGGAGGGAACAGCGCGTCCTTCCTTCCTTCTTTCCTCACACACGTTACTGTAAACTCTTTCTAAATCGACTTCTTACTCAATCCCGGTCAGACCCAGTTTTCCTCCCCGAGAAAAGCAGAAGTGACGTTTCTTCTCATTTTTCTGCAGCGATTCTTCCAAGAATTTCACACGTGCACTTTTTTCAACCTCGCCGCCCGGCAACATCCCATGATTCATAGCCGAGCTGGCCCTGCTTCTGTGTGTGTGTGTGTTTGTGTTTGTGTACAGTGTGCAGAGCAGCAGCTGTCCCCGTTTCATGACAGGTAAATATTGTGTTTCACCTTCCTGTCCGAGGGTCGATTCAAATATAGAGTCTCTTAAACGCGGCGGTTTTAAGCCGCGGTAAACAACTCGTGCAGCAGATGCTCCGGCTTGGGTTTCTCCCGTTTGTGTCCCCCTCCTCACCTATTTAAGGACCCGGGTCCGTTAAACGCCTCTTAGGGGAATAATGAAGTATTTGCACCTCTTGTTGCCGAGTTTTCCACGTCTGTAATAACTTTCACACTCCGGGCGCCCCAGCTGGGATCGGATTTTTTCCGTCTCACTCATCAGCGATTATTAGAGGAAGGCAGATGAGTCAGGAGAAGAATGACACTTCAATCACACAGAGAGGATTAAAAGAGTTTAAACTGGCTCTCAAAACAAAGATGGCTGAGTCATCAGTGGGTCAGGGGGACCGGCGGGGTCACGGGGGAGTCCCACGTCGACCCCGCCTCGATGTCGGGGTCTTTGATTGATCCGTTGATAAGAATGAGACTCTGTAAATGGAAAACTGGATTACACCTGTAAGTATTTATCTTGTGTTTGATGAAGAGCATGTGCAACACGGGGGCTGCAGGGGGGCGGAGCCATGGCGAGTTTTTGAATCAAGAAGGGTCCTGGTTCTAATCTTCCTCCTACGGTCCACAAACAGACTCATCAGGACGGCTGGTGACCCGAAGAAGCCCGTCTCTACATCAGTCCTGTGATTTACATACATGTGGAGTCCGTGCTTCTTCTGTTTATATTCAGATTATTGTTTCTAATTAATTAAAACTACAGTGAAGGAAAATAAACATGAATCAAAAACAGACAAATCTCCTCTGATGACGTTAAAGTGAGACACATCAAATCAATGAATCCACAAATTATGGACGGAAAATTCACTTTTTTTTGGAGCTGAAATGTTTTTTTCACTTACGACTGAAAACCAAATAAATCAAAATGTCCTTAAAATTGAACAAATATATTTATTTATCCCGTTTGACACATCAGATGTTTTTGGAAACTGATAAACTACAAAAGGACATTTTATCATTTTTATCATTTATCAAACTGTATTCAGGTGTTTTTTTAGTAATTTGTTGATCATTTTGATTTGATAGAAGTTTATAAAAGTAAATATCAAATATGATACAAAAGGCATTAAAGAGTTAAACTGTATTAAACTACATCTTCTTATAACTCAGTGAATTTCTCTGAATTTTATCACATCTTATGTTTTCATTGAATTAAAAAAACACTCGACCTGATCTGAAAAACTCTCAAAATTAACTTTGTGCGACTCTGTGACTCCGCCCCCATAGTTGTGTCCTCTATTTGCGAAGTCAGAATATGGTCACCCTTTACAACCGCATCATTTCACATTAAATCAAATTATATTCTAACGTTCACTTTGTTTCGTATCCCTCCACATTATGTATCCTAGCGCATTACAGTATATCCCGCTGCGCTGCACAGTGTTGCATTGCACCGATTACATGACATCATAACGCATCACAGCAAATCTCATCCAATCATATCATCACTTATCCTGTTGTCTGATGTCATATTTGATAGTTAGCATAAACTGTATATACTGTAGACAACTTGGCTCTGCCTTGTGACCTATACTGCAGACTGTCACCAGAGGGTGCTGTTTTCACAGCAGATGGCGTCCATTCTACATACAGTCTATGGATGTTTCTCTTTATTGCATCTCATCCTGTCCTCTCATATAGTTTGTAAAGCATCATAAATTTCAGATCAATCATGAGACTGTAGATCAAATCAAATCACATCAGAACTGTCGTCTATCAAACCCGACTTTATCACATCTGCTGCATCGTATCCAGTCAAATTGTTTAAGAGAATCTTGAATCGTAGTTGTTTGAATTATTTCTTCACAGTTCATAATTGTTTGACACATAATTTTTATGTTTTGATCTATGATGACAATCGTATCATGTTTTAGCATCATTAACATTTATCGTATCTAATCGTCCTAAAGGCTTTCATGTATTTTAATCCGGTCTTTTCTTGTTTCCTCAGAAATAAAAACTGAAGATCAGAGTCCTGAGGTTCAGAAACTCACACAAAAACTTCACTTTGTTAAAGGCGTTAAAACAGAAGAGGTTCTTATATTTTCTTAAAATAAAACATGAATTCTACCAAAATAAAAGACAAAAACAAAAGAGGAAGAGAGTCAGAGTCATGGACCGATCAAACACAGACACCAAACTGAGGCGGAGAGCTCCGCCCCCTTTTCTAGTGTCCTCACAGAGGTCACAGGTGCTCCTGATAGACCTGATGAACCAGGAGACCTTTGGCCTGGATCTGGATCTCTGTCTGCTCCACTTCAGATGAACGGATGAACTAAAAACTGTCTCTGAACGGACCGTTAAAAATCAGATTAAACTACAAATATTCAGGAAGTTTGATGGTTTCTGTTGACATGAAGACGTCTCTGTAAAATCTAAATAAATATATTTTTGTAATCGGAGTTGAAGCTCGATCATGTGTCTTTGAGTTTGGTGAAACCTCTCTCTCTCTCTCTACTCTTCTTATTCCCTTAAAAAGACATTTTTCAGAACTGAAATGGCGTCCATCTCTCTAATCCTCCGCTAACGTTGAATTTAACGCCCTGCAGCGATGTCGTGGTTTAGTCTACCGGTCTTAACGTCGCATTAAAGTCCATCCATCAAGATCAAGCCGTCCGTCTTTGCTTCTATTTCCAGGACACGAATAAAGACACAAAGACAGATGCAGCACAGTTCGGTCTCTGCGTAGATATTATGTTCTTCTAAATTTACCCACAATGCTTCTATTTCCTCCTCGACCTGGGGAAATCTCGCCCAGGATTGGCAACAGGATTTTCGGACGGAAAACACGTGACGAGTCAGAGTAGCAGAAAAAAAAAAAAACACGATCTCTCGTCTCTTTGAAGAGTCAATTTTACCCCGAGCCCCCGACCAATTGTGTTGTGAGGGTCTTAAATTACACAGAGGAAGAGAAAGAAGGGCAGGAGACACTCGATACAACAGGAGAGAGAGAGGGAGACAGAGAGAGAGAGAGAGAGAGAGGCTGCCAACTTCTCCTCACTCAAACAGGCCTGTCGTTAAATACACTCAAAACACACACTTCCTCGTGTGTGTGTTTTGAGTGTGTGTGTGTGTGTGTGTGTGTATGTGCGGCAGCTCTCTGCAGCATGTATGTTTTGTCGTATCATAAATATCTAAGGAGTCGTACAAAAGAAATCCAACCTTCAGTTTTCACCACATCCGGAATGGTTCCGATCCGGGATGGCGGCAATTTTCATGGTTTGCCAACTCCTACCAGATCTGTTTGTGAGGCGAATTTCGTAGCGGTTTAGGGACAGCGGGAATCATGAGAACTCACAAGAACCCGCAGATTCACGTTCAATCGCGTGATAACGAGTTGTCTCTATAAAGACAGACACATAGACATATAAGCAGTAGATTGTGTCCTTACGACCAGCTACGATCGGAGGATACGACCTTTTAGGAGACGATCAGGATGAAGGTGGAGATTGAGGTTAGTTTTCGTCATTGTCTCCATTTTTATTTCCTTGTTTAAAAGCAGCAGAGTCTCTCTGACTCGTGCTTTTCACCCTCTAAATAAACCGTTTCTCCTCCTCCTGTCGGTACGAGAGTCGCTCTTTTAACCGTCTTTCTACATCAGAGTTGAGCTGAGAGTCCTTTCAGCCTCGAGTGGTCACTGGAGGAACTGCAGTTTTAAAAAAAATCATTGTCTGTTTTCGACTTGGCGGACTGCGTACTCCTGCCGACCGTACTGTGTTTGATAGTCGTATGTAGTCTGAGCAGGTCGGCTCTTCTTCTCTGATTTTCTGTCATAAATCGTTCGTCTGTCTCAGTCGAAATGCTGCTGAGTTTATTTTATGATATTTTTCATCGTTTTTGTGTTCGGATTGAAACCAAACAAACAAACTCCTGACCCGAACTCTCGTCCGGTGGTCCCCGGTGTCAGTCGGTCAGGCGTCCCGTCATGTTTCTAAATCCAGCAGCAGGAAACCGTGTGAGGAAGAGCAAACGTGACATCTTTAAGGTCGTCCTTCAGAGACTGTTGACGCTGTGAAGGAGTTAAACCGACGCCGTCGACCCACTTTGAGCGCCGAGGCTCTGCGCTGGCCCTGAACTTTGACCTCAAACCCTCTGACAAAGATCTGCCTGCTTGTCACCGGGTAGAATATCTGCTTCAAACATCGTGACGAATATTTTCAGAGCGGAGTTAATCCTCCTCCTCCTCTGCAGCCGCGGCCCTGAACCTGTAAAAGCTCAGCTGATGGTTCTGGACCCAGAGGACCGGATCAGGTTGTGTGTCGATGAATTGTCTGTTTAAAGGTCAGCGCCGCCGAGGACGGAGGACGGGCTCAGCTGCATTAAAGGAGAATTAAGATATCAGAGAGTCAAACTACGAACAGGCTGGAAACTCGTGAGCCACGCAGACGGAGAAGATGAGGAGACCTTCAGGTGGAGATGTGAGGGACCGAGAATTCACCGAAATATCAAAACAAAGGGCGAAGAGAAAAGTGTTTTTTTGTCGACAAGATTTGGGAGAAACAGAAAAAGTCTTCGATCTTTGAGTTCAGCTCATGAAAAATGGAACAAAAACTAAAGTGTTGAGTTTATATTTTTATTCTGCCGGACAGAAAATCGATGTTCGAGTTCGTTCTCCACCATCGATAACTCGACACTCCACTGAAAGTGATCAAAGTTGAGAGAAAGATCTCGAACAGCGACGCCACACTCTGTCAGCTGATCGATCAATCACGTCAAAGTCGACTTCATGACTCTGTGACTCTTATCTCCTCCTGCAGGTCCCTCCTTTTACCAAAAGTCTCTGTCACCTTCGCTCTGGTTCTGAGGGTCTACCTGAGGATCTGAGGCTCACGGGGGGTCGGCCTGTCTGTCAGATACGTGGCGTGGAGTCAGGACCAGGTTCTGTTAAACGGGTCATTAAATCGATGTCTCTCATTCTCACTTGTTCAGAATCAGGTAAATATAGTTCATGTAAACCAGAGCTGATGCTGCCGACCGCTCTGTGATCTCAGACAGCTGCAGAGTCCAGAGAGACGGACTGGACCTGCTCTCTCTCTCTCTCTCTCTCTCTCTCTCTCTGTCTCTGTCTCTCTCTCTCTCTGTCTCTCTCTCTCTGTCTCTCTCTGTCTCTCTCTCTCTCTCTGCAGGGTGCGTTGAGGTGAGACTGAGACCGAACAGTTCCTAACAGCTGAACCGGACAGCGCCAGGACCCGGGCACAGGTGGGGCGAATGTTTGGCACGGGTCAGATCACGTAGACACAGCGGGGGGGTTACCTACAGAGAGAGAGAGGACCGATAATAGATCAGAGACAAAACCAACGACGATAAAACACCAAAGAAAAGTGTTCAGAGAGACGGTCGTCTGTGGTCGTGACTGTTCTTTACTCTTTACTGGTAAATTATTATTAGTTTCTACATAATTATCAGAAGTTTTGGACGTTTTTCTTCCTCAGTCGTTCGTCTGGTGAAACAAAAATGGACAGAAAAGAAAAAGAGAGAAAGAAAAAGTGAAATGGTGTAAATACTTTTCGCTGAATAATCCCGTTTCTGTCACCGAGGCTAAAAACACAAAAGCAGATAAGAGCGAGTTTCCTCATTACTCAGAAAACCTGCAGATTTTTCTTCTTTGGAAGTTTCATGAATATCTTTAAGTTTCTTTTTATGCATCTTTAGTTTCATGTTTCACATTTAAACATTAATATTTTTAGGTTTTCATTTCTGCCGCATATCCTTAATATTTGACCTGAACTGGTTGTTTTGCGGTCTTGTTTTTGGGTGTTGTATTTATCACACTGAATTGCACAAACAGATGTCTTTTTTTACGCTTTTATTTTTGCCATATAGTGATAAAAAACTTTATTTTATACATTTATACTTTATTTTTTATCTTATGTTCAGGGGTTTGTGTCCTAAAATATTGACAGTTCAACAGCAACAAAAACTGTCCTGTGAAGCTCAGGAGAGGTGAAATCAAATCTGTGTTTGTCCTCAGACTGGATACATTTAGATCTCCTCTATAGTGAGACCAAAACTATTGGTGCAAAACTGCAGCAGCAGACGGTCCGATCAGAGTTGTAAAGATAAACTTCGATTCTTTTGAACTCCTTATTGCAGGATGTAAAAATCTCGCTGTGTTCTTTATTCTGCTGCAGGAGCTTCATCTGATCTCCATGCAGCAGGATGAGGAGGACCAGCTGAGATCCTGCAGCCTCAGAGATCCTGAAGTAATCTGAGTGTGTGTGTGTGTGTGTGTGTGTGTGTGTGTGTGTGTGTGTGTGTGTGTGTGTGTGTGTGTGCAGGAATGTGCTGCAGCTCCTCAAATGAGAACCATGACTTTTCCATCGATTCTCTCTATAGGATCTCTCTCCGTATAGATCAGAGCAGACGGCCTTCAGACCTTCACTAACGCTGTTTCCTGAGGGCAGCGGCGGTGGCGGATAGTTTCCACCTGTGTTTGTCTGTGAGCAGGTTCACATGTCGGGAGGTTGACGGTCTCACCCCCTCCCCCCTCACTCTCTGGGCCTGTTTTGTGGCGTTAAAGGAAAGAGCAGGAAGCACTTGTTGTGCACAGGATGCCCCCTGAACGCACCGCTCCCACTCGGCTAATAACTTTAACACTTCTTCTTCCCTTCAGCGCGCACACAAACCCGACGTGTTCGCTTCCTCTTTGGCACTCACTTCCTGTGTGTTCATCAGGACGCTCTGCTGTGTGTGTGTGTGTGTGTGTGTGTGTGTGTGTGTGTGTGTGTGTGTGGTCACAGAAATACCTCACTTATGCAAGCTCTGGTCCCCTGGGAGCAGGATGTGTTTTCCAGCGAAGCTCGATTCAGTTGTTTCGGAGTTTCCATTTGACTTTTCACCCTCATAAAACTACAGAAAAAAGGAAATCGAAAACCTTCACGCCGTCTCGTCAACTTTCAATCTGAGGAGAAATAAATTGAAGGGCGACCTTTAGGTGACTTTGGAGAGTGTGCAAGAAACATTTCAACTCATTAATGAGCCAAAGTTCAGCTCTTTGAAACCCTGAAACGTCCATCCGTCTGTCTGTCTGCACACCTGGACAGAACAGATAGAAAACCATTCATGCACATTCTCACCTACTGAGAGTACGAAGCATGAGGAGATCATGATAAGTCCAACAAAAGCCTCTCCTTTGTGGAAACAAATGTCTTACAGCTACAGTCCGCAGAAATCTCCAAAGGTTGGTCTTTGCAGAGGTGGTGAATAAAACTCCAAAAACCTCATGATTCTGCAAACAAGACCTGTACGTGAAAACAGGTGACACTGAGAAGAGAAACTTCCTGTAGTGGAGGTTTTCGATCGCAATTTAAGTGTTCGTGTAGGACTGAATTTTAAAGGTCCAGTCCGAAACATTTTGGCGTGAACAAACGTTATTTTGCATCCGTCACACTCGTCACGTTAAAGGTGGGGTACTCGGCCCACATACAGACGCTCCTGCTCGCTCGTATCGTTCCAATTAAATTCAGATATAATGCAGATAAATACTTCAGATCATTACAAATGGGGCCCAGTCAAGGTGAAAGTCAAAAGCATTGGTGCTACTGAAGATGCCAACAGACTACCAGCAAACACAATGTTTGCAGGACTTCTACAACGAGGATAAAGTGACATAGTCCAGGACCCGAGGGAGGACAGTTTAGCGATGGCGCTACAACACGCTACAGCAGGTCCGTTTGACAAGAAACACTTCTGTTACAGACACTTGTCTTACTTTGTTAAAGCGGTTTACCTGTCCAGCAGAAAGGTTACAGGGTCACCAAGATCCCCAAGCGTCCCCCATCGTTTATGTTGACCCGGCTTTTTAGCTCTTGTCCGGTCTACCTCCGTTTTAAGCGCCCGTTATTCCTCCAGAGTCTCCGGTATTTACTTTGTTTTCTTGCTTGTGTCGGCAGTCGTGGCCAAAGGAGGATTCAGACAATTTTCCGAACTTTCTGGTTGGTTTCTACTGTCCGATATTGTAGCACGCTAACTTTGTTTGGGCTCCTGAACGACACGGGGGAGCAGCGTCTGCCTCACAACCAATCAGGTTAGAGGAGGTGGAGAACGGCTTTGTTTACAGTCAGAAAGAGCGGACCGCTCAAAAACGTTAACGTTATATTACCAAATGTCATCAATAACTAATAACTATTGACTGATATTAAAAGATTTTTTATAAATACACCACAAAAAAAGATGCTTCTTTAACAGAATCCTGACTACCCCACTTGTCCTCATGTTCATGATCTGGTGCAGAGGTTCAGATCCCCTCATCAGGACCTCCTCCCACACTAGCTTCACCTTTACTCCAGTCTGGGACACCATCAAGCTCTCCATCATGCGCACTCTCACACACTCACACCTGAAGTGACCTTTTTTTCCCCACAATCCTCATAACTTCAGATACTTCAGCTACTTCTCCTGCGCTCACAGACATTCAGAGACTGAACAGTATCTGCTGTGGTTCACTAACTCCAGGTTTGACTCAGCAGGAACTTCTCATTAAAAAACAGAAATGTAATTAAGTTCAATATTCGGACTAAAACACGTGCCGACAGGCTTCATTCTTGAGTGTTGAGCCGACCTCCATGTTGTTTTTGAACGAGCTCCAACACTTTAATGATCCGTGTCGTGATTTTATCTTCCCGTGACCTCGATCCTGGAGTTTATTTTCCCGTCTTTGTTCATAATCACCTCAAATTGGCGAATGAAAAGCAAATGACTGTACCAGGAAGTATCTCCGCTAACTTTATCGCTAATTTCTGCTGGGATTTTCCTCCCTTCCCAACAGCCAACGGGGCAGCGAGTGGCATCATCACCCTCCGAGAAATCAATCTGAGTCACGGTCAGCAGATTTATTTTGAGGTTATCTGACGCGTTGAAACGTGACCGTTTTCATTCATCTCCGCAGGATGAGCTGATGAGCTCGTTTTCCCACGGCGAATCAAAGAGACGTATGAATGGGAAATCTGTGTGTGAGTGTGTGTGTGTGAAGATGAGCAGAGGCCTTAAAGAAGGAAACCCCCCCACACACACACACACGGGCTGATTCATCTCTTTCCCACTTTCTACAGGAGCAGGAAAAGCAGCATAAACACTGATGGGAGGGGGGCAGGATGTTGTTGGAGTTTCAGATCCTGTTTTCTTCCTTTTTCTCAAGACGCTGCGCTCACACAGGTGCACAAGCAGCCCCCCCCCCCCCCCCTTACCTCCACTCAAATCCTGACAATGCCAAGCCCCGCCCCCTGCCCCTACCTCCTCCCAGTTTCTGCCCAAATAAGAGCAGCTCTTCCCTTTTTTTCATAGCTGCTGCTTCTCATGAAGTTACAGTAACCCCTAATTTCCACTGCATCCTAAACGGCTACGAAAAGGTCGTATCCGCCGATCGTAGCTGATCGTAACCATTCAAGTTAACGTGTCAATTTACACCGACTTCTTTCCGATCACCCACCTAACGGTTAGTAAATTAGGGTGACCATACGTCCTCTTTTACCCGGACATGTCCTCTTTTTGGGTTTATAAAATCCTTCAAATGTCCGCAGTTTTGCACGAAGGTTTCGAGTTTGTGTCACGTGAACTTACTGAGTCACCCGAGATTTCTACCACATCCGGGACGGCTTCCATCTGGAACGGCGGCAATATTCGCCACCTGTCAATTCCTACCAGACCTGTTTGTAAGGCGAATTTCGTGGCACATTACAGACAACAGGAATCGCAAGAACTCACAAGAACCCGCGGATTCACGTTCAATCGCACAATAACGAGTTGTCTCTCTACAGACAGACACATAGACATTTAAGCAGTAGATTGTGTCCTTCCAGAGGAGGAAATCTACTTCTAGACTTCTAGAATCAGCATCTCCTCATCCATGGTGTCATCGGGGTGAAATGACGTCTAAAAACCTTTCACTTGTTCGTCTCCGAAAAGGAGCCGGATGTTTTATTTTGTGTCTGTGCCCGACTTCCTTTCCAGCACGGGTTAATCTGTGCTGAATTTATCCGCCATGCTCCAGCGTCCAGAAAAAATAGAACTCTTGTGATCAGCTGAGGAGTCCGGCGATCCGCAGAGGAACGGAAAGAAGTCGGTGTAAATTGACACGTTAATTTGAATGGTTTACGATCAGCTACGATCGGAGGATACGACCTGTTCGCAGCTGTTCCAGATGCGTTGGAAATTGGGGGTCAGAAGTGCGTAAAAGTCACTCGATCCGACCCGAAAAACTCTCAAAATTAACTTTGTGCGACTCTGTGACTCCGCCCCCGCTTAGTCGTGTCCCCTTCTTGGGAAGTCACCCTAAGTAAATGTTTAATCAGTGACTTAAATTAGGCGAAGAGTTAGTTCAGGCAGGCTAGAACGTCAGGTTAAGTTTACAGACATAGACACTGGGGGGAGAGGAAGATAATCTTGACTCCTTCAGAGGTTCAGGACCTGAAGTTTGGGGGTTTTCTTTCTAATTGTTTAACCTAAGTGGGTGAAAAGTCCCTCAAACAGTCTGAGATGTTTCTAATATCTCGCTCTGACGGTCTGGTTCGGTTTTGAATGCCATTAAGAGGCGTCACTGCGGATGTCAGTCTGTTTCATAATCAGTCTCTAACTCCTCACGGGAGCTCCGGAGGATTCTTCTGCAGATTTTTGACGTTTTCTCCAAACGGTGATAATAAAAATCCTGACCTGTCACTCATGTTTCACCGACTCCTGAGTGGTTCGCCGTTCGTCTGACGACCGGGTCAAGTGAGGCTCTGCTGAGAGAAATGTGGAGTTTGAGGTTCTGCAGGGTTCAAACCTGCATCAGAGGCCTCGTCCACACGTCTGCAGGCCGCTTTTATAAAACCTCTTTTGCAGGACATGACAGGAGGTAGTGGCTGCTTTTGGTTACTCCGAAGAAGAAATGTCAAAAGTTTAATGGAACATAAAAACTCTCCACTCGTGCCTGAGTCCAGCTCTGAACCAAAACCTCACATCCTGAAAAAACTCAGGGCTGCGTTTCATTATAAATCAGTTTTTAAGTGCACAGCTCAGAAGATTTTTCCATGAGATCATCAGCTGTCAGGACGGGAAGCCAGTCGCTTATATTCTCAAATTCAAACCAGGGCGCACAGCAGCGTGAGGAGAGAAAAAAACAGGAGTGAAAACAGTAGAAAAATGCAGCAGCAGAAGAAGAAGAAGAAGAAACAGCAGAAGAAGAGCAGCAGCAGAGAGGAGCCCGAGGTCACACGGTGACGGCGCAGAAACCTGCAGCGTGGACGCCGTGTGGAGGCGCTAACAGGCGGGAGGCTTGGTGAAAACAAAGCTAACGTGGGTGTGAGAGATTTTTCTGCCTGTGGGGGTAAAAATAGATCAATGAGGAAGTCACAGCAGCAGGAGGCTGACACGACCCACGGTGAGACGGTGAGAGTTTACGGAGGTTACAGGTGAGGGGGGGGCAGAAACATGACAGAGAGTCGGTACAGGGGGGGGGTCAGTTTCATCACAGCAAAGACACCCACTCAATCAAGACTGGAGTGGACATCGTAAGGAGCTCCCCCTGCTGACTGGCTGCAGTATAGGTCATAAGCCCCGCCCCTTCCATGTTAACAGATGGGAAAACTCGGTTCCGCTTTGCACCAGTGTACGAATTTGAAGCAAATGATATTTCTGCACTTTTTTCTCCACCAACATTAGACAGTAGATATAAACGCATTTGGCGGGAGAGTCGCCGAGAGTCACTGGGATGACGCCATAAAATTTTCGTAAGTCCATAGGCTGGAAAAAGTGTCAGTCATGGAAAACATGAACCCCTAATAACTTTTAAAAATGGAGCTGTACAGAAAAAAAGGGGGACTTGAGCACGAACCAGTCTTGACCCCAATTTCCACCTCATGCAGAACGTCTACGAAGAGGTCGTATCTGCCGATCGTAACCTTTCAAGTTAACGTGTCGATTTTCATCGGGTTCTTTCAATTCTGATCACAAGAGTTTTATTTTTTCTGGACGCCGGAGCATGGCGGATAAATTCAGCACAGATTAACCCGTGCTGGAAAGGAAGTCAGGCACAGACACAAAATAAAACATCCGGCTTCTTTTCAAAATAAAACACTCCGTGTTTCAGGGGGATCGTATTTCACACCATGCAAACGGGCGGAGACGAACAAGTGAAAGGTTTTTAGACGTCATTTCACCCCGATGACACCATGGATGAGGAGATGCTGATTCTAGAAGTCTAGAAGTAGATTTCCTCCTCTGGAAGGACACAATCTACTGCTTATTCGGCAAACAGCGAAAAATGACCGCCATTCCGGATCGGAGCAGCTCCGAATGTGGTGGAAATTCAGGGTTACAGTAACTACATGTCAACATCACAAGAAGAGGTGAGAATTATTTATATTCTGTGTAATTAATTTCTAGTTTGTCCACAACCCCATAAGCTTTGCTGGAGAAGACGGGATTTATGACCTATACTGCAGCCCGTCACCAGAGGGTGCTGTTCTTGCGGTGGTTTCACTCAGTGAGGAGGCAGACGGCGTCCGTTCTATACACAGTCTATGGTCGGGAAACTTTCATCGTAGTTTGGTTCCTTTAAAACTTCGATCCCTGATTATTAAAGAGCCTTCGTTGTTTTCGGAGGTCAAAGCGGTCTGAATCTCAGCTGACTGATGTCGTGTGGCGTGTTGTGTAACAGCGAGACCCTGAACCGAGTCTCTGTGTGGGCGGTGAGAGTGTGGAGGTGAATAAAGGAAACTTGTTGACTCTGGAGGATCGGACAGAAAACAGACTGTAGGAGAGGTTAAAAATACACTCAGGAGCGTTCCAGTGTCAGCCATCTCTTTGACCTTTGACCCCGACCTCAGCCTTGATTTGAGTGACAGAGGTTCGGTCATAAACAACAAACAGAACCCTGTCAGAGTTTGATTCTGCTTTCTAAGAACACAGGATGGAGTTTCTAAACCGCTGACTGAACTTTGCTCCAAAATCTCAGAGATGGTCGCGGAGGGGAAGAGGAAGAGGCGGAGCTGCAGCAGGAGACCGAAAATATCCTCCAAGAGCTCCAGACGCTTTCAGGGGAGGAGGGATGTGCGTCAAAACACGCCGTCTGTCCGAGCAGGTGGTGTGTGACAGAAAAGCAACAACAGGTAGTTTTCTTTGTGCAGGACTCCTCCTGCTCTCGTCCAATCAGCTCGCAGCTCTCTGTTGACATTGCGCCGGCTTTGTTTTGCCTTTCAGAGCCCCTCACTCTCTCTCATCTTTGCTTTTGTTTTCATGCAGGAGATTCTGTGTTTTTATTTTCAGTTGTTTTTTTTCTGCACGCAACATCCTCCTCGCTCCTGTATGTGTGCGGAAGGTCACCGGGTCCAGTTCCCAGCCCTGCGGCACTCCGCTTTTAACCTGCGGCGCTACGTGACATTTCACGAGACAGCAGAGAGCGTTTATACCCAAACAGACGGACCGAGGTCGTCGAGTTAAAACAGAGACGGACAGAACCAAAGACCAGATCTGAAGAGATCAAGGAGACTCTCTGAAACGGTTTAAGTCACATTGAGGGGATTCGTCTCTTTTTTTTTTAGGGTTTTTAAACATCACATTGTTCTTCTTACCCACCAAAATAACTCAACTTTATTTATAGAGTACTTTAAATACGACCAAAGCTGACACAAAGGGCTGCATATAATAACATAAAAACATAAAACAACAATAAATAGTTGTTTTAAAATATAATAAAAGCAATAAAACAAATGTCGTCTCATGTTGGGTCAAAAGTCAAGGAGTAAAAGTGGGTTTTTAGATGGTTTTAAAAATGGATGGTGAGGAAGCTCGTCTAATGTGGAGAGGTAAATCGTTCCATAACGTAGGAGCAGCAGCAGAAACTCTGTCTCCTCAGAACCTCCGCTTAGACCTCAGTACCTTCAGGAGCAGCTGGTCAGCTGACCTGAGAGCGCAGGGGTGAAGCAGCTCAGAGAGGTATGATGGGTCCAGACCATTTAAGGTTTTAGAAACAAACAAGAGACTTAAAATGAACTTTAAAATGAACACGGGCAGCCAGTGGAGGGAGGCCAGAATAGGAGCGATGTTCTCCTTCTTATGCATTCCAGTTAAAAGACGATCAGCCGCATCCTGGACCAACTGGAGACGTGCGAGGGAAGACTGACTGACTCTATGATAAAGTGCGTTACAGTAATCCAGCCGAGACGTGATGGAGACGTGGATCACTGTCTCAAAAAGAAGTGTCTTCACCTTCAGTTTAAAGTTACTGTCCATCTTAAAACCCAAGTTAGAAATTGTTTTCTTCACATACGACGCCGGGGGGCCCAAATCAGCAGGAGGGGGATCACAAGAACCACTTTAGAGCCATCCAGGTTTTAATGTCGTCGAGGCGTGCTCAAAGTAGATTTCAGGGTAAAGGCATCTTTCTTTTTCAGTGGCACATATATTTGTCTGTCATCAACATAACGATGAAAAGAGATACTGTGTTTCTAAGAATGGAACCCAGAGGAAGTAGATATAGAGAGAACAGCAAGGACCCCAGGATTGAGCCCTGTGGAACCCCATAAGACAGAGGAGCGGGGCGGGACTCACACAAAGTTCCTAAACCAGGAATAAGAGACACTGAGTCCACAGAGAACACACGGAGCCTATAGTGTAAAAATACCTCTTTTTTTTAATTGAATTTCCATCATTACAATTGCACATAATCAGTTTGAGCAATCTAAAATATTCATAGAAATTCATTGAGCTCTAAATGAACAGTCATCAGTCTTTAGCAGAGGCTTTAGAGATGTGTAAATATGGTGAGAACTTCACTTCCCATGGAGCATTGAGCCACGGTTACCCTTCCCAGAACCCACCCGACAGCAACGACAGACCCTCTTCCACGTACAGTAGCATCTCTGGATTCATTTTACTCTGAAAAAACACACACACCCACACCCACCCAAGACCCTCCCCGAATCAAAGAACACAACACGGCAACGTCAGAGTCACATACAGCTGAGAGAAGCAGCAGTTTACCACCCAAGCTCCACGGCGGCCTCCGGGTTAGCGCGGGGAATGAAGCGTTCAAGAAACCTCAGCGCGGCTCTCACACTCACACACACACACAAACGACAGAGTTACGCTCGATATAATGCTGCAGAAAAACACAAACTGTGGAGGGCTGGAGGTGATGTACACACGTGTGTGTTTGAGTGTTTTGGACACTTGAGGATGAGGAAGCTGAATTTCCTCACCAGACTCTGTCACCATCCAAAACGAGTCCCTCTTGTTCCAGTAAGACCAGCTCAGCTCCTGGATGATCCCGACTCCTCATCCAGGAATACGTGCCTGCTGCTGGGCGCTCACTCAGACCCACAGCTCAAGATGGGATGTGACAATAATCGCCTCTGAAGGACAGTTTCCACTCGGACGTCCTGCCCCCGATGACCCCCAGCCACGCCGGTTTACTCAGCAGGGCCACCGCCAGACACAAATAGACCGCCGGCGGGAAACCCCAGACATGTATGAAGGTTCGCACCGACGACACAGAGAGAGAGAGAAAAGAGCGGGGAGGAGACGGTGCTGCCCTCTGATCAGAACACACAGGAAAACACAACATGTGATCAACAGGTCGAGTGATTTTCAGATGAATCTGAGCGGCTGAACCTTGAAGAGAAGAGACGGAGAGTCTGGAGGATCTGACGGCAGATTTCAGGAAGATAACAGAAAAACTGTGAGGAAGAGGAAACTGAAAAAGAGCGTGTCTGTCTGTCTGTCTGAGTGGATGATCGATAACGTTAAACAGTCGGATGTGAATCACTTCGATAAAAGTCACAAAATCAAACACCAGATTTCACTTGTGATAAAGTCGTTTTTACTCTGTCCCATAAAACCTGAAGGATCTGAGCTTTTATGGCTAAATGACCTTCTTTACGACTCTCACGTCTTTGTTTTAGTCGTGCTCATGATCACCCCGGCCTCTCTCTTCTGTCCCTTGGCTTTTCAGACGCTCAGACAAACACTCCTGCCTCCTCCTCCTCCTCCTCCTCCTCAGAGGTCCCCGGCTGATATTTGACAATTTACAGTTTGGCTTGTTAATCTTTCGAACAGTCAGAACCTCTTCACTCCAAATGTCCGTCTAAACCGCAGCTTTTCAGGCTCAAACGTCCTCAGTCTGACTCTATGATATGGTTTCTGTTTGATCACAGCGACATGCAGAACCAGAGCGTCCTCAGACGGAGTTTAAGCTTCACACACACAGAGAAAAGTGAACGACAGAAACGCGACATTAGGCACTTTAAAGACCGACGGACACAAACACATGGAGATCATGCACAGGAGGAAACATGGAGGGATGGTTTCTAACAGGGAGAGATTTCTGGACTGAAGCTGCAGCTCCTCCTCCTCCTCCTCCTCGTCTATAAAATGATCAGACAGTACGAGGAAAATCAATCTGTTACTAACGTGATAATGTTTTCAAGCCTCTTAAATCTCTCTGTTGTGGTTTCAGACTCTTTATTGGCGAATTAAGAAATCGTTTCCAACTTCTCATCTTTAAAAAGTCAAAATAACTGATCAGATTAGAGTAAAAATTCACTCAATAATCCTGTAGTCCTGACGCAGGAGCTCATAACACAGCAGGAGGTCGGCACACCGTGTCCTCCTCCACGGCGTCTCCCCGTCCCTTCAGCCCGCCCACATGAGAGCTCTCGCTGTTCTCCTCGTAATCACTAAATTAGAGAAAATGATGCTGATTATCGGCCGCACACAGAGGACGCAGCTCCTCGTGAGGACCTCGGGGTCTTTTCCAGAGAAACACGGCGGACCAGGACAGACCTGACAGGCTGGGCTGCACGTGAACCGTGTCCTCGCTCCAGCAGTCAGAAACACTCAGATACGAGAGCTTCCTGGAGGACATATCGACGTCTTGGCACATAAATGTCATGAAGGTGTCCAAGTGTGAGGAGTTTAGAAAGCTGCAGAGTGAAGATGCACCGACAGAGTGAATTTCCTGGTCCAGGAATGTTGACCGTGTGTTTTTGGGGGATCAGGCGGTGAAAGGTTTCAGTTTTAGTATTTGGAGGATGTAAGGGAAGAGGGTGAGAGTTCACTCCAGCGATTACAGAAAAGAGGAAGCTTTATGAGCCAGAGTTTAGTCTGTGAATTTCATTTCGAGGAACTTGGAGGAGTGAGGTGGAGGACAGTGGGTTAAAGGCTGTGGGAGTGGATCAGGGTGTCAGGGGTTAAAGGAAACCTAAGAGTACATGTCTGAACCTGCTGGAGTTTGTTAAAGAGCCGGTCTGAAACAGATTTGTCTATGACAACAATATTAACTGTGTGTTTTATCACACTCTTGTACGGGACACAGAGAGCAGCAGAAACGATGAAAAACACATTTGAGGATGTTTTTCTTCTACTTCCACGAAAAAATCAGCTGTTCAACCTCCAAACTATCAGAAACAAGAATTAAAACTCCAGGAACACGAGGAGAAGAAGAAACAGAAGCACATGAAGCAGCTCGAGAAGGAGGAGGGGGAGGAAACTTGTTGACCTATTTTTGTCACGAACCAAAACAATCACCAAACGTGTTCGAGTCTGACTGAACGAGGAAATCGATCCCTGATCCCAAACGATCAATAAAGTGTGATTTCATGTGTTTTCTGTTTGTTTTTAAAGTCTGGTTTCGGTCGGACTAACGTGACAAATAGATTTGGTGAACTTGTAAAAACACTGACTGAAGCTTTACTCTCAAAAAATTCATGAATTTTAATTTTTTCACAGGAAAAATGTTCATTAAGGAGCCAGAGATAAAAAAAAAACGATCCCTCTTGTCTTCTCTAACGCCGCAGATTGAGCCTTTAAACAACAATTACCACATTTTTCGTACTATAAGGCGCACCATCAATGAACGCGTCTATTCATGTCTATTTCCAAAAACAATTTTAAGTGTGCCTCATAGTGCGAAAAATACGGTAACCAAAGCAGCTGAAACTCAGACGGACGAGTGACGACCCTGAAAATGTTGTAATTGTTCCGCAGTGACGACACATTCAGTACTTAAAGAAGTGACTTAAATAACGACTGAAGGAGAGCTCTATGTGGGCAGACCTGAGGCAATCTGCGATCAGAAACCACCATGAGAGGAAAAACTGAGAGTAAAGGCAACAACAAGGAGGAGAAGAAACAAACATGAGAGGGTTCAAAACATCGATGTGGGAAAAAAACGAAGAATGGAGGAAGCTGATCCCTGCATCCTCTTCAAAACAACACCGTCCTGTTTGTTTTCTCCACAGAGAGGCACATAGAAGGCTTTACGGGTTACAGTTCAAAAGCGTTTACGTGTTCGAGCCGAGAAAACACGACAAAAACACACACATGCGCTCACATACACACAGCCCACGCAAAAAAACAACAAACGTCTCGAACGGATCGGTCAAGTCTTCAGAGGGACAACAGCAGGCGTAATAAATAAGAAATAAAACTGCAGTAAATATGTCTGGGGACAAAAAATCAATCTTCATATAAACAACAGTAATTAATATTATAATATTATTAATAATAATAATTATAATAATAAACTTAATATATATCCAGTTCTTCTCTGGAGTGGAGAGGGTTGTGATTGGCTCAGTTCACACGACAAGGAGAACCAGGGCGTCTTCTCCCACGACTGACCACAATGTCAACACACACACCTCACTGATAATCCATGTGTGTGTGTGAGTGTGTGTGTGTGTGTGTGTGGAGGTGGGCTGCAGGATTAAATCACTTCTGAGGACCGAGATCACCTCCGTGTACCTCTGCACACGTCTCATGAAGCGTGTCTTTGCATCATCAGAGCAGCAGACGGAGGAGGACTCGTTAGCATATCTGCTGCTCCATCAACAGGTGAGATGTTCCACAGGAGGGTCGGGGTCAAAGGTCACACCATGACCTAACCCTGGACAAACATCATCTAAAGACACGAGGTCCAAATCCAGGGAATAAACGGAGCTTGAAACACGAGTCCTGTCCTAGTTCGTCTCAATTCTTTAAAATCCTGCAGCCCCACACACACACACACACAAACACACAGACACACACACGCACACATATATCATGCATCAGCTCACACACGCACGCACACACACCAACACACTCACAGGCAGCCAGAGCCCAAAACGTGTAGTAAGTAGACCTCTGCTGTAATCAAGGGAGAGCAGTTGAAGTGCAGTACCTATAAGTGACCACTAGGAGGGCCTAGAAGTGAGGCGGCAGCAGCAGCCTGAAGCCTCTGCAGCTCCTCACTCATATATTCTGTACATGCAGTCGATCATGAAACCAATGCAGCAACACTTGCTTTGAGTATAGAAACATTTAGATTATACGTAGATATTATATCATCTTTTCATAGATTCTGCACCTCTGAAACAAACAAACGGACCTGGAGTCTGAGCGCCTGCACACGCTCGCCTCCGCACGGGTAACCACTATGTTGGAGAAGTAGGCGGAGCACACAGGTGGGGGTTAATGGAACCAAAGAGGGAGGCTTTGCATACAGACATCTTCAATTATTCCAGATTAGGAGTGAGGAACCCGTCACCTCCGCCCCTCCCACGCCAGGCGACGCACAGACGACGCGGAGGAGGCCAGGAGGGGGGCGGGGACTAACTGCTCCTTCGGCTCCACCGGCGTCTCCTCTGGACTCCGTCCTTCAGGGGGGCTGCGGTTGGTGCATTTTGTTTGTTGTTGTTGTTGTTTTTCCTCTTTGAACAGGTCTCCCCCACCCCCACCCTCACCCCCACCCGTCACCTGTGCAGGTGGAGCAGCTCAGTCCCCCAGGATGACTTTGACAAAACTATCCACGTTGGTTTCTTTGGCCTCGTGGAGCGTGAAGAAGGGATGTTGCTGAGGAGGAAAAGAGATGAAGGGTTACTCTTGACCGCCACGTGTAAAACTGTCTGAGTGTGCCCCCTAGTGTCTGATAAACAGCATTACAAGCTGTTTTGTCTTAATGAAATTATAAGTCGAGCTTTTAAACAAACCAAAATGAAATTAGAGGCTTTAGAGCGACTGACAAACAGGAAAGTAATGCACGCTAACAACAAAAACATGGATGTGATTAAAACCAGAATGAACAGGGTTAAAAATAAGACAGAGAGCATCAAAACTAATAAATATAAGAGATAAAATGATATTAAAAAGGTCAAGAAAAGAATATAAATGCTAAAGTACATGCTCTTATTTTGTTAAATCAAGTCACTGCTGCTTTTATTTTGTAGTCTTTACTGAGTCTTTTCTGGTTCTGGAGTATTTCCTGTCTGTGTCTTTGTGTTTTAATAATCTACTGAACAAAAACAAACTTTAAAATAACAAAGAGGTGCTGAAACTTTACCATGAGTTCTGTGTAGGTCGGACGCTCTTTGGAAACTTTCTTTAAGCTGCAGAAGAAAAAAACATCAGAATTACCTTAAAATCAACGTCAAACACGTTTACACTTCACAAAGAGACCAATGAGAGGGGTTTTTAGGACCAAACAGGGAACTTTTCAGAGTGGAACCATAAAGCTCCCTTCACACTGTGGGGACTTTTTCTGTGATAGCTGATCTTATCACGACGCGGCTGAAAATACAGCGACTCTGATCAGCTGACCTCCTATACTTACCCATATACTCCTACACCCAGGGCTCCACAGTGCGACCGTTTCACTCGCATTTGTGACGAAAAATAGACGTGTACGAATTGTAAAATGTATTTAGGGTCACATGTGCGCTAAAAAAAATCAGCCGAGGCAACAAATGTTTTTACGTGTAAATACGGCGGTGAAGTTAGTTTCAGGTTGGATATATTTTCCTGTAAATACGGCAGTGAAGTTAGTTTCAGGTTGGATATATTTTCCTGTAAATACGGCGGTGAAGTTAGTTTTAGGTTGGATATATTTTCCTGTAAATACGGCAGTGAAGTTAGTTTCAGGTTGGATATATTTTCCTGTAAATACGGCGGTGAAGTTAGTTTCAGGTTGGATATATTTTCCTGTAAATACGGCGGTGAAGTTAGTTTCAGGTTGGATATATTTTCCTGTAAATACGGCGGTGAAGTTAGTTTCAGGTTGGATATCTGACGGACATTCTCTGAGGATCTACCGGTGTCTTCTCACTCTCCATAACCAGGAATAACAACAGCAGCGCGGTTAAATCTACTCGACACCCTCACTGTCAACGTCGGTGTTGAATAAGGGACCGTCAATAAATTACCGGTTGATGTTCTCAGAAAAGGCTGTTTTCCTTCAATAGCTTCAATGTCATGTGACCAAAAGACCTAAAATTGATTTAAAATAATAGAACTTAAGTCGACCAATAAGACAAACATTATTTGATCAATTCCTTGTGAAAGAAGTTGGTGTCAAGCCCTGCCTAAACCTCGTTTATATCATGTGTCTGTATTATTTTTATTATTATAATTTCTTTCTCTTCTTTTCTGATCGTTTGTCTTGAATACAGAGAAGTCTTATAATCAGAGTGATCGATATCAGCGACTCGTCTGAGGATGAACTTCGTCACCGTATTAAAGCGCTGAAATCGTCGTGGTCCCTGAACACCAACATTAAGACTTTTAAGAAGTTTGTTCAAATCAGCTGATTTAGGTGGAGGAGTTGAACTCGTCTGTAGTGTCTGATAGTTTTACTTCTGTTTAGACCAGGATCCCCTCGGACTAATACTCTTAATATTAAAAGATACTTCGAAGAACCACCGTGGAAAAATGAATGATACCTTTAAGGATTCTGGATTTAATAAAAACAACTCTGAAGACTGATCTGGGGTTTTATTACCCAGAATTCCCTCTGTTTGTTGGTCGTATCTCCTCAGATCATAAAGATTTGCTCCCTCAGTTCACATGAACCGATAATCGTCTGATTTCAGTGAAGTACATGAAGTGAAGAAGATTTTAAAATTCATTTTCATATTTAACTTTTTAAAATTCCAACTTTTGGTCCAGAAAACAAACTGAAAATACCAACGAGGATTTATTTGACCTGCAGTTTTCGGAGTCTTTAAATGAGACCGTAACCCTGAGTTGATTACAGAAGGAAGAGTCCCTGAACATCCTGTGAAAAACAGTTCTGCTTTCACAACAGACCAAAGAGAGCCGTGATGAACTCAGTCTAATAAAGAGAAAATTAACCGAAGCCCACTCAGCAGGAATCACAGAACATTTTGTCTGATCTGTCGTGGCTTTATCAATCAGAGCCGAGATCAGCGACCGGCGCGAAATAATCAGCTGTGGATGAAAAATAAGACGAGGATGAACTGCGTGTTCTCGGAGATCTGACTCTCAGGACAAATCGGTAAATAAACAGGAGAGAAAGTCGTACCACAGAGAGGTAAAGTCCACAAACTCGGGGGAGAACTGGTCTGCAGGAAGCTGGGGTGAAGGTTCCTCCACCACCTGCTTCAGCTGCTGGAACGGCGTGCCCCACGAGTCGTACGGGAAACGCAGGATGGCCAGCTCGATCTGCGGGAAGAGAGGAGGACAGAAAAATCACTCAGGAGAACGTTTACATCCGGGTTTCAGTTCTGAGTCGAGTTTCAGGGTCTGACGTTTACAGATGTTTACCTAAATACTTCAAACTGATGGTTCCTGGTGTCTAAAATCATCAGCTTCATCTTTATTTCAGTAAAAAATCTCTTCATGAGTCCCGATGGCTCTTGAGTGGATTTCTTAAGGAGTGACTGATTCTCCTTAAATCAGCCCTGAGTGTCGTTCAGAGAGAGAAATCGCCGCTCGCTGTCTCAAACTTTCTAAACTCCTCGCTTCACCTTTATCCTTTCAGACTCCTCTCCTCCTCCTCCTCCGTCTACTCTCACATTTACCGGTCTAATTAGCATACAAATGGGACGTGTGCTGGAACATTCTGCTGCTCGTCCCTAAAAGCCGGAGCCAAAAGGACGAGGCGGGTTCAAAATAAATTGCCACAAACTGCTGAATCCTTGAAGCCAAAATATCTCTGGTCGGAGTCGGAAATGTGCAAACGAGAGAGCGATGAATATTTAACAACTCATAATAAAACGTCTAGACGCTCCTTCTCCTGGAGCCATGCCTGACAGAGCAGCAGCACATTTCATTTTCCTTTATGAATCATTTCTGCTCTTCAAAAACTCCCATCGATTCGGGTTTTTTTTTTCTGATTACAAAGACTAAAAATGAAGAAATGAAAGTGAAGACGAGTTACCATCGTGATTCCTAAACTCCAGATGTCCGATTTGACGTTGTAGCCTTTCTGGTTCGTCTCGGGGTTGATCCTCTCCGGCTGTGGGAAACAAGGTCACATGATGTCAGCGGTTGTCAGGGGCGACATGCACACTTCCCTATCCTCCTGAACTTCTCCTACACGAGCAGACCGCCGTGTTCTCTGAGCAGAACAGGCGATGCTGTCCGCTCGAACGCCGACATCAGAAATCAAACCCTCTGACGGTTAAACGATTTTCTGAACTTTAGTGCCTCATTTTTAAAACTCACGATCAAGAGAGATGATCTCTGATCTCACTACCACTGAAATTAACTGAGTTCATGTTTCAGGAGATGAAAACTATGAAATTCAAATGAAACAGCTGTGAGTTTTCCTGACGTCTGCTGAAAGATGACGAGTAAAACCACCTCAGCTCTGATGAAGAGGAACTCTGGAGTTCACGACTTCAGAGCCACAAAGTTTAAAAAATACTGGATCAGGGATGAAAAGACAAGACTAGGGCTGGGCGATAAAATGATACTGATAAATATAAAAAATTAATTTCCCTTAATATCAATATAAAACACGGTCAATATACTTTTCAATCGTTGTCATTCTGACATGTTTTGGTCGTCGGTGGTGTGGAGGTATTTTGGTTTTTGGAGGTCGGACATGAAGCAGAGTAATGTGGACTGTAAATTATGTCGAGTACATGTTCTCACAAAGTCGGGGAATACCTCAAATCTTTTTCACCACCTGAAGCAGCGCCACGCTGCAGAGCACGCGCAACGCAAAAGGTTACAAACATGCGACCAAAAAACACTGTTAAATTCATGATAACCTTTTTCCGGTATCGCCCAGCCCTAACCGTGACCATCTAAAAACACGGAGGATCACTTTCTCCAGCGTCTTTCATATTGAAGGTTACAGCAGTTTTCAGATACTCAGACAGTTTTTTCAGTTTGATATCGTTTCCAAATTTACGTTTCATTTGATCCACGTGGATTTTATGACGTGGAACTGGTTTAGTTTAGGTTTTGAAAAGTTCTCAGTCAAAGTTTTTAATAATTTAAGTTTGATTTCATCTTATTCATTCGTACTTATTTGGACGACATGTAACAGGTGAGACACAAAAAAAATCTAAAAATTCAGAAGAAAAAACTCAATAAAAACTGCTGTCCTGTCCTGACAGATCAAATCCTCCTTCAACAACATCACCTTTAACTCTAACCTCACCTTTAACACTAGGAACATAATAAATTAAAGACACTGAGGGTGATTTTTGTATCTCCCTTTAAGACAAACACTTTCACTCTCACTCAGACTGAATTTCATCAACACTCCGCCTCCTCCCGCTCACCGCCATGTAAGGTTTACAGCCGGCGTCCATGGTTTTGGCCACAGAGTCCACCAGGTACCCGCTGATGCCAAAGTCGCACATCTTCACCTGACCCTGAGTGTTGATCAGCACGTTGGAGGGCTTCACGTCTGCAAACACACACAGAGATTTTCTTTGTCAAAATTCTCTTCAGTTTTTTTTTTTCTCCTGAAACAGAAAGTGTCGACGCTGCCGTCACGTCTGCAGCGGCTCTGTGGTCGCTGGTCAGAACGCCACGTGTGACCTGATTTTTGAGTGATTTACCGACGCTTTGATGCCTCATGAGTCACACGGTGGTCACAGAGGTTTGACACAGGAAGACGAATTAACCCTCAAATGACCACAGCAGCGTTTTCACAGTTTATAACGAGATCGAGCCCCAAACCCCAGAGCTGGTTTTTGACTTCAGGAGGTTTGATCGACACAGAAAACGGAGCGAGATCAGGTCTGAAGGTTTGACGCCGTCACACTCAGTCGAACACAGTTTCATTATCAGGGTTCACGTGGATCCTAGAGGAGCTTCTGAGAGACTTAGAAGCATGTTAGAGGTCCTCAGTTTTAGATGTGTGGATCTACATCGTCTAGAGTTATAGAAAATGTATGAAGGACGGCTGTTTGAGTGATTTGGCTTTAAGGTCGTGATTCGGCGCTGTGTAAATTGAAGGTGAAGAATCCAGGGAGTAAATAATAATCAGGAAAGGCAGAAAACAAGGAGACTTTTGCAGAGACACCTTGAAACTTGATTATGAATTAACTTTAAAGTTATAATTGTGTATTGTCCTGTCAGACCTGCTCAAAGGTCTAAAAGATGGTCTCAAATTATGTGCAGCCCTGCTGGATATCAACCTAACCAGAAGAATTTGATAAATGACTCAATTTTAGGGTGAAAAGAGGATGGAAACGATTATTTTGATAAAATTCTGACAAAGTAAAAAGAACTTTTTCTATTTTTTATCAGATGATCAAATCGGAGTTTTACAGGCTGTTTGAGGTTAACAGAGGAGACTCAGAAGTGTTGCTGCTGATCAGGCTGCACAGCTCTGACTCTGAGGAAAGTCAGTCAAGTTAAAAAACGTGAACAGAACCAACCAAGGTTACCCAGAGAGCTGGTCTGAGAAACGCTGGAAGAACCAGAACTGAAAAACAGCAAAGACCTGAACCAGAGAGAGAGAGAGGCTGACGGAGCGCTGAGGCCCAGTCCTCCTCTCTGTCTGAGGTTCAAGGCTGCGTTAGCGAACAAAAACACACTTCATACCAAACACTTGAGTTGGATTTAGGAAATAAAGTTATTAAAACTGAGATCTCTAGTTCAGAAACCTCGATTTTAATCCTCTTCAGTACATTCATCCTTTTATTGGACACACTCTGACTCTTCATGAGGCTGCACCAAACTGAGAATTTCACTTCTGCAGGTTCAAATCTTTTAATATTCATTTAACCTTTAAGATGTTTTACAAAGTGGAAAAACGAACCCTGAGGCGGGGAGAGCGTCAGCAAAGACGACCACAGCTCAGGACAGAGACGGTGAATATCAGACCGCATAAAAAAGGAGGAGCTGGAGGGTCAGAGGAGTCGTCAGGCTGAAGGACTGACGCCTGTTTGGACATTTACTAACAGGATGTCTAGAAGATAATCTGCTGTCAGCTGATATGGACCGGCTTTAGGATCAACTGATGTACCGTGGGCTGAACTTGACTTTTTGGCCTGTCGGAACTAACACTGAGCTGAGCCGTGATTCAACATTTTCAAGACAAGAAAAACAAAAGTCTTTGAATGATGTTGGAAGAAAACAGAACCGTGTTCATATTTTACCATTTTTAAAGTTAAATAAAGACCGACCTTTTTAGTCTGGTTTTTAGTCGAATTTTGTTTGAATCTTTTAATCTCCATTATGTGATTTTAGAGTAACTATTTAGTGTTTTATTTCCTCTTTTAGAACCCCGGCCTTTTTTTTAATTTTGTAAGAAATAACAAAACTTCTACATAAAACAAGTCTAGGTTAGTTTGATATCGTTTCATCAGTCAGCTGTTGATGCTCTAACGCTTTCGTTGACCAGGACTCTTTTTATCAGGTGACTTTATTAGAGGAAGTTTAAAATAAAGATCAGGACTGAAGCTCGACACACAAACAGAAAAGATAAAACACACATAGAGAGAGATGGTGAGTGCAGCTGAATGCTGATGCATCAGAGCGGTGGATATCCACACCGTCTCTGAGAGCTATAATGGGCCTCCTCTCAGGCTCTTACCTCTGTGTATGACTTGCAGATTGCTGTGCAGATGCTCCAAAGCTTTTACTATCTGTAATAACAAAGCCCATTAATAAGCATGTGAGACCGGCATCAGGAGGAGCTGACATTAAGCTAACATCCACAGGAAGGAATTAAACTTTGATTGTTCGGAGGGTTTTTACGTGAACCCACAGAGACGGCGATCTTTCCCAGGATGTCCTCGGGGATGGTCTTGCCCTTCTCGATCACCTGCTTGTAGAACTTGTCGAGGGAGGTGTCCATCAGCTCCATGCAGATCCAGACGTCCCCCTGGCGAACGGACAGAGACACATTTGGACGGAGATCAAGAAAAGTGACAACAAAGCAGAGCAGCAGGACGCAATCCAGACAGACGGGAAGTGACAGATTTTTTACAGCGTTCGAGCCGTGAAGAGGAAATCCTGAACATACGCACGCCGCTGCAGGAAGCCGACCTGCGGAGGTGTTCGTCATGATTGATCTGTGTTTGTCATCAACACAACTTCATATCTGCGGGTCTTACATTCAGAAAACATCCACTGAAGATAATCTCCTGTTTTTACTGCAGGGAACTCCACACACACTTTGTTTTTTCAAGTCTGTTGCACAACCTCCAACCAGCTCGGAAACTGGATTTCAACACCCTGAGCGATCGAATGCGAAACTTCTGCAGGACTTCAGGCGTGTCGACGTTACAGTACAGAGGTGTTTAGTGAGAGTATTGACCGGTATATTACAGATTATCTTATTAAAGCAAACATTATAAAAGTAAAGATCAGAATAAGTTAGTTATCAAAATCAGGAAAGAGCTGTTTGCAATATTTGAGTTCAGTGAGGTCAAAGTCAGAAACAGGGATCCGCCCTCTCACTCGTCGAGTCAGCAGATTTAATAACAAAGGTCCTGATGTGTTGCTCACTGAGACATCACTTTAATACTCTGATCACTAACATAAACATCAATAACAATCAGGGTGTCGTATCTGATCGTGTTACCTCTCTGAAAAGCGCTCCGTAGAAGGTGACCGTGTAGAAACAGTCCACCGTCCTCATGGAGATGTCCAGGTCCGTCAGCAGCCTCTTCTGCTCCTGCGTGTTCACTGTGGCCCGAATACGCTGAGAGGAAACATGTAAAACCCCCGTTATCTCAGACTCAACTTAGTTTGTATGTTTATGTCACATCATTCGTCTGAGACCAACAGTTTTCTGGTGATAAACCTCCTGTTTCTGTGACCGTAAGGAGTTCTTCAATTTTCAGATACTGTTTAGATTCAATCCCTCAAAAATAAAGCTAATATCTGATGATTCATCTGCTAATTTGAGTGATTTAATTTAAGAAGTCTGGATCTACATTCGGCTGACTTTTAAGACTCTGCTTTACGAGAGACTCCAGCTTCTGTTTTGGGTGCCAGCTCCTCGATCTGAGATTCTATCTATTTAACAATAAAATACCATGATTATGAAAGCACTGAGGTCTCTGAAACATAGACATGTACTCACCTTCACCGCCATGATCAGACCACTGGGCATGTGCCTCATCTTGTCCACCACGCCGTACGCTCCTCTGCCCAGCTCGCATATCTGCTCCAGGTCATCCGCCTTCACCTCGAAATTCTGCTCGAGACACAGAAGAACCAGAGCGGACGAGGGATGGTTATGAGTATCTGTATTAAAATATGAACATTTAAAGGCTGTATGAGGTAAAACCGACATCTTTCCTTATCTCAAGAGAAAAATCACCCGCTTTGACTTGAAGCCAAACGGAGCAGAAAAGACGCAACATCTCTGCCAATGGAAAATTCCACTTATTTGAAGAGTTCAGAATAAATATTTTTACAGCCTGATGGGCAATAAAAGGCGTACCAGTCTGCCCACAATCCAGCTGTAAGGTGATGTTCATCCGCCCGTTCTTTACAGCTTATGGACTCAGTGTTGATTAAGACAAACCTGAGAGCTGAGGGGGATCCAGAGGGGTCTGACTGAGTCCAAAACAGACCTGGACAGGGTTTAGGTATGAGGACTAAACTACCTCTGAATGGGAAAGTGATTACAGCTCATTCCTGAAATTACCTTCTCTCCGATGGTCACACGGGCTTTTGAGTCCAGATCTCTGGGGGGTCTGAAACAAACATAAAACACACAAGTTATTTCTATGACATAAATATAGATTTTAATCTTCTTAAAGAGGAGGAAACAGTAAATGTAAGGCAAATATCAGCAGGATGATCATTAAAATGAAACATAACTTCAGCAGGAAACATGTAAATGTGTGTCTGAGTGATATTTGACTGAATCTGTGACTGTTATGAGGGAAAAAAAAGAGCCTGTCTAAAGATATACCGCTGAGAAAGATACGGTTTTAAACCAGTGACATTTACCGTCATACCGTGTCCGTTAGTGACCGTTACAGGGGACACTTAGCCGTTAGCCGGCTAGCTTCGGTTAGCTCGCTAACGGCTACACAAGTCCATTTAACTTCGTGTAAATCTGTTCCCGTGTGTGGACACAGAGAGAACCAGTTTAATTAGGTGTCGTTTTCCTAAAATACTCGGAGTGTCTCTTCAGTTCATCACCTGTCGCTCCGGCCGTTAGCCTGGACCAGAGCAGTCGAGTAAACAGAGTGGCGACAACTTCAGATCTCGCCGCCGGAGCGGTCACGTGGTTCATGTACCCCTCCATAGTTCCAAACGCAGCCTGCACTGTCCATGCTCTGCAACGGGGCAGACTGCAGTGAGCGCGCATTTAAGAGGTAAATATTAAAATTAACCGTAAAAAGTCAACATTTGCAACTCTTATTGGATTACTGTGTACACGTCAAAGTCACGTACGCATATTTAGCGGCTGGATGACAAATAAAAGTGAAATAAGACAAGTTTGGTAACACGTGTTACTTTTTAATAAGAGAAAATAATACAATAAAGTGGTAAGTAACAGGTGTTACAAGCTGTTTAAACAATTGTGCAATGTTTTGGTCTTGCAGCATGGCCTGCATAACATTTTTTCATGTTAAACATATGCCTTAAATGCTGACAGGATTTAAAAAGTAGCGGCCCCTTAACTCTATCATCCCATAAGCAGAAATCAAATTACATAGCACTTATGTTAGTCTAAAAATAATAAATTGCATATAACATCGGGAACTGATAAAGGCTGAAATCTAAAATAAAGCCCATAAGTAACCATCTCAACATATGATTGATGATGATGATTCATCTGTGATTCATAACTCAGTCACACAATACATTTTGGCAGGCCTCTACAGCTGACGACGTCCAGCTAGCAGGCCGTGGCTAAAAAATCGATCCCAATTCCTTACTAAAAAAACGTAATTACATCTGTAATTACAATTTGAGCATACTAAAATTAAAATCATTTTACATATAAAGGGGTCCCTCAATACCATTTACACACGTATTGGCATTACATTCGTTGATACAATATTTTACCTCGGGGAGTGTGGGAGCAAACCGTGGCTAAAAAATCGATCCCAATTCCTGACTATAAAAACGTAATTACATTTGGGATATACATTTTTACATATAAAGGGGTCCCCTCGATATCAATAACACATGTATTGGCATTAAACTTGTTGATATTTTATCATTTAATCCGGTGAGTGCTTGCCTTGTGGCCATAGAAGCGAACGGCGTCCGACGTGACAGGCGGTCAGGTTGGAACTATTAAGAGTTCTATAACCCGGAAGTGGGGTCCGCCGGGCTGTTCAGCGTCTGTCTATGGGAGTGTCGCCACTCTGTTTAATCGACTGCTCTGGCCTGGACTGTTCAACAAGGTGTCAGTGTAGCTGCTACCCGAATAAACCGGAATAAACCGGAAGGGGCGGGGCTGGTCGCCCAGGTAACCAGGAAGCTACACTTACTAAAAATCTGTGGGCCTAATATGGAAGCGAGTTTAATTCACCTCTGAATATAAAACCAGCTCTGGTTTCATGAATAACAGATCCTGAATGTTGATTTTAAAAAATAGACTGTATTTAAAACCATTTTTATAAAAGTTTATGTCTTTTTTACGAAAGTTATTTTAGTTATTTTATTTCTCTTGTTTCAGGCCTCCGATTTGCTTCTGAGGTAACTGGAATGCAGCATCATAAAGAAATATCTTATCTTGTTTTTCTGATAGTTTTTCTTTTAATTAATTAATTTACCCAGCGTCACAGACATTTGAAATTAACTCATTTTAAAGCTGTAATTGCAGAACAGAAACACCACAAATATCTGTGCTTATTTTCCTTAAAGCTCCTGTGATGAACTTCTTGTCTGTGTTGATTCTGGCGCCCCCCGCAGACAAAGGGGTAACTTGTATTATCGTTGATTTCACCTTATCAAAAAATCTCCACTGTTGTCTTTTTAGAGTGAAATTCAATCACCTGCTGTACATTTTTGTTGCAGAAAAGCAATTTGTTGGTCAATTCTTCAGAGCACCAGCCCCCTCACAGCAGTTAAAGAGATTACAGTACAGGAAGAGTCAATCTCACTGTTGGTGGTCTTTTTTACTCTGTTTCATAAACAAATAAAGACTTCTCATAGGAGCTCTAAGTTTATCATACCCTCAGAATCTCAGACTGCTCCACATGAGGCCAGAGAATATGAAATATCGCAGCAGGAGATTAAACTGGATTTACATAAAGTTTAAATAATTTCAATAAGTAAAATTAAACTAAGAGAATAACCTGTGAGAGAATTTAAATCACAGATTTACAGAAAAACACTCTGAAATCTGACGTTTCATAAGCCGCTGGCATGAAACCAGAACGCCTCTGTGCTGCAGGTTTCTCAATGAAGAGGACTGACTCTGAGGTGCAGTCAACCTTTTCTTTTTTCAGAATCATTTTCGGCTCCGCTGCTCTGCCACACAAACCTTCGTTTGAATGAGGAGGAGACGGCAAACATCATGCAGAAAAAAAGAGGCAGGAAACTTCAAGGAAAGTCATCCGTGACAGAAAATACATGAACCAAATGTTTCCTGTTTCTGTTTAGTTTCAGTACTAAAGTTAGTTTAAAGGAAGCTGAACCTCCGAGGTTAAAAATATGATAATCTACATTTTTTTAAAAGAGAACAACACTGAAATTTAGCTGAAATCAGGGTAAAAACAGCTGCATGTCCAAACTTACTTTAAACCAATGAAAATATCTTTAATAAACACAACAGTCAAATACTTTAGAGAAACAGTCAGGAGTCAAAGATGATTAATGTGACGTATTTCTGAAAGGTTCTTTTCCAGCAGTAAATGAAATTTTACTTTTCATACACACATCATAAACACGGTTCATCATGAGCTGCGTGAAGTTATGAAGATTCAGAGACATCATGATGTATATCATGCGGGTTTAAGTACGTGAGGATGAAGGTGGAAAGACCTCAGGATGAAAGTCAGCTGTGCCTCTGAGACGCTGATCTCGTCAAACTGTGAAACACGTGTCAAAAAAATATTCCCTCTGCTGGGAGCCAGCCGTACCCGTGTTGTTTCACCCAAAAATCGTCTTTTTTGGCTCAGTGTGTATTTGGTTTCTGGTGCTTTTGCAGTCAGCCTCTAGTGGACACTCAGGGAACTGCAGTTTTCAGCACTTTTGAATCAGCTTAAAGGGCATAAAATTAAGTGAGGGTCAAACACACCAAGTTAGACACCCCGTCGAGAGATTGGACGCTTGTTTGTAGCGAGATCTAGGGCGAGTCCATCGACTACAGCGGGGTTACGCAGCTCAAGGAAGAACATTTATGATCATTTCTTTATCATTTCCTTGAAGTAATAATCATCATATAAATCATTTTCATCCGCAGACACAGTAGTTCTTCTGCCTTAGTGTCTCGGTCTGATTGTATTTCCATGAAGAAATGATCATTAATGTTCTTCCTTGAGCTGCGGCACCCCGCTGTAGTCCGTAATGGACTGGTGTCAGAATATTCCTTGAAGTTCTAAAGACTGAAGGTTACTACTTTAAAAAGTACCTGTAACTGTTTTTAACTGTGTTTATTCAGTAAATTCACAAAAACAAACTTTATGAGTGATTCTTGTGACTCTTTTTGAACTAGTAAATAAAGTTGTAGTTCATTTATATTGAGCAGAAAAAGCTCTGTGGCTCCTCCTGCGAACACAATTATTCCATCGCTGAGTGAGCAGAGAGATCTTCACTCCCTTCTCTGCATCTTTTCAACAAAAACCTCTCCGGGTTTTCTTTTGTCGAAAGTCTTTAGCTGTAATAAAAAGTGAGAGTAAACTCACCCTGCAGCAGGAGGAGGCTGCTCAAACACCTCCTTGGAGAGCTTCAGCACCGGCTTCTTCTTACCTGGAAAAACAAAAAAAACACAATCAGAGAACGGAGGTCAGAGGTGTCAAGATCGAAGGGTTAGGAGACAAAACAACTGCAGGAGATTTGACTAAATATGCAGGAAAACATCTTTTTAATAGTTTGAAGAAAAAACAGTCGGTTTGTTTGCAGCCGTCATTTTATTTTAGGAGATGATTTTTCACGACTGAATTTGTTTTATCAAGAGATTACCACCAACAGCTTTCAGGCATTAAAGTCACAAAATACAAACCCAGAAGAATAAGTCTTAGATTTAACAAACACTCTTTACATTTCTCTGCACAAATCAGCCTGTAAACCTCTCTGTATCGACTCTTTACACTCTTACAGCCTCGACGAGGATGAAAACGAACTCTTACTGAAGCTTCATCTATAGGCAGATTAGTGCAGAGTAACCGCCTTCGTCTCTCTGCTCTCCAGGATTCAATGTCAAACACTGACGATTTCTCTGCTGCTGCTGCTGTCTGGAGCTTCACAGGCTCTTCAAAACTCCCACTGATGCAACATGACTCAAACTTCCTGCAGCCATCACTCCGAACAAAAAACCAACACAGACTCCACATCTACCACATCCCAACGACCCACAGAGTCAGCTCTGCAGCTTTTTCCTGTTGATATAGCAACTCCATCTGCAGCCGAGGCTTTCGACGCAGCGAGTGACTCCAGATCCTAAAAAGATTGTCGCAGGTGTTCAGAGCAAGAGGACGAAGGTGAAGAAGAAGATGAAGGAGGAGGTAGGCGCAGGTGTGCTCGCTCCACATGAAGGTGCCGCACTGATGGTTTAACAGCCGGTGCTTTAACGTGGTCACAGGTTTATGAGGTGGTTACATCTGGCTCAGACCTCCTCAGGCTGGATCGCTGCAGCTGAACCCGGTCAGGAATCGTTCCAGTAAACACACATGTAGACCAGCTCAGTGTGACGAAGAAATCACAACCAGTAAAGATCATAATCTGTAGAATAATTATCTTATGTAGAAATATATGAACGCAGTTTCAAAGGAGTAAAGAGCCGAGTTCAGAAAGGAGATTTTGAGATCTGCAAGGAATTTGACACATTAACTTGGATGGAAACGATCGGTGCCGATGACCTTTTCGCTGCCGTTCCGGATGCGGTGGAATTTGGGGGTAATGCTGAACAATATCTCCAGGTTTAGGAGCAACATCTGCGTCCATCCAGACAAAGAGTTTTTCAGGGAAGACCTTCAGATGATCTCAAACCACATTCTGACATGGCTCTGTAGGAGAAGAGTCCTGGACTGATGCAGTCCTGACTTGCATGCCTGGACTAGCCCCTAAACTTCATCCCATAGAGTTTAATTTGAGCAGTTTTATCTGCTGAAATATTTTGACAGAATCTTTCTTCCTTCTGAGTCGGAGTGACGTTTGCAGATGTCATTATTGGTGACAGAATAACTGATTAAGAGAAAGACGAACAAACGGACGGTTTTCTATCTTTGGATGAAACAGAGGAGGACGGTCTTCAGCTGGACAAAAATCTATGAGCTGTAATATTTGTGATGGAAATGCTCAGCATGTTGCAAAACGTCTAAAATCAGCCTGAAGCTCCGGGACTGAAGACAGAGATAACATTGTGAAATCTGGCCTCATTTGGTCCCGACCCCGAACTCTGCTGCAGTTTCCCTGGGAATGCTGCCGGCGTGCAAAGCTTCCAGGTAACGCCGAAAGCCACAGCGTGCACCACCCTCTGATGTCATGGCGTGCTTTACAAAATAAAAGCGAAGGTGTGTCGCTTTAAGAGGCTCGGAGCGGAGCCAGAAGAATAACTGGAATTTCTCACATCGCTTCGTCTCGTGAGAAAAACACAAACAGTCAAAAAACTGCCCTGAGGGTTTTCACAAACACAACCCTCTCATGCACACGCACACATGCACACACACACACACACACACACACATACACACACACACACACACACACACACTCTCTCTCACGGCGTGTCCGGTGTGTCCCTGTTTGTTGAAAGAGTGCAGGGTGTGACTCCGCCGTGTTATGCGGCCCTCCACCGGCGGCCTCCTGCTCTCCACTTTCCAAAGCAGCTTTGTTGCACTAAAATGTCACTTTGAGCCCCTCCTACTCCCATTTACACAGACAACAATGGTAACTGGAAACCAGTGCTCTGCTAACAGGTCCATCACCACAGAGAAACCACTCAGAGTCACAACACCTGCCCCCGGTCCTCACGGTTCAAACGCCTGGATGTTTCTGTCCGCCCAAACTCCGGCTGTGCGGGAGGATGAATCGTCCAGATTAAAGTGAGACGATCATAAACGCTGATTTGACTCCGACATTAAAAGGTCAAATTTAGATTTGCAGCCGCGTTTATAAAGAGCACTTCGAGTTAATGACTCTGTTTTTGTGAGTTTAGGGCTGGGATCTGGTCCAGATCATAGGAATCAAAATTTGGCAGAAAAATCAAAGTTAATTTTTTTTTACACGAAAGGCCCAAATTTTTTTTGTCTGTTTTTTTAAGGTCAAAGATCACATGTGGTGTTGAATCTCTCATGAATCCTCTTTAGAGACCGTCCAACACTTTAGTCTTTTAAACAAACTGCATTAAATCAAGAGTTAAAACTGAATCACAGCGCCAGATTTCACTGCCTTCATGTGAGTAAATCTGCACAAACAACATCAGAGTGGCCGAGAGTCGGACCGACACCAACTCAAGTTCTGACGCAGATAAATAAGCGACATTAAAGTGAAAGAGCGTCCATCTTTGTTGGAGAGGACTCGGGAATCAGACGCTTTTATTTTGGATCTTGAAGACGGTGGTTCTGCTCCCACGGGCCTCCAGGCAGTATGTGAGAGTCCTCTCTCCTCCTTTTCCTCTTTTTTTCCACTCAGCCAGACCCGCCGCCGTCCTGGGAACTCTTTCTATCTCCTGGATCAGGGTCACGTCTCCCCTGCAGCCTCCCTGTTTCTCCCTAAATCTACACGGGATCTCTGAGGCCCTAAAAGGCAGTCTGTGATTTTTAGACTCGAGCTACACAAATAAAAATATGACTGAGAACTCAGCATGAACAGATTTAACTTTGTGTATCAGGACAAACTTGGGGAAGAGCTCGTCTCACCATTGGAGTCAGCAGAGGGCGCTCCCATCGTGACCTGACTGTCGAACGCCACTCTTGACCTCAGTGAAAATAAACAGTGATGATTTTTTTAATGCAGTCAGAGACACAAAAACATCGGAAAACGCCGTGTGGAGTATTTAGGGTTTTTGACAGCAGATAGTCAAATGTTTAGGTGTGTCTCAATAAATCAGAATATCGTGCATGTTGTTGTTGTTATTAGACCTCCTCTCTATTTGTGCAGGGAGAGCAGCAGCAAAGACAGAGCAGAAGTCAGTCAGGCAGACTTTTGTGGCCTGCCTGGACTAACACTATAGCACAGAGTTGAGCGGTATGACGGTATAAACCGTGTGGCGGTATAAAAGTGTCCACCGATAGAAATTTTGCTCTATCGTTTATACCGGTGTGTAGTTGTCTGCGGTCGCTAACAGGAAAGCCGGAGCTGGTCATAAACAAACATTTTGTTTGTTTATGAATTTAAGTTTAAAAATAAAAGGAAAATGAACAAATGAGACAGTTTAGTTATTTGACATCTATTTATCGTATTTTTTCGACGATGAGGTACAGATGTGGACGTCATTTCAACGTCTGGAAGATTTCCAATAATGACGTCTAAATCTTGGATCGACATCTAGATTTGGTCTTCAAATTCTAAACGTCAGATCGACGTCTTAAAAAGGTCAGATTTGGACGTATTTTGCACGTCACACTGACGTCTAGATGTGGTCTTTGACGGACCGACCCAATACTGACCTGATCTGCACGTCTCTGTTTGTGGGATTAATTGAATTTACAGGAGAAAAAACCATGATGTAAGATTTTGTTCATACCGCCCAACACGACTATAGCATAAACTTTTACTGTGCTGACTCCGACTGTATTGAATCTCCCTCTTTTGTTCTGATCATCTCGTTCCTCATAGTCCAGGTCTAATTACTGTTACATAACGACACTGAAGGTTTCCTTGTCCTCGTTTTACTCCTGCTGGATTCGCGGACCAACATCTGACTTCCTCCCTGACATTTTCCAGGCTCTGCCCTGATGAATCCAGACCCAAACCAGCATCCCACGCCTCCTAACCCGGGCTGTGGTCTAATTTTCCACCGTTCTTCAGGACCAGATAATTCATGAGATAACCTCCTTCCTCGGAGTGTAAAAACAACACCAACGACTCTTCAGCAGAACTAACTCCAGCTTCCACATGACGAAATAAAAAGATGAATCGGCAACAAGCAGACGTGGAACTGAGTCACATGATTAACCTCAAACAATGTCCGAACAAAAGCTTCACTGTGAGACCACAAAGAGGTGACAACATCCACGGAGGAGGAGAGAAGAACCGGCCTTACAGCTGGGTCTGCTCTGAGATCATGAGGCGACACGCAGCTTCAGCCCTGACACGCATGCTGACATGACGAACCGCGCGTTTGACTTTAACGCCGTCCTCTGGTATGGAGGACGTTCACAGCAGGCACAGATCTGTAAGTAACCTGCAGTCAGTCATGACAGGCAGGTGTCGGCACGCTGCACGCTGCGCTCGTGATGCAGGTAGTTCAGCGACCACATATGCAAATCAGACACATGACACACAGCTCCCTGCCGCTCTCCTACAGTGACATGTCTGAACTCACAGGAGATCTGCGAAGCTCCAGAACCGGCTGCAGCTGCACGGATCGAACAGAAGTGTAAGAGAAGAGAGGAGGTGGAGGGGGGTCGGCGGGTCGGAGGATTATGTAATCTGTGCGGCTGGCAGGAGGAAGCGTGCGCCCTGCTTTCAAACACGAGAAATGATGGGAAAAGATTCAGGTTCTGCAGCTCGATGGATTCAAACGGATCGATGGCAGAACAGCGGAGATTTATTCGTCATTTAGGGACAAAACGAGAAATTCAGAGAGGTCGTTCTGGGGTCACGCAAACTGAAGCAAAACCAGAACATTTAGACGGATAATAAAAAACCCTGACAGATGAAACCATGAAAATAGTTGTTAGAAGCAAAACAAACCAATTAGACTGACTTACTCTAGTGTGTTAAATCCTAATTTCCCACATTATACAGCAACAAGAGGACAGTATTTCATCATAAATCAACCTTAAAGACGTATTTCTGACTCTCTATTTCTGAGCACTCTCAATTTTACAGACAGTCTCATTGTCTGCGGTCCAAACCCCAAAATATCCTTTCCAAAGATGAAAAACAAAGAAAAGCAGAAAATGATCCCGTCTGAAAACGGTTGGTCCAGACTGAAATCGTCTAAAAACCTCTAAAAGCTTTGGCATTCAAACTTGAGCAGCTATTGGGAGTTTCTGAGTGGATGTAAATGACTTGTTTTCATATTTAAAACACCATCATGCTTTCAAACATGAGGACACGTCTCCCCCCTCAGCAGTACTTTGTATTTTTGCTTATCTGCACAAACACGGAGCAAAGATTGTGAAATCTGTGCACATCATAACAGCTGCATAAAAGTAAGTAACCTCTGCCACAGTGAGCATGTCAGCACGCAAACATCAGCGTTTCACAGAGGAGCATAGATCCTGCACACTGTCAGGACAGACCTCCAAAATATGATGTTTGCATGAAAATTAAGTCGGTTTTAAAACATCTTTGAGGGAAAATCTGAATGCATTACAAGACTTTTGCAGAAGTCACTATTTAATCACATTTCTGTAACACAACAGTTCTAAATGTGATCAGTCATGCACGTCTGCGTATGTCACATTTGAAACTGTGAACCCAAAAACAACAGCAACAACATTTTTCATGCAAAATTTTCCATCCAGCTCCTCCCCCAGGTCTCATTTTTTGCAGCTTACCCTCCAAGAAGTCAGAGTTAGTATTATGCAAAAACAGCAGGTGACAGAAAGAGGCGTGCACATCCTGAAGCTAGTGCATGTGATATAAACCGATGCAGCACCCACAGAGCATTTTTTGGTCTTAAAGAGATCTAACAGACGTCTAAATGTAGCCTAGATGACTTCTCTAAAATCAGGTCTACAAATGAACGTTCTTCAGACGTCTAAATTTAGACCAAGTTTAGACTAGCCGGCTATTTCTATTTCAACGGCTGTCATGATTATGTTGGTTACGTACTTGAAGATCAGTTATGAAATAAATAGTTATCGAAAAATGGGTTAAAGTGCGACGTCTAAATTCTGTCCAAAAATATACTGAATCTAGAAGGTTGAAATTAGGTTAAAAAAACGATATCAATATCTGATATCGGTCCAATATCAGCCAAAAAAAACAAATATCAGATTAAATCGGCCCACATCTAAAATCTCTGATACAAGCAGTCCATTCCAGACTCCACTCCGGCACGTCTAACTAAAAACGCCCGGATCCAGCAACAGAGCCGACATGATCACAACAACAGTGTGAACTAAAGTACGAACAAAGTAGAGAGGAGTCAGAGTGACGTCGGCCGTGTGGGAATATTTTTCGTTAAAGTCCGAAAAAGACATTGCAGCCGAGTGCAGTACTTGTCATGTACAATTTGTGCCAATATCAGATCAATATCTGTATCGGCCAATAATGAAGGCTACAATATCAGCATTAGCAGACTAAAGACTGCAATATCGTTATTGGGGCTACGATATCGTAAACGCCTCGTACTGAAGGCTACAATACCAGTATCGGTCAATACTAAAGGCTGCAATATCAGTACTGGGGCTAAAATATCGGTATCAGCCGATACTAAAGACTACAATAGGTATGGCCTGATACTGAAGGCTAGAATATCGGTATTGGCCGATACTATAGGCTAGAATATCGGTATTGGGGCTATAACATCGGAAACAGACGATATTGACGGCTACAATATCAGCATCAGGGTTACAATATCAGTATTGGGGCTACGATATCGTAAACGGCCCATACTAAAGGCTTCAATACCTGTATCGGCCAATAATGAAGGCTACAATATCAGCATTAGCAGACTAAAGACTGCAATATCGTTATTGGGGCTACGATATCGTAAACGCCTCGTACTGAAGGCTACAATACCAGTATCGGTCAATACTAAAGGCTGCAATATCAGTACTGGGGCTAAAATATCGGTATCAGCCGATACTAAAGACTACAATAGGTATGGCCTGATACTGAAGGCTAGAATATCGGTATTGGCCGATACTATAGGCTAGAATATCGGTATTGGGGCTATAACATCGGAAACAGACGATATTGACGGCTACAATATCAGCATCAGGGTTACAATATCGGTATTGGGGCTACGATATCGTAAACGGCCCATACTAAAGGCTTCAATACCAGTATCGGTCAGTACTAAAGGCTACAATATCGGTATTGGGGCTATAATATCGCAAATGGCCGATACTGATGGCTAAAATATCAGCATCAGGGCTACAATATCAGTATTGGCCAATACTGAAGGCGACAATATCGGAATCATATCGGAGGTAAAACAGTTGTATGGGGACATGTTATCAACAGGTAGAGAAGCTCCTTTGCGAGAGTTTCCTCCCCTCTTTAGTTTACAGTCGAGGTTTTAATAACTTGCGCTAACAGCAGCTCTCAGGGTCGACCTCTGACTGAACAGGCATCTCTGTAAACCTCTGCGTACAGCCCTCTACTGTAAAGGTCAAAAACTGCATCACTGAATCTGAAGAATGTGTAGGCAAGAGGGTCAAAGGTCAAGCTGCAACGATATGCATGACACACTACAGTAGGGGAAAAGTCCAGAGCTTCCCTGTAAGACGAGAAAGAGGAAGAGAAAACTGGAGCTGCACTAAAGAGCTGCGAATGTCCTTAATTATGTTCCTGCAGCAGACTCGCTAACATGGAGACGATATAAAAATATCCCGTTTCAGACGCGCTCCAGATCATGTTGCATAACTCCGATGCACAATTCCTTCCTTTCTTCTTGCTGAGCTCAGCATCGAGGAGTCTGCATACTGTGGCGCGCAGCGTGGGCTAATTAAAAGCAGCAGTACATATCATTCCCGGTGATTTGCAGCACATGAGCTGAAGTATGCGGAGAAATGCCAAAGAGAGGCCACAGGAGATGAACGTCTGAGCACTCCCGGCCTCCGCCACGCCCGCTACCAGGCATGCAATCAGCGTCATCGTCCTGGAGAGCAGGGAGAGGAGGAATAATGCTGACAGGAGGGTTTTCAGGGCAGGAGCAGAGTGTGTGTGTGTGTGTGTGTGTGTGTGTGTGTGTGTGTGTGCAGGTGACTGAGCCCAGATCACGGGGACATGCCGTGCCCGCTGCTAACCCACACATGCACCCGGCTGGAATTCCAACAATCCCGAGAGTTCCTCAATGGAATTCCAGAGAGCCTGAGGAGGAGGAGGAGGAGGAGGAGGAAGATGGATCAGTCAGAGCCGGAGGAGCAGGAGGAGGAGGAGGAGGAGGAGGAGGAGGACAGCCACAGAGGAGGGAGGGAGTGATTTGAAAATAACTCCAGCTGAATCCTCTCGGATGTTTCCCCCCCCTTCGACCGCTCTGGCAGTCTGTGAGATACTCTACACTTCCAAACATGGCCGCTCCTTTAGGTTCCAGCTGTCACGAGCTCCACTTGGAATCAACTTGTCACCGGCTCACTCCTCACTTCCTGTGTAGTCGGATCATCGCGAAGGATACTCGCCGGGGTATCAGCTTCAGGTCGCCTCGGAGCAAGAACGCCGCCTGGGACCAGACCACCGCAGACCTCCACGCTTAAACGGACGGACACCGGATCAGCCTGAAGTGACCCGTGTTCAAAGGTGGTCATGTGTTTCTTCGAGGACTTTGGCAAAACCGCAATCTGTCTGAGAAAGTGACTCGGATAAAATCAGGAGTTTGAAGAAACATAATGATGTTGTTTTCCTGATGTTGTTCAATCATGTCGATCCCCTCCGGCTCAATTCCTGATTTTTTGTCGCACGTAAAATTTTCAACCGTGCGTTTATGAGACTATTTCCTCTCTACAAACACAAAAACACACAAACAAACAAAAGCTGCCGTCAACAATCCACCAAACTCTCTCTCTCGTTCTGCCTAACGGTCGCCGAGGTGCTAATAAGAGCCGGTGATTGTTGGAAATATTCAATAAGAAAAACAGGTTTAAAACTGCCGACTGACGGTTAATATCAGAATAAAAGAAGCTTCAGAGGGAGAGAGTCTGAGAGAGCAGCTGCTTTTCTTCATCACCAGAGATTCGGACAAAAACAGACTTTTTACAGGTTTAAGACTCACGACTCACAGTCACTGATAACGTTCACTCGTCACGTTTACATGTGAGAAATTTCTTGATCCGATTAAAAATTTGAGGGATCAGAAAATCTGAATCAGCTGTTTATACAGACGCAAAATCAAATATCGTATTTATAAGGCGCACCATCAATGAACACGTCGATTTTCATACATAAGGTGCACCGGATTATAAAGCGCATTAAACCAAACAAAACAGTCAGATAAATCAAACTTTATTTAACTCATTCAATAACTCAGCGAGGCTACCGTAGCTGCAGTGCGCCAATAAGCCAAAAGGATTTTAAGTGCGCCTTTTGGTGCGAAAAATACGGTAAATACACGCACCGAGTTTTATTCGTTAGAAACATTTGGACATGCGTAGAGTTGTCCGATTTCGCTCAAACAATCGCAAAAGAAGAAGAAGAAGAAGAGTTGTATTGACGCCTGAGCTGTCAACAACCAACAAACTCGGTAGTGGTTCACTTCCCTTGTTAAATGTCACTAGATGGCGCTCTTGCGTACTTATTTTACTGTTCTGTCAAAGGTGGCGCTGTGCGTGCAGATGTGACATCATTACGCCGTATGTACACCTCGTTATGTTAGCCGAGGTTGTGTTAATAATGAAACCTCCTGAACTGACCTCAATAAACAAAGAGTGAAGATGGAGTCAGGTTAGAGAGTCACAATCGGAATAAGTGTTTACATGGACGCGTTTCAGAATAACGATCGGCATATATCGGCATATAATTTCTTTCCGATTGAGTCGAATTGGATCAGAATCTTCCGATCGACATGTTTACGTGACGCTTTTTTATTCAGATTATTTCTGCTCATGTATCAATTAGACAGAGAGAGTGAAATAAATGATTAAAGGATTTAGAGTTCATGTTTTCATCAAAGGAAAACTTGTTTTTTTATCTCTAATTGATCATGAACATTTCTGATCATTTCCACTTTGAAGATAATTCTGTTTCCTTCAACTTTCACTGAGACGCAGAAATCAGAGATTAAAATGATCTCTGTTCTATTTAACCGGATGATTCTTCACGCTGTGGTGCAACACTCCCTTCCTTCCCCGTCCTCACCCTGTTTCAGCACGACAAACTGGAGACCTGGGAACCTTCAGCTGAACCGGATCCATGAGTCACTTCTTCTTAAGCGTTACTGGAAACGTTTAAAGTCATGATTGCGCCGCACACCTCAGCTGTGAATGCATGTGTGACAAAATGAGCAGTAATCGTCGAAAAACCTCCTGAACAGCGAGTTTAATTCTCCCTGACGGAGAAGTTGCTGTCGTCTGAATGCGTGCTTGCTTACTCATTAAACCCTCCTTCACAGACTGAAGTACAGTCAGTGGATCATCTGAACAATACTCTCAACAATTCCACTCTTATTGCAGCAGAAAAAAAAACCTCTCCAGGCCTGGAACCCGACCAACAATCGGCCCGTTGAAACAGCAAATTTAGTATCTGTGCAGCTGAAAACTCAGCTTGCATTTGCATGACAAACGGGACGTTAGTGCAGGGGCGCGAGGGCCAAACCGGGCTGAAGGGAACACGAGCTGGGAGGGCCGCTGTGACAGACCAGCACACACTACAGCAGTCTGCACAGCACACAATGGTGGAGAATGTAGAGGCAGCTTTGTGCAGGAGAAGACGACTTCATGCACACGTCTGATGAAAACCAAAGAAGAAGAAACAGGATGAAGAACTCAATCAGTCTGGGAGGATTTCTGTGAAACTCAAGGACGTGCTGCTTCTTCTGCTGCTGCAGATTTAGACTCTCATTTCCTTCAGGAGCTCGTTTTAAAGTCGTGAATCAGAATTTAAACGTCTCATCAGGATGTTTTTCTTGTTTTTTTTAATCACGGTTTTAAAATGTTTCCAATTTCTGAAAAACTGATTAAATTTCTTACAAATCTGCAGGATCCAAGTTGTTTTTTATGAATGTTTTATTAAAAGAAACTCTCCTGCAGAAATTATTCATCTTACTTAAAGCTCCTGTAAGGAACTTTCACTTTGAGTCCGTTTTGACGCCCAAAAGCCCGTTGCGTCTCTTTAAACATAAGAAGTGTTTTCCAACTACAAAATCTCATCATGCAGACTCTTTACAGTCAAACATGTAAAAAAACATGTCAACAAGGTTTTTTCTTCAGTGGCTCCACCCCCTAATAAACATGACAGTAAAATACCGTTAATTGTCTTGGTTGTTTTTCTCCATCATGAACAACAACAATAAGAATTTCAATCTAATTCATAAATGTCAAAACTGCCTTAATTCTTTAACGGTCTGAGCCAACCTTCTTACATTTGACAAGCAACAGGTACAATCAGTGGGCGTGGCCTAACAGGTGCAATTAGCCACTCCCATATTTTTGACACAGGCGCGTCAAAATTCACCTCTGAATATTTCGTAATACTGCTTCGTATATTTGCGTCATTCCCGGTGTGTAAGGGCCTGAATTCATGTCTCTCTGTTTCTATATCATGTTAGCAAGCACCATGTCAGCCCGTTACCACAGCGACCACATGTGCATTTGACTGACAGCTGCTCGTATACAGTGTCCATCCTTATTCTGTAACATCTGTAGTCTGACCCTCTTTATGATACACCATCAGTGAAGCCGCTATATTCCTGTAAATCAATCAAAAAACGATCAATTATGACGAGTTTGTCTGTTCTGGGCTTCTGTAGAAACATGGCGGGGAAAAACGGCAACTCCCGAGGAAGAGGAGTCACTCAAAAGTAGTGAACTAAAAGAAAATGACGTTTTATATTCATGTGATTATAACCTGATTTAATGACCTACATCACGTCTGTTTTGCTAAATCTCACACTGCAGCTTTAAAACACGACCAGGACGATTTTTTCTCTTTTTTTCTTCCTTTAAAATAAAAAAACAGTGAAAACATCGATCACACTTTCCTGAAAACACATTGACGCCCAGAACAATAAAAAAATGGTGAATTTAAAACCAAATAAACGAACGAAAAAAGAAGAATCATCTCAAAAAGCGACACTGGAACTTCTTAGTCGACTTTTCCATGAACAGATTTGACCAAATGTAGCTGATTTTTGTTAAACGTCTTATGTAATCGACTGATTTCTGCAGCTTCACTTTGCTGCGACAGAGGAAATGATCTTTAGGAGACTGACAGAGTCGATTCTGCTTCTTCTCTGCTGACCCACAAAGAGTCGGCACAAATACTTGAAGAAATGATTAATCTAGAAATCAATGTATCCCCTCGGCGGCGGCAGATCTGTGTGTGGGCCTGCACTTCCTGCACCGTACTCCATCTATGAATGACACCAGAAACCTACTTCTGCTCTCAGGAAAGTCCCAAATTGACTCATTCATCCACAAACGAGAGAAAAATGTCTGTGCATTATTCATCAGAAGATGAAGCGGCTGCAACAAGACGGTTCCTGTGTGTAGGAGGGCGGACGACTGAGTGACTGAGCGAGGCAGAGGAACAGTGCGAGGCTCTGACCATCAGGGGCTCTCTCCCTCTCTCCCCCTCTCTCTCTCCTACCTGCTCCTGTCCTGCACGGCCCCTCGCTGACTGACTGTGTGTGTGTGTTGTGTGTGTGTGTGTGTGTGTGTGTGTGTGTGTGTGTGTTCTCTGCATGTTGTGCAATACACCAGCCTCTCTTTGGACTTCTTGGAAAACAGGGCACTGGGAGGAAAGAGGCCTGAGCTGAGCTGAGCTGAGCGAGCGAGCGAGCTGCCTTCACTGCAGCTGTTTTTTCTCTCTCTCTCTCTCTCCGCCTCGTGCATTCAACGATGAACTTGCAGAGCTGTCAGGCTGCAGGGAAGCGGGGTCAAAGTGTGGCGTGCGTGCTTCTCTGTGTGCATGCAGAGGGGGAAAAGTTGGTCATCACAAACACACACAAACACACACACACACACAGAGGGGTTTCATACTTGCAGACTTGTTTTGTAACAGCCTGAACAAGCCCCCCTGTTCTCCTGAACACACCACAACTAAGTCTATTCTTAGCTTTTTTCCATTTTCTCCCTCATAAGCAGAAATCTGCAGCCAATAAACACTCGAGACTCGGACCCTCTGACAGCTGCAGGTTGTCACGTCACTCCCGCACCTTAACCACGCATGTTTACGTGCACGAGGCATGCATTAACTCGTGCAGAGTTTATTCCGAGGAGTTGCTCGTGTGTCCTTGTCAATCTCGTGACTATTAAAGGCGCTTCTCCCACCACCATCCGTGCAGGTCAGTCGGTGCAGCAGCAGCGGCAGCAGCAGCAGCGCCGCTAATATGAGTGAGGAGGACATGAAGCATCGTCTTACCAGGAACTGTGCAAAGGGGGAAGATCATCTGCAAACAGGAAATGCAAACTGACCCCTTCGAAACCGTCTAACTTTAAAATGCACCGGCCGAGCTCGCGCTGCAGCGGTGCATGTTGCAGCGCGTGCAGCCGTGATTGCACGTCGCTAGTTAGTGCACGGATCGGCGTGGATATTCTTACCTCCCTTCGGCTGAGACATTTCCCCTCTGCTTTGATGAGGGGGAGGGGAAGCACAAAAGACTTTGCCTTCTTTCTCACTCCCTCCCTCCATCGCTCTCTCTCTCTCGCTCTCTCTCTCTCTCTCTCTCTCGCTCGCAGCTCTGGAGCTTCAGCGGCTTCCCTTCTGCTGCAACAAAGATGCAAAAATACCAGCCTCGATCTTCATGCACTTGGAGCCTTTTGGCGTCCGGGGCGTGCGTGTCCGTGCACGGGGCGCCGGTGTGGATGCACAGCCCCCGCGAGCGTCGGTTAATCGGGTAATTTCTGCAAATGCACTGCAAAGAGCAGTCCGCAGCACTTACATGATGGGCCAAGGCTGGCAGCTGAAAGCTCCTAACTTGGATCAGTGTGAGCCCCTGCGAGAGAACGTTCTTCCTGCTTGGGGCGCGGGGGCTGCTGGGAAATGTAGTCCTGCCGTGGTGAAACCTGTTATTTGCGTTGCTGGTTTCTGTTTTCACTGTCTCATGAGGAGTGTTCGTCTGCGGTGATTAAAACAATATGAGGTCATTATTTTATTAATGAGAAATTCATGCAAACATAAATAAAACCGCTCTGATGTGTTGGATATTTACTTTTTTGGAGGTTTAAAAAAAGAAAAATTAACCTTCCTAAACTGAGTTTCATCAGTTTTTATTTTTATTATTTTATTTTTTGATTTAAAAAAAAAAATTACAACAAGGATCTGTAACTACTTTTTTTATTTTTAAGTGATAATAACGTGTAAAGTTTCTCTCAAAGATAATTATGTTTAATTATTTTGTTTAATGGATATTAGCTTAAAGACCTGAAGACTGAACCTAATCTAACTGAAAACAAACCTTTTTAGTCTTCTTTTCAGTCAAGTTTCTATTATTAACTTTAAGTGTTTTCACATAACTCTTTTATTGAGTTATTTTGGTGCTCTTATTTTAGTATCTCTTACTGTTGTTTTTATTTCATTTTATTTATTATTTCTTAAATTTTATTTTATGTTTCTTTGTTTTTAGATTTTAAAGCTCCAGTGTTTCCTAATCTTGAGTTTTAAAACAGCGTTTCCGCAGTCGAGCCTTTTCCAGTTCATGTATTTTAACTCACGTTTCTATTGAGCTTTGATTGCGAGGCCGGAATTAGGGGTTTGGTTGGGATGGATCAGAGTTTTCTTTGTTTATTTTATTCCTCTGCTCTGTGCTATATTGTTTTTGAATGAAAAGTGTCATACAAATAAAGACTGATTGATGGATTGATTGATTGATTGATTGATTGATTGATTGATATCACTTGTGTTGTGATGTGATGTTTGCGTGGAAACTGTGATGTTTGCTGCAAACCAGTTTGCTTCTAGAGCAAAATAAAGATCCTCCAATCCAACCCAGGAGTAAGAGAGAAGTTTCTTTGTGCTGCTTTATAAATAAAAATAAACAAGTGTGTTTGTCTGAGACCATAAATCGTGAATAATGCAGAGCTGAGCGAGGGATTTAAAGTATGAAAATGGATCAAAAAGATGCACAACAGACTGAATCACGGGTCCATAAAGTGGATATGGATTCATGCATATAAAATACCCCACCATAAATAATCACAGATAAAGGATTATTGAGCATTTACTGCAGAAAAGAGACCAAATAAATGTCAAGGGTTTTGAATGTTTACTGATAACAGCTGTGGTCCTAAATTAGAGCCCTGGGGAACACCTCAAGTGATCTTACCAGAGTGTAAAAAACCCGAGTCAGAACTATTGATATTAATGTTACGCTTGCATATTTTCCTTAATAGGGTCATAATTCCTCTTCATGTTTCAACGATACTTCTGTGTTTGAAATGTAAATGAACGGACCTTTAGTGTGACACTTTTTTTGGTTTGATGTCACGTTTTGTACAGAAAGCAAATAAAAGTGTGTTCTCTTTGATGAAAAACACGATCGTAACTTTGAGGACTTTAATAAAAAGTTTTATTATAAGGAAACACGGACAAACATGACAGTGAATCTAAGAAAGAAGAATCACATCTGTAAGGAGGTACTGGGACATCTACTGTGGTGTTCGGGCGTCTGTAAATATACGATGAGAAAAGTAAAAATATGAAGTAAAAAAGGGCCGTTTGAGGCACCTGAGATTGAGCAGAACGAACATTTGATCCTCAGTGAAAGAGAAATGACGCTAAAAGTGAGGATCTTTGGACCTTTAAGATGATTTTTTCTTACCTGTAGCAGGTTCAACTTTCAGAGTGAAATTCTGAGATATTTCAGCAAATCTGAACATTCAGATGAGGTTTGACCTGAAAATGACAACAGCTCTGACCTTGTGAATTTTCATAGAAGTTAAAAGCACCAATTTATGTATAAAAAAGAAACGAAAATGTTGCAGAATTTTAAACCTAAATAAGAGTAAAAGTTTGTTAAATTTGTCTTTGGTCGACTAAAACAAGAAACCAACTTGTTTGTTCATTTGTTCAGTTCTGAGCTCAGTAATTCCTGACGAAATGCACCTTTAAACCAGCGACTGTGCATGTCTTTTTATTCATGAAGTTACAGGATTTAGTTCACTTTTCTTAGACGTAATAAAATCTTATTTTTCAGCTCAGGTTAATTTGTGTTTGAATCATTTTGGGCATCTTTTGGTAAAAGGAGCAGAAACAGAGTTTTAGTGTAACGATATCATGCAGACAAGAATTAAGATGTCGAATTATGAGATTAAAGTCAGAATATTATACTGGATTAAAGTCATGATAAAGTTACAAGGATTTGAAAACATATAACAGGAATAAAGTTATAATATTTTTATTATAACTTATATATAAAGACCAGATTTTTCCTGATTTCCTGACTGAAAGACGTTCAGACAGTCTGGTTTTGGTTTGTGAGTTTCCAGATAAAAACAGACGAACGGTATTAAAGAAAACTGATCCAAACGTCACACATATGAGGAGGAGGGTTCAGATCCACGTCCCTGTGATCCAGCAGATGGCGCTCAGGGGGGTCGGATCGTGAGTTGAGGTACGGTGGCTCTGATGGGGGTTTGAAGGGTCAGTTCTTGGTGCTGATGAGGGTCTGGTACATCGGCTTCACGATGATGTGGAGGTACAGGGAGCTGTCGATGAGGTACTCCGATGTCCGGCGGTAAAGATCGGCTTCGGCCAGGAAATCGCCGTTCTCCTCCGTGCTCTGGTGGAAGTTGTAGACGTGTTTGACCACCACGTTCCCCTGCTGCTGAGCCATCACCAGCACCGTCTTCTGGAAGTTCACGCCGGCAAAATCCGCGCTGGACGTAGCCGGTGTGATGATGATGCGAGGGCGTCCTCCTTCCACACGAGTCGGCTGCATGGCGCCGGTTTCCGTGTACATGGATCTCATGGTGAGGGGTAACCAGCGTGGCGAGAAGAGGGCGTTCCAGGTCACTCTCTTGCTGGAGTCGTGTCCGCTGGGTCCCAGCTGGGTCTGGAAGCTGGTGCTGCGGTCGTCCCGTGTCGGGTTGTTGATGATCCACGGTGACCCCCACACCGAGGACAGGTAGTTCCTGGGCACGAAGAGGCTGCAGTTCACGTCAAAGTACTTCGCCATGCTGAGCGGGGACGCCGAGTGGAACTGGTAGGACATGTAGAGCAGGTCTCGCACCGACTCCTGATAGCGTGCGAGGATCATCGACTGCGTCTGCAGGCGGAAGAGCTCTCGTGGAGGCATCATGGCGTAGCGTACGGCTCTTAAAGCGTTCTCGGCCGTCAGACCGTCGGGCTCGTTCTGGATGATCCAGGCCTCCAACGCCGCGAACAGCTCCATCTCGCTCTGCAGGATGAGGTCAGAGCGCTGCAGCAGAGTCATGAGGAGCTGGCTGCTGATGCCCACCCACTCTCCGCTCTGCAGAACCGACGACAGGTTCCAGGCCATGTAGAGCAGACAGCTGTCCCTCAGGGTCAGGTCTCCGGCCTGCAGGGCGTACTCATACCAGCCCGCCACGTGACCCGAGGGAGAGTCCCGGGCCAGGTTCTGGGTCATGTACTGGGTGATGCCCTGCTGGAGGACCATCACTTGGTACTTAGTGGCCAGTTTGTGCAGAGCTATAGCCTGTTCCAGACGAAGAGACAGTTCGCCGCAGTAAAGGTACCTGTTTGAAGAGACGAAGAGGAACGTGAGACACCAAAATGAGACCGCTGAGTCTGACCCCCAAATCCCACCGCATCCGGAACGACTACGAAAGGCTGTATCAGCCGATCATAGCTGATTGTAACCACTCGATGTGCCAATTTCCATTCCATTGTGGATCGCTGGACTCCACAGCTGATCGCATGAGTTCTATTTTTTCAAAATAAAACATCCGGCTTCTTTTCAAAATAAAACACTCCGTGTTTCAGGAGGATCGTATTTCACACCATGCAAACGGGCGGAGACGAACAAGTGAAAGGTTTTTAGACGTCATTTCACCCCGATGACACCATGGATGAGGAGATGCTGATTCTAGAAGTCTAGCAGTAGATTTCCTCCTCTGGAAGGACACAATCTACTGCTTTTATGTCTATGTGGCTGTCTATAGAGTTAAGTCGTTATCATGCAATTGCACTTGAATCCGCAGGTTCTTGTGAGTTCTCACGATTCCTGCTGTCCGAAATTTGCCCTTGGTGCACAGCGAAAATTGACGCCATTCCAGATGCAGTGGAAATTGGGAGTTATGCTTAAAATTGAGGATGCAGCATCTATGATTTCCAGTTCTTCGTTGAAAGGACAACTGGACTTCCTTGTAAGTCCAGTTGTCCTTTCCAAAAGAGTGTTAGATTTTGATCCATCAGACCTCAGGACAATTCACGAATAAGTGATATTGCGCCCATGCGGTGACTCCAACTACAGAGTCCTGAAACTCCCAAACCTGGAGATAAAGTTCAGCATTGATGGAGCCTTCACAGATGTGCGAACTAGTTTTTTCAATAATTCGAGCGCAGGTCAACACGCGATTGCACGTGAATCCGCGGATTCTTGTGAGTTCTTGTGATTCCTGCTGTCTGTAATCCACCATGAAATTTGCCTCACCAACGGATCAGGTGGGAATTGACGGACGGCGAAAATAGCCGCCATTTCGGGTTGTAGCCGTTCCGGATGCGGTGGAAATTTGGGGTGAACCTGCTGTTTGACCTTTAACACTTCACCTATAATGAGTTCAACCATGTTGGAGCTGAACCTCTAAGCCAGATACCATGACCCTTTACTTCCTGTCCTCCCCACATATCCTCTCTCTTCAGCCGTCCTACCTTAAAAAACAAAAAGGTCAAAAAATATGATTGAAAAGAAAAGTAAACAAAGAAATAAGATGAACCAGGCTGGTTCTTCATATCTAATATCGTGTTCATGCGGCTGTAAAGAGTCGTGTTCCTCTCAGTCTTCTTCAGGTGTTTGTTTTCAGAGCTGAACCACATGGTCAGACATGATTTTCTCCATCTGGTAAAGAGCAGATGTGCTTTTGTGTTTTCCTTCAGCTTTTATCGTCCTCATTAACATCTGGGATAAAAATAGATCTTTTTTTATTGATTGCTGCTGCAGAGTCGGCTCCATGTCGTCTCACTGACTGCTGCGCCGCAGGAGAACCCAGCGGTTCACTGGTTAATCAATTTGTTTGACACTAAAGTCAACACTGATTGGTTGTCTCAGGGCTGCAGCTGAGGAGTTCATCCCTCTGGAGGGCGCTCTAACTCTAGCGAGTGGATGTTTTCCCCTTTCCTCTCACCTGATGAACCTGTCGAACACGGCGGCGCAGTCGGAGCTCTCCTTCAGGACCAGCGTGCTGCTGTTTCGGCTCAGCAGCAGCTCCTCGAACACGGGGCTCTGCAGCGAGAGCACCAGCGAGTGCACCTGGATCACCTTCACCTCGTCCGCGTTTGGCGTCTCCACCCTGAGGGAAATGTCGCTGCCGTTCCCCTGAACCAGCAGGGCCTCCAGACGCTGCACGATGGTCACAGAGTGGCTGATGGTGTCCCCGCCGCCGCCGCCGCTGCCTCCACCCTGGGCCCCATCGGCTTTCCCTGTATGGAGTGAGAACAGGATGAACAGATTATTAGAAAGTGAGATTAAAGGAGGACTCCCAGAGCTGATGTCCTGAAGCTGCCTTGGATTAATTTACTGGAGCGGACAGAAGTGAACCAGTATCATAGAAATCCATGCCATTGATCGGTCCAGCTGCACACGCTGTCTGGATAATGAAGGATTGTGGGTCACGTTTAATTAGAGCTCTGTCTCAGCTGAGGCGGTTGTAGCACACCACCACCACCACCACCCCTCCTCCACCCATCCTCTGCTCTATAACTGTAACCCTGATTCACAGAAGCTCAGTGTGCTTCCTCTTTCTGAGTCATGTTTAATATTTGGCACTTCCTTTCCCGGAACGACGAGACCCAAACCCAGCCTGAGAGTCGAGATGTTCCCTTTAAATCACCGTCTGGACCAAGGACGACGTTTCAGGCCAGAAATAATGAATCAGTCGAGGGTTTTTTATTTTCACAGGAGTGGAAAGAAAAAGGAGGGAAGCTCCAACACGGATGATTTACACATGTTTTTAAACGCTTTATTTGACTGAAATTACCAAATCAGGCTCTATAAGTGAAGAGTTTTATTATTTAGAGCTTCTAGAAGGAAGTTTCTGTTTGTGTCAACCTTGGCGCCCCCTGTGGACAAAGAAGTCTCTGCACTCTTGTTCTTAATGCTCTTGTGAGCAGCTTTTACAACAATTTGAAAAAGCTATCAAGATCATTTTCAACAAGATTGATCATTTTTATGTTTTCACGCTAATCAGAAGACGAGGAAAAAAATAGGCAAAAATAGCTTTGTCCAAAAGGGGGCGCCAAATACACACAAACAAAAATGTCCTCATAGGAGCTTTAAGTAGCTACTCATCCTGCCGACCTGATGATCAAATTTATCATTTAGTGTTTATCATTTAGCTATTTATCCGATATTGGCACACAATTGTGCATGACAAGTCTTGAACTCATCTGCAATGTCTTGCAGAAACACTGTTGTTGTGATTACGTGGGTTCTGCATGCTGATAGATAGAGGTTCTGGAGCGGAGTCTGGAATGGACTGCTTGGATTTGAGTGCTGATATTGGAGATTTTAGATGCAAGCCGACATAATCCAATATTCTTTTTTTTTTTTGCTGATATTAGACCAATATCTGATATCAATATCGTATTGGGACATCCCTTTCCAAAGCCCGAGCACCATACAAGAATTATATGAAATTTACAGCAATTCACCAAACATCTCATTCTTCGGCTGCTTGGCTAACACCTGCCCCCTCAAACTGGTTTCAGGCTTTTTTTCATCAACTTTACAAACTTCTTGTTGGTACTTTTAATCCGGTACGAGGAGTTTTTAATTTGTGCTGAGACAGACAGAAATTTACAGAGACGCACTTTTATGAACTACGAAGACAAACGAGACAAAAAGGGATGAAACCAACGACATCGATGTTTGATTTTTAGTTTCCAGTCTCAGGTCAGGTGACTGAGGGGACACGAAAAACAAACTATTTATACTTTTTTTTTCATGGCAGATTGTCTAAATGGGGTTTTGGCCTAAAACCATGTTTAAGAATGTGGATGATTAACCCCTGATACAGACGGGACTGTTTCTGTCTGCATATCCAATGAAAGCTAAATCCAAGTTTTCAAAATGCCACTGCTGTCACTTCCTTTTAACAAAAACAGAAATCCTGAAGTCCTTACACAGTCCTAATGATCCTTTTTTCACAGATAATTTTTAAATCATCCACAAACATTAACCCCCCCACAGCAGTGTCATGGTTTTATGGTCATGAAGCGTCTTTTTATACTCTGGACTCTCTCTCTTTTCATGAACAGACGCTCCTCTATAATTACTTTTCCCAGTTTAGAAGCAAAATCAGACTCTTATTTACAACACGGCCTCAGGCCTCCACTCTCAGAGGAAACGGATGTTCATGCTGAAGTGAGCTCGTCTCAAACATGAGTTCATCAGTCCACAATAATCGGTGAAATACGGTTTTGTGTTTGATGAAGTCTGTCAAAGTATCTCTGAACAGGAACTCACCTGCAGCCGCCGCCGCCGCCGCCTGCAGACTCACACACAGAGCCACAAACATCATCCTCACGCTCTGATCCACTTCTTTCTTCATCTCTTCTCGCTCTTCCTCTCCTGCGTCCTCGCTCAGCCCGGCTTTCTCTCCGTCCTGCTGTGGAGGATCAGGGGGTCTGTGTCTGAATGTGGGACAGGGGGTCCTCCTGGCCATGCACACACAACCTCATCGATTAGTGGGTGGAAACAGACCCGGGTTGTTTCCATGACTACCGTGACTTTGATAGTGACTTTCCTATCCTTGGGTATTAATGCTCGGTGCATGACATTGATTAGGGGAGGAGGCAGCGGGGGACGCTCAGACAGCTGTGGACTGGGAGACCGGAGGGGTGAGGAACAGCTGGGACGTGATAAATCTGTCTGTAGGTGGAGATGATTGGTCAATCATAAATCTGAGTGTACATGTACGTACACTAAATTAAACTGACTGTCTGATGACGACCTCTGGGTCTGCTGCCTCTAAAAACTCTTTCACCAGAGTCGCTTCATACAAATACACACAATGTGATATACGATACAATACAGCAATACAAGTCAAGTCAATACAATGCATTACGATACAATATGAAATGTTATGATATGGTGCAGTTCAATACAATGTGATAGAATTCATTATTGTGTGGTAAAACTCAACTGTCACGTCAGTCGAGTTTCTCTTTTATTTTTGCACATTCCTGTTTGTTTCATTTCCTGTTTTATTTTGTATTTCACTAACTCTTGTTTCTGTCTGGTCTGCCCCGCCCCCGTCTCGTCACACCTGCGGCCTGATTGTGTCTCCTCACCTGTTTCTCATCACCCTCGTTTCCTTTTGTATTTTGTCTCACCGTCTCGTCATCAGTTTGTTGCACTTCTTGTCTCATTCCAGCGTTTATTCATAGTATCACCTTTACCCGCCTTTTCAGATCTTACCTTTTGCCTCACGTTGTTTGATCCCTCTGCCTGAACTCACTGACCTTTGCCTGAACTTTGTTAAACTCTGTCTGTTTGACTGAATTTGTGTCGTGCCGTTGTGTCCTCCAGTCTGTGCTCTGGTTCATGACAGCAATATGATACAATTCATTACGACACAATGTGATATACAACAATATGATGAAATATGATGAATTAGATATGATGCTATATGATTCAATGCAATATGATAGGAAACGATATGTTTACAATTCAATATGATATAAATCAATAAGTTATGATATGATGCAACATGATGCAATACAATATGTTATGATACAATATGAAACCACGTGATGTAGTATGATATGATGCAATACTATACAATGTGATGTGATATGATATGATACATTATGATATAATAGTTTACAATACGATAGTGAGAATTCAATGCAGTATGATACAGTTTGACATCTGTACAGATTTATGTTTGGACAGTTTTACATCTATATAGTTTTACATCTATATAGTTTTACATCTGTTCAGTTTTATATCTGTACAGTGTTATATCTGTACAGTTTTACATCTATACAGATTTACATCTATATAGTTTTATATCTGTACAGTTTTACATCTATTCAGTTTTACATTTATACAGTTTAATATCTGTACAGGTTTTTATCTGTTCAGTTATACATCTATATAGTGTTATATCTGTACAGTTTGACATCTATACAGTTTTATGTCTTTACAATTTGATATCTTCATAGCTTTATATCTATACAGTTTAATATCTGTACAGTTTGACATCTATACAGTTTTATATCTGTCCATTCCCCTACGGTTCAGTCTGAGTCATATAATGAGGTGAAGTAGGTCAGACTTGCTGAGATCAGATACATTAAGGACAGAATGGAAATGTATTTTCTCAGAGTCTCTTCCTGCTGCTGCTGACGTTGAGGAACTAAACTCAGAGGAAGCACGCACCAATGACCATAGACTGTATACTGCACATTACCCATAATGCACATGGTCCATATAATCTACATAAACAGAGATAATCAAAGACGTCAGCGTGTGTGTCCTCTAGTTTTTACTCCTGCAGAGAAATGAAGCCTGTAATTTCTGCCTGATGGCCTGAAGTTCAGACGGTTGATGCTCCACGTGCAGAAATGTGTGTCAGTGTGTTCACCCACTTTAGCTCTTGTGCGTGACACAGCAACACAGACAATTTATTCACAGCTCCGGGCTACGGCCAGCTTCATTAGAGGGGAGTAAGTTATCCGATCGATAATTCACCAACAATTTAATCAAAGTCTTCGTCTCTGATTCTGACATTTACAAACTCAAAGTGGAGCAGACTGAGAGAGCCTCCTCCGCTCTTACCTTTTCACTCTAACCCCTCTGTGTGTTTGTGGGGAAGTGGAGTAGTGTCACGTCAGTGTTGTCGACCCCGGCAGGCGTGTGATGATCACATGTGTGTCACAGTCGATGGTGATCCCACAGGACGAGTTCATCCATCCCAGTGTGACTCTGGACGGAGACAATCTGTGTCACAGTGTTAGCCAGCAGGTCACTCCTCTGCTCACAAAGTCAGTCTTTGTCTCGGTCTACAAAGTTTACAATAACCTGGAAAACATCTTTAGGTGATGGAGATGTAGAAAGGAGAACAGTATTTGTGTTTCAACCTCAGTTTATATTCATCCATCTTTACCTCCAGTAGATAGAATTGAAAAGCTTTGTTTGGTCTCTGCTCTCAAATCCAAGTTAAACTCTCGTATCGTTCATTTCTTTGTTCTATTTCCCTCCTTTTAATCGTCTAAACTTGTTGCTATGCCTCTGCGGCAAAACTCAAATTCTCTGACTATCTGCAAAGAGTTTTTTTATTATTTCATCATCACTTCTTGTTTCTTCAAAAGGAAACCGTGTCTTTGAATCTGTTTAACATTTTCTGTCTGCAGTGAGGAAATCTCAACTTTCACAAATTTATCCAAAAACTACCTGAATGACCTGAAAAAAACAAAGTTATAAAATGTTCATTTTGTGGTTTGTGTGAACTAACCCTTTAATTTTGATCTTATCTTTGTAAAGTTTTAAAACAAGTAATTATCTTCTCTTCTGTGATTTTATTTGTATTTTTATGCTTCATCTGATTATTATTATTATTATTAGTAGTAGTAGTAGTAGTTGTAGTAGTATTATTATTATGAGTAGCAGTAGTAGTAGTAGTAGTGGCAGCAGTAGTAGTAGTAGTGGTAGGGTTGCAGTGGAAGTGTAGAAAACTACTGGTTGTACTTACATATCATGTCCACTAGAGGGCAGAACAGCTGCATTTCACCAGCATCAGGATCATAGCCTGTATATAGAAGTATTGTATACATGATCAGGATTCAAACAATGAACATTATTATGAACATGATTACAGACATGACTGACTCATCACAGGAACACAAACAGCCCAATTGATTATTATTATTATTATTATTAATAATATTACAATTTTGAGAAAACTGGATATCAAATGAAATATAGTGGAATATAATGTAGAAAAACTGGAAATACTTTAAATATTATTTGACAGTTTTAGGGTGTAAAATACAGAAAAAAGATAGGGGAAAACTAAATTCACTTTCACTTTTAACACATTCATTTCTAAATTATGTGTATGCCCGAAAATAAAAATATGACTCGATCAAAACTGTTCATAAAAAAATAAAAAGTAAAGAGTCGCTTCATAAAAAAGGCAGAAAAGATAAAAAGTTGACTGATGTGTCAATAAATGTGAATGGCAGGTTAAAGAAAATACATTAGTGGATGAAGTTAAAAATATATATTCATGTTTTTATTATCAACATTTATTAAGCTGACTGGTAAGAAAGGAAAGGTAATCATTAAACATACGAAAACGAGTCAAACTGTCATGATATGTTGGATATAATGACCCTGGTTCCCTCCTGTTCTCAGTGTTTTATTCTTTAGATCAGTTTTCAGTGTTTGTTTCCTGTTTTATTTTGTAGGAGTTGATTCCTTGTCCCTCCTTTGTTAATCACTCATCTGCCTCACCTGTTGCTCGTTTCCCAGTCTGTATAAAGTCTCTTTTTTTTCTCTCTTTCATGTCTGATTTGTTTACGTGAGAAAGAAATCTTCTCAAGATCAGCGTTTCTCGTCCTGGAGAAGTTCATGATTGCGTTCAGGATTTCTCCCAGAGCGAAATAATCTCTGCAGACATCTCTCTCTCTCTCTCTGTACGGACGTGTTTAATGCTCTCAACCCTCTCTTAATATTCACTCAAGTTATGCCAGCTGTCCCAGTGAGTTTCAATCACACTGATGCTCCGTAATCACCGATCACTGACGATTGATTTCTGCTGGAGAGCTGACCAATAGGAGCAATCATGAAGCCATTAGAGCTGCTGTTTGTTTTAAAGGAAAATAAAGTCAGATTAAAGTCGTAACTGAGTGACTAATACGGCCTCAGAGCCAGACCGAGTCAGTGCTTTGGTATGATCTGAACAAATAAGAAAGAAATGTGATCCTTAACGAGATTATACTTCATGTCGGACACACAGTCAGAGCTGTAATCATGGATAAAGTGATCAATCAAGCTGTCCCGTACGAGCGCTGATTAAAATTAAAGTTTATAAATGTTGGCATGAGAAGAAGACGGTAAGAGTTCAAGTGGTAATAAACGAACTCCTGCACCTCTGCGCAGGACGAGGTTTGTGGTGTTATACACTCCGGTTTGTGTCTGCTGCAGGTTTTCTTTTTCTGACTGAAACTAAAACATGACGTTAGAATCACATCCTTCATTATCCTCCTTCATTTTCTAACCTGAAGCGGTTAAATTTTCTCATTTCTGCTCTAAGAAGTTACGATTATCCCCCATCGAGCAGTTAATCCAAGTAGGACCAAAAGTTTAAAATTGAGGACTTGATGTAGGGCTGGGCGGTAAACTGAAAATTTACAGATATGTACGACAATAACCAACGTCACTTTGCCCATAAGATATATTAGATGTCAAAAATAAATAAATCAAAGTTAGTTTTGGATGTGTGTAGGTCGGCTATGGTCTCATGTCCCTTTAAGACGCTGTCCTACATCGTAACAAAGAGGTAAAGACAGGTGAGGAGATGGAGGACGGTTCAGAAGTTGGAGCGGCTGAAGTAGACGGCGTTAATGTGGGAGGGGCTGAGCAGCTTGTGGAGTAGTTATCGTCCATTTATCGTTATTGAACTGCTCAATATATCGTGATATCGATTTGAGGACATATCGCTCAGCCCTAACTTGATGTGTGTATAGATCTGGTGAGTTTCAAAAACAGGGATCCCTCAGTGTTTAAAACTGTAGATTTAATAAAGTAAATAAAATCGGTTTTACCCCAAAGAGACAAATTAAAGAACTAAATTCCTCTTTAGAAAGTGTGCAGCTTAAACGTAGATGAAATTCGTCACATGAATGAGCTACCCTGAGGTTCTGAGCTCAGTTCGAGCATGAAGTCATGACGTACAGGTCCGAGCTCGGATAATATGTCAGTGTTTGTCTGGAGAGCTGCTCGAGTTTCAGCCGCTGAGACTCTTATTGCTTTAAAGCTGCACAGAGTGACGCTCAGGAGGTTTGAGGTTATGGCACGAGTCCAATCTGAGGTGACCTACAAGGAGGACTCAGTCTGAGGATTCATTTATCTCCCTGCAGCAGCAGCAGCTCCATTAACTCTCCCTCAGTCGCAGAGGAAGATTTGTTTCTCAGTGGAAGGCGAGGGATGAAATGAGAAGAGGCAGCGAGAAACTGGCTGTAAATCGGAGCTGTCGATAGATCGTAGAGGCGTGAAATTGACTCCATGAGTTTAATATCCTCGACAGAAAAAGTCCTTACACATGGAATCACAACCTGCTGCTGCAGTCATACAGTTATGTAATTTTTCTGTTGTTCTCATGAGTCGACTGGTGGCCCGCCATGTCGCGCTGAGCACGGCGCTCTCTCTTTGAACGGAATTATCAAACTTGTCCCTGGAAATAGTGCGACCATATTCGCACTACGCAGGGCAGAGTCACGCAGAGTCGCTTTTATGTGCTTCTAATTCAGTTAGTCCACGTGACACAAATTCAACACTTCCATACAATACCCCGGACATTTGAAGGATTCGATAAACTCCCCCCGACAAGACCGGAGCACGCCCCAAAAAGGCGAGATGTCCGGGTAAAAGAGGAAGTATGGTCACCCTATTGGAAACAAACGGCTGACACAACCTGAGCAAGAGAGTTTTGATACTGCAAGGTGAAGTTTAAGCGCGAGTAAAATCATCTGCTCGCTTAATTCGCGCGAATTGAGACACCTGAATGAATTGTATTTACTCGCTTTATTCGCGTGTCAACGATAATTTCAACGTTACTGGTGGGATCAAATGATAGACAAATGTCATATGTCACACTGTAACCTTTGTACTGATTGGTTATCGCGACGTGAATATCCGCTCAAGTTGAGACATATTCAACTTCCGCCCAATTCACACCACAGAGTATTAGGAGTGAATGACGCGAATTTACATCCACTTAACATGTAATTCATTCGCGCAAATGATTTTACTCCCGCCTGGTTTGTGGAGACAGTAAAACTGCACAGTGACACTAGAATATCCGCTCAAGTTGAGACATTTTCAGCCCATGTCTAGTTCACAGTCATTCATGCCACCAGATTAGTAGGAGCGAATGACGCGAATTTACATTGACTTAACATGTAATTCACTCGCGCGAATGATTTTACTCCCGCCTGGTTTGTGGAGACGGTCAAACCACACAGAGACAAAAGCCGATGACTGCTCAGGGTCTTGGGTCTGTTTTTTAATTTTTTTTCTGGACTGCCCATAAAAGGAAGATTTGACTTTGTTGACCGTGTTGGTGAATTTTAACGACTGCATCAGGATAATAAAACAGAAAAAAAAAAACACACAAAGCTCGACCTTCATTATCAGCTTCATTCTTATTTATTCCTGCTGCATCGTCCGCCTCCTGCTTAACAAACCTGATTGATAACAAGTCATGTCTGCCGCATCATTAACTAACAAGGTTCATTATTTGCCTGAGCGACCCCCGCCGCGGCGAACAATCAGAGGTATGACCCGCGTCTTGGATAAATATGTAAAATGACTCACAGCTGCAGGGTGAGGAGAGCCAAACTGGGTCACAGCGAGATCATGCCGACTTCACGATTGCAAATAATTTATCAAAGTGACGGACGAGTACGTTTTCACATTTTCTTTTTAATGCGCTGTTTGTATCCGAGCTTCGCTTTCGTCACCAATTTGCAGTCGTGAGACGGGCCTTCTTTACGAGTTTAGCTGAATTAAGGAGATGTTTGTTTTGTGCAAATCTGATTTCAGTCATTTCCTCTCTGTAATCATGTTACATTCAAAGACTGTCGAGAATACAAACATAAAATTAGAAGATGTCCCAAATCGTGTCCAAAATTGATAGTCCCTGCATGTAGTATTTGCGTAAATGTGTGTGTATGTGTACGCTTGTTCTTATAGTATTATTAGGACACATGCCAGATTGTGTGCAAACTCAATGGGGACGTATCTGTCACAAAGCGGGAAAAAAAAGAAGTAGCGATAAAACCGACTATATGTTTATAAAAATTAGCACATTAGGGTTATTAGCTCTACAGCTGCAAGTTTTTCTTCCATAATAACCAAATAAAAGAGCGCTCCAAGTCCATACCTCGGCTGCTAGAGTACAGTATGTGGGTCATAGCAACAATACACTCATAACATTTGGTTTTTACAAAGATAGTAAGCGTACCTCGCCTTGTCTAAATAAAAAGAAATGATACTATATGAGGTCAAACTAATTTTAGAAAACTCCTGCCAATGTTTCTACACAAACAACGACATGCTAAAGATTTGATAAAAAGGTCTTATCACAAAGTCCTCTGACTGGGTTTATCCAGAACTGTCAAACACACGGACCTCGTCAGTGGAAACAGTAAACTGCTGTTTCTAAGTTCAGCAGTGAACCTTAAAACTCGGCTTTTTGCCCCAAATATTTAGCAGCATTTAGTTTTCTGTAACCGCTTTGTCGCTGTCTCTCCACAATTTAGTGAAATTTCTCATTTCTCTCGACAACACAGCTGAACAAATCATTAGCATTAGTCAGTTATTTCAGTAATTGAGTATTGTTTCTGTTTTACTTTATAAAGGGAGATATAAGCTGATTTAGTGCTTTTATAAGTCTGAAAAAAATCACAGGGTGCCTACACAATTGGAATTTCCATACTTTTCCATACACTACTTTTTGGAATTTTTTTGTAAATACCTTCTTTTCTATTTTATAAAACAATATCTTAGAACTGTGGTTATAGTCTGGAAACATAAATATAGGAACTCTGAGTTCAGTGTTATAAAAACAGGGATGATTTTGCAGGAAAACTAAAACAAAGGTGAGCAATTCAACCAGGTAAACATCTTCAAAAATGACAAAAACTTTCTAAATCATCCAGAAGATTTCACTTTTTCAAATTCAGGTTCATTAGTCCTGCACTTTCAACAAGGTTTCTACCGTTAGCACCCCTCAGTAAACGCAGCTTTTCTTTTTTTGTTTAGCATTAATGTTTTAGAGTCACAACAGAGTTAAAATACAAGATATTAAGAGTAAATCTTCAAGATTTATTTGAACAAGTGAAACCTCCAAATATCCAACAATGAGAAATAAAACAAAGGATTCAAAGATACTGAATCTAACATGTTATATCCATCAGGATCTGCAGATTACTTCAGATCAACGATGTTTGTTTTTGCTCGTGAGTGTAGAAAATACAGACGACCAAAGTGTTGCGTTCCTAAAACTATAATGGACAAAAACGACCAAAATAGTGACTAACAGGCATTTTATTTTGTAAAAGCTGCCAAACTAACACTGGGTAACACTTGATGATAATTATTCAAACAATCAAAAACCAAAACCTCACAATCTAAAACACGTTGGAAAAAGCAAAAAAGAAATGTACGCATGGAAATAAACCAAACGCCCGGAGGACAGAGACCTGAGCTGAAACCGTCATTCTTGTTTTAACAGGTTATATAATCAGCTGTCACCAAAATGCAATAAAGTCCACAGTGCTACTCTATGATTATAAGTACTTAGAGCTAATGTTGAGTGTAAGAAGGAATTTAGAAACACATTAGTCCGCATACTGAGAGTGTTGATTTTGTCCGGTTTCCAGGCTGAATGTGAAATTCGACCACAGATGGAGGAACTTGAGTTCAAACTGTCAGACTTTGAGCAGTTTTCCATCACTTCTCTCTGAATCGGTTTCTTCTTCCTGATCTGTTTCCTCCCTCTCTCACCTCTGTCCGTCCACAGATCAATCCCTCCCCCTTGTCTCTTTTATTTTCACTCCCCTCTCTCTCTCCGCTCACAGGCTGCAGTGATGCACCAGCTGTATGGACTCCACATCTCCTCCTCCTCTTCTTCTTCTTTATCCACCTCCACAGCGATGTCGGGACTCTGGGGGGACCGGCTGTAGCCCGGGTTGAGAGCTCTAGATGTGAAGGTAAGACGCAGTAGGGTAGACAAAACTGTAGAAAACTCCTCAAGAGTTTCTGTTTTTTTGTTCTTGAGCAATCAGCGCTGCTATACATCACTGACTTCAGATGCCGGTGCGAGGTACGGTCTCATTAGGAGAAGTTATTCCTGGAAGCAGCGAGGGCGTCTGGGTTGTCTCTCTCTCTTTTCACAGTTTGGGTGATTGACTCAAACTCAAACACTGCTTAACTTGACGTCTTCCTCTTGATGTGTCGCTTCCTAAAACTTCTGAGAAAGAGACGTTTGTCATCATAACGTATTTCCACAGACTTCTTCTGGATCCTGTCTCCCTGAAATCATCGACACAGGTCTGGAATTTGGCCCTTAAGCAAATATTTGAAGCTCATTTTCCTACATTAAGTGTGACTCTCTCCATGATCTATTGTATGATCTTAAAAGCTGTCCAAGCTTTCACTTGCTTCCTAAAAAGCATGTCATGTGAAACAGCCATGTAATATTTGCACCATGACGCCGGCAGCATCCTTTATCTGGTGGCAGCTCTGTTGTTTCAGGTGCACAGTCTCTTGATGAATAATTAAGAGGACTCAGTGGAGCAGAGATAAAGTTCAGTCCAGTGTCCTGGGCACTGAACCCCCTGCAGAGCCTCGTCCTCTAGCCCCCAGCTGCATCTGAACCCTGGGAACAAAATCCACAATAATCCCTTAATCAGAAACATGCATTCCCGCGCTCCGGTCCTGTTTGAAGTCGATGTTTTTGTGGGGAATCCTCGGAGGACTCTGATCAGTCTATTCTGTTTTCACGTCAATATATCTGATTTCCCAGCGGAAACTGTCTGAGAGCGGACTTCATCAAACACCTCTCGAGGTGAAAATGGTCAATTCCCACTTTGAATCTGCAGCAGCAGCTCGGGGAGTGACCCATGATTAGAAAACCTCAGAGAGAATCAAGTCTGATGAGGAGAAAGGAGACGAGACACAGGCCAGGATGTGATTTGCTGCTTTTGTGACGGAGAAGGACTTAAAGAAGTGGCTGCTGGGAGATTGATCGCCGTTTTGTAAAATAACGGCTCCCCTGTGCCGTGTTTTGCAGACGCCTCCTCCTCTATAACGATCATCTTTCTCTTTCACTGCTGGTCCTGAGGTGAGGCTCGTGTGGAGACGGATCAGGTGTCTGGCTGAGGCGTAACACCGCCCACGCATGTCTGCAGCAGCCAATGCAGTTTTTGTTTAGACGCCAAAAAATCCTGTTTTTTAATCATTTAAAGTCCGTGTTTAGTTTCTAGAGTCTGAAGGGGAAATGTTGTTACCTGATAGAAAATTTCACCTGCTCAACAGTTCAGGGTCTCATTTATCATGAGGTTTGTGTCATGATGCTCCAAATGTTTTCAATAAGATATCAGTCCAGGTCTCTTCTCCTACAGAGCCATGCTGTTGAATGTGGTTTGGGATCATTTGAAGGTCTTCCCTGAAAAAGTGTTTGTCTGGATGGACGCAGATGTTTCTCCGAAACCTGGAGATGTTGTCCAAAACTGAGGATGCAGCATCTATGATTTCTAGTTCTTTGTTGAAAGGACAACTGGACTTACTTGGGACATCCCAAGTAAGTCCAGTTGTCCTTTTTAAAAGAGTGTTAGATTTTGATTCATCAGACTTCAGGACAGTTAGCCAGTATACCCAGTAAGGCACCCAGAGACCCCTGCCCCACGCCCCCGTAACCCCGTAACAAAAACAGAGTAGAGGAGTAGCGTTCGTCTCGTCTTTTGAAAAAGCAGCGCGTCCATCATGTCGGACAAAAACAACGCTGTTCGATGCTCCATCTTCTTGTTTCTCCAAAATGCCCAGCAGCAGTTGTAGACACTTCTGACGTCTGACACCGACCTGCTGTTGTTGTTGACGGTTGGATGGGGTCACTTTGTCTGAGTCCATCTTAAAGGAGTTCAGGTCCAACGTTTCTGGATCATGTCCTCACAAGTTTCCTCTTTCCAGTTAAAACCTCATTTGTGGATTCAACAAAATGTGCTCTTGGTAGAACTTTGAGCCCATGCGGTGACTTCCACTACAGAGTCCTGTCTGCTTTAGAGCCAGCACCCCTGAATCTGAATCTTTGAACAATATTATGATGAAATCCACTCATTCGAACTGTGAGCTCACGCAGTCTCTCACAGAGTCCTGAACCTCTTCCATCTTTCCTTCCGAGAGACTCGACCTCTCTAAATCTCCGTCTGAGATCTGGTCATGTGACTGACCTTTTGGACATTAACGGTATTCATTCGTCGATGTTCCTCTGACTGTTTTTTTTTTGGAATTAGACTTTTTCACTCTTTTGTCATCCCCGTCCTGGAATCAAATCATCCCTTCAGTTCAGCTGTTGTTGGTTTAATGTCAGATATTTATGTTTCTAACTGAGCAGACGAGCTAAAAAGCCACTTTAACCTCTCCAGTGTAAATATTTGTTTTGTTTTTGAGCAGGACAAACTTTAAATCCGTCACCTTTGGCTTTTTGTTTTCAGACTTTGTGAACCAAACAGACGCAGAAAGGATGCTTTTAAAGACTTAAACTTAAGCTGCAGATCATAATATATGTTCATTACATAACGGCGCAGTTCCTCTGCATTAACTCTTCTGCAGGGAGAGCGAGTTTTTTTTCCACCCTGAGGTCAAACGCTGAAGAAATGAGCGTATATCTGTCTGCTCTTCTGCTCTCTACAAGTATAAATAGCAGAAAGGACATCCGATCTCATCATGTGTGATGATGTTACACAACAACGCGAGGGTTTGATGGATTAAATACACGGACGCAGAGTTAAACAGTAAGAAGTAAAGTTTAAGATCAAACTCTGAGCTCATGTTTCTTTAATTTATGAGCTGGAGTCATTCAGAGTCTGAAGACTTCTTATCACTGCACGTATCACGGCTCAGCTGAGCGGCGAGAAAATATTTTAGAGACAGGACCGATACGAGAGAGTGATGTTAAACCCTGACCTCGTTTTACCCTGAATGGTGATGCAAACAAAACAGAGCGGACGTCAAATACATCGACGGCTCTGAGTGACGTTTGGATCAGGACTGGAACTTCTCTTAGCAAGCCGCTTTTACACAAACGCACCCCAGGAACCCCTTAGCCAAAGTTAGCATCCACAACTGCAGGGGCTCATCCAGGGGTGGAGACAGGGGTGCCATAGCCCCTGATAGACGACCCCAAACCCTAAAAATTGATTGGTTACTTCCAGGTTCTCAAATAAATAGTTGAAGAGTTTCTGTAGATGGGTTAACTCTCTCTGATACGTTCATGAAACTTCTCGTTTTACCTGAATATGCACAAACCTTCCTACTTTGAGGGGCGGCATCGATCAATGAGCCACTTTTAGACGTTTGGGATGAGATGTGGTCGACTTCAGTCCGCTAACTTTCTCGCTGACCAAACTTCCCCGTCATTCACGAAACATAAAGTTTATTTCCAGGAGCTTCAGGAGCTGGGACCCCCGCTGAAGGAAAATTTAATCCCCCGGCTGTTTCAGAAAAGCTATGAGGCGGCTCTTAACCTGAATTACATCATCGATCATGATGATTGCTTTTCGATCCGCGCGCCCGGCGAGTTTATGAAGCCGAGGTGAATCAGGGCAGCCGAGCGTTCAGATATTCCTCAGTTTTATGGTCACATTCCTGCTGCGGCTCATAAAATGTGCACATGGCACATAAATACTTTTTACAACGGCTGAATCTAAATATGAACAAACGTCGGAAGTAGAAAAGCGCCCAGCTGGCGTCATGAGCCCCGGTCACAGCGACCGGCTGAAGGCGGCTCCATGATGGTGTTTACGTTGGTTAGGCATCTACAAACGGTGGAGATAAGACAGTCCAAATAGAGCTCCATCACGCATGAGCGGAGGAAACCAGGAGAGAAAAACAGGATGGAGGTGAAAAGGTGAGACGAGGAGACGGGATGGTAATGAGTAAGGAGAGGGTGGAGGGCGCCAGGGTCATCGCTGACCGTCCATCTGCTGTTGTGGACCCGAAGTTTAATGGACTGAGTCCAAACTCGGAGGTTTGACTGACTTTTGGTTTTCACAGATTATCTTAAAAACAGCAAACAGATCAGGAGAGCAAACAGCGTCGAGGTCGGCCCGACGTAAAATCGGAGACAAACAACCAACAGCAGGAGTCAGGTCTTCATGGAGACCAACAGGAGAGACCAGGACGCCAACCCGGTCTGTCCACGGAGGGAAAATACTGATCTGAGAAACAGCTACAGAATCAACATTTAATAAACAACTTTTCATTTTTAAGAGATGTTTCATAATCTCTTATTAACGACTTTTAATGGTTCAATTTAAATAATGATTAACTTAGTGGATAAAAGACTTTTTAAATAAGACGACTGACATCTTGAGTTTGAACGAAAGCTGATTAAATTTTTTTTTTAGGTGGAACTGAAAACCTAAAATTTTCAGAATTCAGAGGAAAGAGTCAGAACTTTGAGTAAAGACGTTTTTTTATTTTCCAACTTTTTACCTAAATTTGGACTTCTTCCTCTGATTTCTGTCTTTCATTATATTTCTCCTCAGACTCTCTTTTATTAGGATTTAAGGTTCTTTTTCTCCAGAATTTTGACAAAAAATTCAGAATTATGAGGTTTTTTTTACCCAAAAATTCTGACTTGAATTTCCCAGAATATTTTGATCAAAGTCGGGATCACGTCCTCATTCTTCCATCTTGTTTCAGTGTTAAGACTTTTTCTGAGTCCTGAATTTGTTTTCTCAGACTTTCCCTTTTTTTTTTTTTTAATTCTGACCCATTTTTCTGACTTTAGACTTTTCTTTTGACTTTTTTTCACTTTGCTTTTTTTCTAAAATTTAATTTTTTCCTTCAATTTCCTTCAATCTTTTCCTCTGAAATTCAACTCTCATCTTGATATTTAGTTGTTTTTCTCTGAATTCTCAATATTTCCAAATTTTTGACTCATTTCAGGATTTTGTACTTTTGCAGAAATGTTCAACGACAGGAAGAATTCTGACTTTTCCTCAGATTTCAGACTTTTCCCGGACAGAAAACCATATATTCAAGTATTCTATTTAATTTCCCTTCAGGGACCAATAAAGTCATCTATCTATCTATCTATCTATCTATCTATCTATCTATGTTATTAGTGTAAAATGTTTTTACTGACTCTGTGCGATGTCTACTTTTTAGGTTATAATCTAACATGAACTCATCTCTGATTTCTCTCTTTCTGATTTGTAGGCGAAGTACCTCGGTCATGATCGACTGGCCCAATGTGACAGAGTCCGGCTACGAGGAGCTGGGCCAGAACCCCGAGGAGCTGCAGAGGTCCACATGTGTCCTGGGCTTCTTCCCCGTCATCTACTACAGTATTCTGCTCTGTGTCGGAGTTCCAGGTAGACCCTCATTTTCAATTTCTGCCTCTGAATCCAACTCTGTTGTTCTGTAATTGACTTGGAGGAATATTTTAAGGTCAGAGTATCAAGTGAAACGCTCTCCATGATTTTATTAGGATCATTCTCACTGAGCCGCAGCCTCAGTGTAAAGCGAGCGGTTTGAGTTGATATCTATTTATAAGGGAGAGCGAGGAGCACACAGAGAAATCAATGAGCGAGTGAATTAGAGGAGCATCATGGTGTCCTAATGGACCTGAGAGGCGGTTCATCACTGGAGCTGTCGGCAGCTCCTCTCGCAGGATAATCGAATAATCAGATTATTGTGGGATCACTCTGTTTGAGTTTATTAGAGCGAACTCATCCAGAGACTTCTCAGGACAAAATCCAAGATAAGTTCATAATAATTAAAGTTATCGTCACTGTGAGTCCTCTCTCATTATCGTTGTTTGTCTTGGAGTCGGTGACGGTGTTTGGTATTGATCCAGCAGGGATTTAGAGTGAGTGTTGATCAATAAAATCTTCGGACAGATCTTTTAATTATCCCCACCGGGAGTAAACACAAAGAGAGTCGGAGTAAACGGCTGTTTCGCCTGAATGATCCGCAGAGCAGCAGAACAATCATCCTGCTGTTTTTAAAAATTGATTACTGTAAATGAAAGAACCCAAACTGAATGATCTGCTGCAGGAAAGAAAAATCAATAGTTTGTAACTTAAACCGCTGAGTCGGCGTTTTTCTGCACCAAAACCTTGAAAAGGTTCAGTTATGTAATCTCGCTGACCACGGCGACATCAGTGAGCGTCTCGGGCTTCCAACACAGATACAGATTCTTTTACACAGTCCTGTAGAGTCTACTTGGGGAAACGGCGCTCAGGGCGACGTCTTTATTCCAGAGTTTTTCAACGTTTTTTGAAGCACGGTGCATTTTTTACATCGACAAAATCCTGGGGCACACCACCAACCAAGATGACACTCTTTAGCCAAACACAGTTTATATTATAGAATGTAGGGATGCACTGAAATGAAAATTCTTGGCCAAAACCAAAAATGAGGAAAAAAGACCAAAAACCAAAAGAAATAATTACGCCAATTATTAGGACCATTGCATTTATGGTGATGACTGTGCACTAATCTTACTAAAACTTACTTTTACTTTACTTACTTTTAATTTATGCAATTGCAATGTGAGTTTTGAGTTCTGAGTGGATTACACCTTGAGATGGCGCTTGTGAGTCAGGGACAAAAACAACTCAAAAGCTGTTGTGAGCGGTAGAGACGCGGCGAGAACAAAAAGTAGTGTCAGTAAATTTACTGTCAAGCAGTCGAGAGCGAGAGCCGAGCATGAGTCTGAAATGTTGGTTTTTGTTAAATCGATAAAAGTGAGAAGAAGTGAAACTTGCCCCAGCGGCTGCAACATCCGGCGCAGACAGAGTGGGCGTGCTCGGAGGGGTTTTCCCGTTCCGTGCCGCGTTCATCTCATATTCAGAACGGTGATCGGGATGTTTGAATATCAGGTGATAAATTAAACCCGACGTGAAGAAACTCTTTGCAGATGCACCTTCTCTTGAGATATTAGCAATAAATGCTATGCTAGTCACCATTCGTAGTTCTGAGATACATAGTAACACGTCCACACCGCTGACATTTTGGCTCTTATCCAGACAAGTGCGTACTCTTCACGGTTTTCGCTTGTGTCATCACAACATCTGTTTCGTCCGAAAACCAAAAACGCACTTCTGAGCAATTTTCAGTGGCCAAATTTTCGGTTTCTAAATTTATAGCTCACTTTATAACCACGCAGACTTTCGGCAATGAGGTATTATTTGCAAATTGGATAATTTCCCACGGCACACCTGATGATCTTTAGCGGCACGGCACACAGATTGAAAATGACTGTATTATTCGCCACCACGCCACGGTAAAGCGTTGACCAGCTCAGACTCTTCTTGAACGTTCATTTAAATTTGATTTTTTTCTCCATTTTACTCTTTAAATCTTTAAAACTTTCTTTGTTTTGTCTCTTTTTCCGTCAGTGAACATCCTGACGGCGGTGGCGTTATCCAGACTGGCGTGCCGCACGAAGAAAGCTCTGTACTACTACCTCCTGGCGGTGACGGGCTCGGATATCCTCTCTCAGCTCTTCATCATCTTCGTCGGCTTCCTCTTAGAGACCGCGGTATTCCACCGGGACGTCCCCGCCCTCCTGCTGCACTCTGTCAGCGCCGCGGAGTTCGCCGCCAACCACGCCTCCATCTGGTCCACCGTGCCCCTCACTGTGGACCGCTACGTCGCACTGTGCCACCCCCTCCTCCACCGCCAGATCAGCTACCCGGCGCGGGCGAGGAGGATCATCGCGGCGGTGCTGATGTTGTCGCTGTTGTCAGGTGTGCCGTTCTTCTGGTGGTCGGACATGTGGAGGAACAGCCACCCGCCCACGGCGCTGGACACCGTCCTTATATGGACGCACGTGACGATCATCTACTTCCTGCCGTGCAGCATCTTCTTAGTCCTGAACTCTCTGATCATCCACACGCTGAGGGTCAGGCAGAGGCAGCAGCGTTTCGAGGACGACTGCGCCTCCAAGTTGGCGCCTCCTCGTAGACTCGGGAAAACGACGGCGATGCTCCTGGCCATCACCTCTGTGTTCTCCGTGCTGTGGGCGCCCAGGACCGTGGTGGTCATCTACCACCTGTACGTGTCCTCGGTGCACAGCGACTGGCGAGTCCACCTCGCCTACGACTTATCGAACATGCTGGCCATGCTCAACACGGCCGTGAACTTCTTCCTCTACTGCTTCGTCAGTAAACCTTTCCGTGGCGCCGTGCGGGAAGTCGTGCTGCTCAAAGGGGGTCCGCTGTACCCACGCCGTGCTATGCCTCCGCAGCACGCCCCCACCAACGCCTCCATCTCCTCGTTGTACAGTGGGAACAACAAGCGCTCACAGCGGGACTCCGCTCCCTTGTCACCTCACGGCGCTCGAAAGCCCTCGTGACCCCGCGCCTCTTCCTCCCTTTAATCAAAAACACCCGTCATCCCACGGTCCCCGAGCAACTCTGACCCCAGGGACGCACTCTGCGTTCCCGCCATGACTGTGGACATCTGCCAGCGGGCCCCGGGTCTTTCTCAGAGGGCCTCAGACGAACTTTAAAGACATTTGTTCGTTTCGTAACGTGTCAGCTGGTGTTTTTAGTTCGTGTAAATCAGACGAGACGACAACATATTTATTTTTCTTAGAAGAATTTGACCAAATAAAAGTCGTTTTTTTTTTATATCTTTGTTTTTTCCAAACATGGTCGCCAAGTCAGGAGATGTTTTTATAGAGTTATAAGATTTACACAGCTGTACGAGCGAAAAGGGGTTTGAATTCATCGAGAGAAAGCAAACGTGACCTTGGATTGGTGCAAATTTTCTGGTCGTGACCTTTCTGCTGCCGAGTCTATTTTAACTTCTCTAAAAAAGCAGCAGCGAGGGAGAAATCAGAGCTTAAATCACGGCTGTCTGCTGTTTCTGCTTTTCTGTAACGACGCTGAACGCCCAAAAGCCAATCTGCTTTTTCTGAGCGCGGCCAATCGAGCAAAGAAATCGCACTCTGCGCTCCCAGACACAAAAACCCACAGCTGCTAAAGCGGAGTGTTTATTTTTCATGAAATTCAACTGGATGGAGCCTGAAATGAAAGCTCGCTGTCGGAGCGGCGGGAGTGAAGACCCCGCTCTTTAAACAGCCCCTCCGCTCCATCAGCGGCACGGCGCGGCCTCTGCCTAAACAAACCTCAGATTAGCCTGATGGTGTGCACAAACACACACTGAAACTCACACACTGTCAGGCGTGCAGCGACGCTGACACACACACACACACACAGATGTCAGCTGGTAGATTTCCATCTGCTCTGACAGGAACCCTGACTAAAATATGATGAAATGACGTATTTTTAGCTCGTTTTAAGGTTTTAGAGTTGAATTAATAATCCGACGCTGACGTGTTTACATTCTACATTTTTGATTAGCGCCCTCTGGAAAAGTGAGTACGACTTTTCACTTTGTTTTCCTCTCTAACGGCTCGTCATGTGAGGCTAGTTTAGACCTGAATGTGGTCCGTTTACCTGGTGCTGTGGAGTCCAGAGTGAGGTTTTAACATTTGTGGTAAAGTCTGAGATTTGTCGGTGCTTGTTCGGTGTCTGGAGTTGTAATTGTTGAATTTTAACCCAGTTAATGACAAACTTTCATGTATCTTTGATCTTTTGAATTTTGGGGTCTAAAAACACATTTTAACTTGAAAAACTTATTCAGTGTGTCATAAGAAGATGTAATTTAGATGGAAAAATATCATACTAAAACTCATTTCTACTTTCTATTAAAGAACCTGATTAAAGCTCCTGTGAGGAACTTTTGGTTTGTGTCCACTCTGGCGCCCCCTGTGGACAAGACAGTCACTTATATTATAAAAAGATTCATCCAACTAAAGTCCGTTCAGTCTGGTCATTTCATGTGAAATTTGTGAATTGTGTTTTTAATATCATGAAAAATCATCGTTAGGAATTTTGGTCCATTTCACTAACATGGAAAAACTCCTCACAGGAGCTTTAAAAAAAATAAAAATACATACAAAATGTGGATAATATGTAATATGTTGTATGTTTCTTACAAGAAAGTGGTTTTTAAAATGGGCAGAAATGATTTCAACAACTGAACCAGTTAAACACTTAATCTTGACACTGAAATAAACTTTTAGAAACTGTGAAAGTGAACTTTGTTTTGCACAGATTTTTGAGATGTTAGCTCGACTTTTAGTTCGTCTTGGACAGAAGATATTCTCTGAAAAAGTTTAATAAAAAGTTTTGAAAAATAAAGAAAGTTGTTTTGATAATTGTTGTGAAGGTTTTATGTCTGAAAATTTACTTACAGTCACAAAACTCTGCTAAATATACACATATACAACTGAAAAAAGGTGTGAGAGTTATAACTGGTTAATAATTTACTTTCTCCTCCTGAAATAAGGAGCAGCTCTAAAAACAGATATTTCTTGCCTGAAGGTGGGACTAAAAATGACACTTGAATGTTTTCACAGAACCGTCTGGAGCTCCAGAGAGCAGCAGGAAGTTGTGAAAACGGTGGGAAATAACCACAATCTGCTTCTCAGGCTTTTTAAAGATCACTGATTCACACCTAAAAGCTGCAAATTAAGATTTTTACACTCATTTACAGAGAAAATAACGACACAGTAGATGGGATGTTCAGACATGCCCAGAATAAAACATCACCATAGTGCTTCACTGAGGAGCTGTAAGCCGACTTCAGTCTGATATTTATATGGATTAGTTTCAGAGCTGCAGGTTTCAACAAGCTCAGACGCTGCTGCAGCTCAGGACTTCATTAGCGCCTCTGAAACTGAAAATCAGGTTCTGTTTCTCAGATATTTATGTGAAACCGATGAACTGATGAACACGAACACAACTGATGCTAACGTTAAAGAGTTTTTACCAAATAGATTTTCTTTATGTTTGTGTGAACCATGTATAACAAACCACATTATAACTGAGCTTTCTTACCAATCACCGGCTCTGATTGGCTAAAATCACCCTAGCAACTGTTGCTAATTCTGAACAACTAGACCGACACCAGAGACGACCTGATTGGACATGAATAAACACGTGGATAAAGGTCATAATTTCACCTCTCGAACAATCACATTTGTGCCCATGTGGCAAAAATGTGATTGTTCGATAGTGTTAGCGAGGATTGTTAAGGATGAAAGAGACATCAGCCAAAGTGAAGAAAACAGACAAAGCACTGCAGATCGAACGCTAACCCGGGATTTTATCTACCCTTTGACCCTAAAAGAGAGTCTTCCTGTATCCTCACAAACATGCTTTAACTCCTAACATGTCCCTCTCAGGGTTTAGATCCGTCCCCCTCTGACCACCCATCCAGGTTTAAAGTCCCCGATGTGAGCCACCTGTGATCCCTCCCCTCTCCCCGCTCCTCTTCGTGTTTACTCTAACAGTACGAGTCGCCGCGTCTCTCCCCCGAGTGTCCCTGAGTCCGTCCGCTCTTGTCGCCCTGCGGTCGTCCCACACTGAGTTCTGAGGGAAGCAGAGTCCAGACCGTTCTTTGAAGACGTCCCCCGCTGCCTCACAATAACAGAGGGGGGCGTGTAGCAGCGGCGTTCTTGCACTGGTTCGAACGGCGGGGGTCAGAGAGATGACTGTATAAACATTGAAGGCGGTAATGTGATGCTGGGATGGAAGAGCAGGTTTGATTAAAGTTTAATGAAGCTTTCGCACATTTAGAGGAGAGGGGGCGGAGCTTAGAGGTGAACTCCTGCAGCCACACGTCCTCTCTGCTCGCCACCTGGCCTTTGTTTCTGTTCAAACACTCGGTTATATCTGCAGACTCTCAGCAGGTGTGAGAGAGAGAATGAAAAGACCGGACACCAGAGAGAGAGAGTGACGAGCGGCCAATCAGATGAGAGGATGTCTAAATACAGGAAGGAGAGGGGCGGCGGTCGAACCCTGACAGATGTGAGGAAGACGTAAGACTGTGTGATAGAGAGAGAGAGAGAGAGAGAGATGGACGGACGGATGGATGGATGGACAGCGGATGGACAGATGGATGGATGGATGGATGGATGGATGGACAGCGGATGGACAGATGGAAGGATGGATAAAGTCTGATTCAGTGGTATAAGATAAAACAGCTAAAATGAGATGAGGTCAGATTAAATGTGACTGAATTGGATTTAAAAGATCAGATTAGGTGAGATTACTTTACATCAGATTATATTGAATCAGATTTGATCAGATTAGACTATTTGGATTAAAATCATTGAATCAAAATCATAAAACTGGATTAGTATATATTTGAATAAATCTGTTTCAGTTGTATTAAACTTGATTTAATGATTAGATTAGATTAGATAAAATAAAAAAAAATTCAGATTAGATTAAATTACATTATGTAAAATTACAATAGATAATATAAAATAAAATAAGATTACATTAGATTTCAGGTTAAATTAGATTAGATTAGATTAAATTACATTACATTTCATAACATTAGATTAATTAAAATATCATAAGATAAAATAAGATTACATTCAATTTCAGATTAAAGTAATTTAGATTAGATTAGATTACATTACATTACTTTCTTAACATCACATTTCATAAGATTAGTTTAAGTTTTGGATTATATTAGATTAGATTAGATTAGGTCAGGTTAGATTAGTCTAGATTAGATTAGATCAGGTCAGGTTAGATTAGATTAGATTAGATTAGATTTCGATGCAGTGTGGTGATGGTTTTTGGACAGAGACTGTCCATGAGTCTGTCGGTGTGAACTTTGATGGATTTATAGCTCTTCCTGGGATTAGAGGGTTAAACAAGTTATGGGAAAGGAGGATGAGATTGGTGCTTAAGGATGCAGGAAGTCATCTGTAGACAGCAGGAAGTGTTGCTGTCATCTACAGGAGGCGGACATGTATTGATAATATTCTGGGCTGTGTTTATGACCCCCTGTAGGGCTTTCCTGTCCCCCACTGAGCTGTTTCCAAACCAAACCAGGATCCAAAGAGTCAATATGCTTCCAGTGGAGCAGCAGTTTAAAGACACCAGCAGTTTGGACTTCCTGAGAGTTTTCATGTCAACGATCACATGACAAACACACTCTTATTTTACTAAAGCTGCGAGATCTCCGCTCTCTGCTTCTGCTCACGTGCCGCACTCACATTCTCAGCCTCAACATCCACCTGCACGCTCATACTAGAGGTTTAAGACATTATCTCATCGCTCCACAACGTCTGCATGAAAAAGAAAAACTGTGGTGAGGATGGAGCCAAGTCTCGAAAACACAAACAATGTTCTTCTTCTGCTGCTGCAATAAACAGTCTAAAGCGTAAACATGAGCTGTCTCTGTGAGTTCAATTCTGTGCGACCTGCGCTTTATTTCTCCTTGTTCTCCTCCAGAGACGCTCTGCTGTGGTTGGGATTCTGTATTTTTGAAGATGCTGCAGGATCTTTAAACATTGGGGTAGAAATCTTATCTTGTTTGCACATCATGGAGCAGATAGTCCTGCAGAGAGGTCGGACTGTCATGATTTTATCTCTGCAGAGCCACAGAATCAAGATGCTCTTCACCAGAGTGCTTTTTCTCTAATGTGTGTCTGGAGTTTTGGTTCAAGGAGACGGTAAATCAGTCAATGAGAAAAGAAACTCTGAAACCCCCACAGAGGAAATGATGTGAAAAGAGACATGATGATCGCTGGAGGTCAAACTCAGATCGTAGAAGCAGATCTGACATCCCAGAGAGAAAGAAAAATTAGCTCTAATAAAAATAAAAAAGAACTCCTGAATCTGCAGGACTGGATCAGAAAGACTGAGGAGCGACAAACTGGATTATTTATCAGTCTGAGGAGATGAAAATAAAGAGTCCAAACATGAAGCGAGATCATCTACTCTGATCAGACGAGGCCTTCACAGAGAGAAACGAAGCAGGAAAAATCAGCTCTGTGAGTGAGAGTGAGGGGACACAGGAGGAGCGAACTCTGCAGGACTGCAGCTCCTTTAATCATTGACAGGAAACTCAAACACACAAAAATCCTCACCTGTTATATAATCAACACTAACGCAACAAAAATCATCAAAAAGAACCAAATTAGAGTGAATAAAAAGCTTTGTTTCTTTTTTGGAGAAGACATTATTGCCTCATAAAACCTCTTTTCGTCATGTTCGTCAAGGTTTTATTTTACGCTTTTATTGCTTTTATTTTGGAGCATAAGCTACTGTAGGTAGATCTAAAACTGACTGAGTCTGAATGAAAACAGTGAAAAGAACGGTCAGAAAGTGTAAATGTTTGATTTAATTGATTTAAAACTTAAGTTAGTGAAGTTGTTTTAGATCCACTAAAAAATCTTGACATATTATTATTATTATTGTTGTTGTTTTTGTTACTATTAATATTATTATTTTTTAAAATTTATTATTATTATTATTATTATTATTATTATTATTATTATTATTATTATTATTATTATCATTATTACTAATGTCAGACCTATATAACTGAAACTCAAACAATATTACACATTGATTAATATCACAATAATCAGTTCATGCAACATTTGACTTAAATTAATCATTTACCATCCAAGTGTATTTAAAAAATTATGTGTTTGTAATTTACTCTCAGACTGTGTTGTTGGTGTTTTCCTGCTCTTTGCTGCCCCCTGTCTGCTGATGAAGCTCCCTGACCTGCTGCCTGATTTTTACCATTTTTCACCGCTAGATGTCCCCACAGACACGCACACTGTTTTCACACCGCACTGAGGTGTGTGTGTGTTAGTGAGAGACAAAAGGAGAGAGAGAGAGAGAGAGAGAGAGAGAGAGAGAGAGCTCTGAATCAGTCCTCTGAAAACGCTCCTCGATGATGAGCCTCTCTAAATTTTTCTGAGTTAATTGAGGTGAACTTCCCTGAAATCAGTCTGATCCGGATCTGAAGGACTCTGGGTTGGAGGAGAAACTTTTCAGGGACTTTGGTGTCTGACTTTGGAGGATTTAGGATCACAGCTGCTGTCAGGAGCAGGTGGTGGAGACCAGAGATCAGGACCTGAAGAGGTGAACCCTTCAAATATACAGGTACAGTTTTATTTATTTATTTATATATATTTTTAAGATCAGGGTTGATTTTCTTTACAGATTTAAAAAAATACATGTTTGTGCATATTGAGTAAAAATTTAAGGGTCAATATGTGATTGTAGTTTAATTTAAAGTCTGTTTTTGTCGTTTTAAAAGGAGCAGAAGTGTCTGAGCTGTATGTGTGATGGGACTGAAGTTCAGGTTAACATTTATACACTTGGACTTGAGAGATCTTAAATATGGATGAAAATGAGGGAATAGGTTGTATGATCCACTTTGCAACTGTTAAAATTGTCTAAAAACACATATTAATGAATCTAGATTAAATATTAAAGGATAAATCTCGGCGGTTAAACATGAAATCCTAATTTTCAGTCATTTCATCACATGATTTATGCTGTTTAAGACAAGAAACAAACAAAAAACTTTGAGTCAGTTTGTTGCAAACTGATTAAAGCTCCCGTAAGGATATTTAAGTCTGTGTTGATTTTGGTGCCCCTAGTGGACAAAGATGTAACTCTTATATTGTTGTTGCTGCCTCTTGCTGTCTTTTTTACTGTGAAATTATCATTTAGTGTGAGTTTTCTGTTTCTCCTATGTTGTACCCCTTTTTCAGAAGTTACAGGTGTTAAAAATCAGTTTCTCACCTGTCAGTCTGTCTTATTGGACTCATTTGGTTTAAGACGTCATAGGAAAGCGTCTCAGTCAAATTCACAATCAATCAAAAACTTTTCAAAGGAGCTTTAAGGAAACTAGATATCAAACCTGAAACTCTGCCACATTATACAAAATCACATTTTATCTACATTTTCTGAAGATTATTGGGACTTTTTTGAAGGACAGGGTGAGAGACGGAGTTAGGGTTCAGGTTAGGAAGAGAACCACAGGTTGGACGAGGACCTGAGTCTGCCGTCTCTTTACATTAAGACAGTTTTTGAGATGATGCCTGAAGGCCGAGCTGTAAGAATCAAAGATGTTTAACCTATAAGACTTTTTCTTTCCTCTTGATAGACCTCACATCAGTGTTGACTCACAGTTTCAATAAGAAATAAAAGAAATAAAAGCCTGACGACTTCAGGGCAGTGAGGATGTTTGACCTCAGAAACAGCCAATAAATCAACATCTCTGCAGTTTTCAGGGAACTTGAGATTGTCCAGATTCTCACAAAGACTCGTTTTAAGGTCGTCTTTGTCGTTTTCTAGGAATCAGCTGTTTCATTTTATGGCGATCAGAGTAATAAGTGACATCGATCAGTTGAGAGAAAAACAGGATCTGGACGAGGACAGATTCATGTCTTTGTTCCAGAAAGATCCTCTCTCTGATTGAGTCACAGGAGTTGGAGCGGTTGAACGTCTGCCACCACGTTTCTATCGATCTGGCTCAGAGACCGTCCTCTGTTCAGAGTAATTTAATCTGACAGGGACAAAAAGAGACATCCGGACGCAGCAGAGAGACTAAACTGGGACTGTGAGGACTCTTTATTCACAGAGCAGACTGAGCTGCTCCCTGATTCGACATTTCTCTGTGAATAATCTCTCTTTCGCTCTTTCACCTCATCGATTCGATGTACAGGAACAATATTTGTCCTCAGAGCTCATGAATGATTAACGTCGGAGTTTCTCTCGTGTTCGTGGAGCTCCTCTCATGCACAGATTGATTCAGAGTTTTTATGTAACATCATTTGAAGGTAAACGTTGAGGACAAAGGCGTGTTGATGGTCGAAGGTGTCGCTGTGTGTTTACTGACTCATGCGGCGTATCATTTGCTCACTTGGGTGTAGACTACAGTATCATTATCCGGCGTTTGTGACGTATTTGAGTCGTCGTTAAGATCTGTCCACTCTGGAGAGTTCTCTCAGACTCTGTTTGTCCTTCTGAGCAGGTGCATCAGGATCCGAGCTGAACCCGGGTCCGTCTTCGTGGTCATGGCTGCTAATGTCACCCCTCAGGGTTGCGGCCCTAACTTGGACTCCCTTTATTACAACCTGTGTGATAAGAGCGCGGTGTGGGGCATCGTTCTGGAGGCCTTCGCCGGCGCAGGCATCGTCTTCTCCTTCGTGCTTTTCATCTCGCTGCTGGCCAGCATCCCCTTCACGCAAGACAAGAACCGCAAGACTTCGATCCCCCTGGACGCCTTCTTCCTGGTCTGCACCGCCGGCCTCTTCTGCCTCACCTTCACCTTCATCGTGGGGAAGGACTTCTCCACCTGCGGGTCACGGCGGTTCCTCTTCGGGGTGCTGTTCGGCGGCTGCTTCGCCTGCCTCCTCATGCAGAGCGTGAGGCTGAACTTCCTCGCCAGGCAGAACAGCGGACCCCCAACTTGGGCTTTGTGTCTGGGGGCGTTGGGGTTGTGGTTGGTGGAGGTGGTCATCAACACCGAGTGGTTGATCATCACGGTGGTGCGGCACCCGCTGAGGCCGATGAACGCCACGGACGGCAGCAGAGCCGCAGCTACGACATGCAACATCGCCAATGAGGACTTTGTCATGGCGCTGATCTACGTGATGACCCTGATCTTGGCTGTGGTCGTTGCAAGTCTGGTCGTCATGGGCGGCAAACACAACCAGTGGAAGAAGGACGCCGCCTGTATCTTCCTCACAAGCTTCCTCTCCGTTGGGATTTGGGTGGCTTGGATCGTCATGTACGTCTACGGGAACATGAAGACCGGCGGCCCGTCATGGGACGACCCGACCTTGGCCATCGCTTTGGTGGCGAACGCGTGGGTGTTCCTCATCGTTTACACCATCCCTGAAATCTGCTGTTTGACCGACGAGGAAGAAAACCAGCAGGGGTTCGGGGAGGACCTGTACCCGAACAGAGGAGTGGGCTACGAGACGATCCTGAAGGAACAGAGCTCCCAGAACATGTTCATGGAGAATAAAGCGTTCTCGATGGACGAGCCCAACCAAGGTAAGACATCTCAAACCTTCATTTACATTATTTATTTTAACACACCTGGGACTCAGGACTTTTATCTGCTAACAGCTGATAGCTAAAACCTCTTCTGATGCAGACAAACCCGCGCTGTCTCTCAGGCGTGGCTCGATGTAAAGATCGGCATGTTCCCACACTCCCACTTTGGTCAGTGACGGAATAATCGGAGGGGAGTGTCAGCTCAGAAACACGTCACTTTGTGTTCCTCTGGTTAGTCACTCAGTAACTCCCTGATTACATATCAGACAAAGTCAAACAGGAGTTTCACCAAACTGAGTATCAGGGCTGGAAATAGATTCAAAGTCTCTGCATTGGCTTCCAGTCTCTTTTAGAACTGGTTTTAAGTTTTTTTACTGGTTTACAAAACTCCAAATGGTCTCGCTCCAACTTCTCAGATCTGCTTTTATCATTCGAACCCTCTGATCCTCAGATTTACTCACAGAGGAAGTTTTTTATGATTAAGAGGTCTACCTGAAGACCTGAAGGCGCTTCAGCGTGTCAGTATCAACTCTCTAGTCTCGCCTTTAACAGAGTTTTTCATCTTTTACATTAAGTTTAAACTTTGAGTTTGTTTTGAGACTTAATTAATTACTAGGCATGGGTTATTTTTAGGGCTGCAGCTATCAGATATTTTAGTAATCGTATTCTACCGAATCTTCCATCGATTAACCGAATTATCGGATTAAACATGATTTTTAAAACAGTGACGATTTGAGTTTACAAACGAGAACTTCAGGCAGAGAAAACTCCTCCATCAGTTTTTGGAATTGTTTCAACACGAGTTATTTTACGATTTAAACTTTTGTTTTAGAAAGTCACAGTTTTTCAAGAGTGTCCCGGCCTTTAGCCTAACTGTTCGACAAGTCGCTAACCTCGAGTCACTCAGGTAACCAGGAAGCTAAACCCTCCTCAGGTGACCATCACAGGAAGAGAGAAGCACCTTTTGAGGACAGATATTAGTGCGTAAACATTAAAATAACTGGATTAACACAACATTATTGGGATTATTTGATCTTCCTGTATCAACTTTAGATTTTAATCTTTAAATCAGTTTTATTTCTTTTATTATTTTTGATTTTCAGGGAGTCTCAGCCAAAAAAGAGTCATATTTCCCTGTCGAATCTCCTCAAAAGGTTGTTTTTGCATCTTTGTGATGACCCCACAGAATCTGAGACGCGGCTGTTAAAGTCCTGATGCTGCAGTAAAAAACAGAAAAACAACAGATCCAGAACACGGAGCGCAGCGGTGTTTTTCCTCTCAGGTCCAGGCCGATCATTAGGAGAGCCGGTGGTTAAGATGGAGGTAATCATAGAGGACGAGGTGGAGAGAGGCTGTTAGAGCTCAGGGAGGTTTTTTCACTCTCTACTGTATCTGAGCGTCTGAATTTATCAAACATTCATCTGTGTTCACCTTCATCCAGTCAGGTTGTCCCAAAATGGATCAGAGAAAGCAACACAGTCGAACTCTGAGACGACACAGAAAAAATATCAGCGTAAGATGCTCTTTTAAAACCTCGATTCATAGTCTGAAAAGCTGCAAAAATACCTTTTATATAGTTCTGGACTCCACAAACAGAGTTAAACTAATAAAAATAAGTCGATTATGAACTTAAAGGTTTACAAAAAAACAAGTAAAAGTTTGAAGTTTTGAACATCAGAAGAAACTTTTGCACCAAATAGTAAAATCGATTCAATTTGAAACGTCGACGAATTTCCGTTTTTAACAACATGCTTCGACACAAATACACTCCTATAAATCAGGACTAATTAATGTGAGTCTCAGGTACGAACACTGACAAACTTTCACTACATTAGTTTAAGGTTAAAGTCAGTATTTGTTAGTGTCCAATTTTCTCCATACTTGTTCTTATTGTCAGGTTAGGAGTCTGAACCAGTCCTGAGGCAGAAAACCGTCAGCTTTGAGTCAGGTGATGTTTCAGTAAAACCTCCTAAGTCTCCACGTCCTTATTGGTCGCTGTCGTCGACCTGCGGCGCCTCATTGAACATCTCTGATGAGCGCTCCAGCTTTAACCAGTCAGTCTGTTCACATTTAAACCTGATAACTGAAAACATCACGATCAAACCTGAGCGTGAAATGAGAGCGAACGTTTGTGTCGACCTGATGGAAAACTAAAACTCTAACATGACAGTTTTTAGTCGTCTGGTTTCAGCTCGAACGTCATGACAACCCTCAAAGTGAACTTAGAGGTATCTCTCTGTATCGCCTTTGACCAATCGATCAATAATAGTAACATTGACGACCTTATCAGACGCCTGAACACGCCGTTCTCTCAGAGTTTAAGTCAACACTGAGAGGGAACGTCACTCTCCTCTGAATCAGTCCTGTTAATGAGTTTCTAACACACACACACACACACACACACACACACACACACACACACACACACACACACCCTAATCTGCCTCTGATTCCCACCAGAAACATCACATCCTGTGTTTGCATTGTCTCCATGGCAACCGGGGTGTGGCAACAGTTTCATCCAGGGGAAATGTTTGACATCAGGCGACTGATGAGGAGGTTTTAGAGGACGGCCCTGAAGATAACCCCGAGGAAGCTGATTGGTTAACAGTGTCTTTGGTCTCTGTTTGTCACAGGGTCCAAACCCGTGTCCCCGTACAGCGGCTACACGGGTCAGCTGAGGAGTTCGGTCTACCAGCCCACAGAGCTGGCCCTCATCACCAAAGCTGTGGGAAACGTGAGTGTGTGAATGAAACACAAACACACACACACACACAAACACACACAAACACACACACAAACACAACACACAAACACAAACACAAACACACACAAACATCCACCTGTATCCTGTCGTATGTAAATAATCACTGAAACCAAAGAGATCAAACTGAAACCTGAGCGGGACAGTTCTCAGGAAGTTTGTCACTTCTGTCTGTTCGACCTCAGAAAGACGAGATGATACAGGAGATTCACTTAAAGGGACATTCTGGTGTAAAATGAAGTTAGTGTCAAACACACCGAGACACTGAGATGAATGTTGTCGACCGCAGATACACAGCTGTCTGAGGAGCCCTAAACAAACCTCACCTCGCTGTGGTCTGTATTTCTATCCTGTAGTTTTTACTAAAGTTTGTGTAACTAGAGAAACAAGCGGTCGGCAACATTCATCCGAGCAGAGCAGGAAGTATCGTCTTCTTGTTAATGTCACTTTTGTCGTTTTTATGCAAAAATGTTTCAAGAAGAAAATGTGGGTCACTGCAGGATTTTCCTGTTTCCAGGTTTGACACAGAGTTGACGTCGTTTATCTGATATTTGTTCCTGATATAAAAGGTCTGTCAGTTTGACTGTGGTCTGGTTTTATCAGTATATTTATCTATTTTAAAGTCTGAGATTAGGGAGCAGATCGATCACAAACTGAAGGACTTTAAGGAGTAAAAGTGGAACAAATCTTAAAATATCAGAAGTTAGTTTGAAGTTAAAGGTGTAAAGTGACCCTGAGAACCTGGTCTCTGGTGGTCCACACAAAGACCAGCTGATCACAGACCCCCTCCCTCTTTCCCTCTTTTCGTCACCGGCTGTGTTATGACTCCACGCAGCACCCCCCGGACACGTCCTTTGACATGGTCATTCCCAGAGCGTCCACCAACTCTGCGGCCGACAGCAGGAGCAGCACCCCGTCCACGCACGCCGCGGAGAGCGCTCACACTCAGACAAACGGAAACAGCGTAGGTCGTACCCTGACCTCCTCCTCCTCCTCCTCCTCCTCCTCAGTTCTTCCTCCTCTCTTTATCTACCTGCTCACCTGCAGAAGCCTCTCTATTCCCCTGACTCTGTGCATGCCGGCCGTTTCCATAGCAACCTCCCCTACAGGTTTTCTCTGAATCACCTCTTTGTCTGGGCGCTTTTTTTCCTAATCTAACCTGGTGGTGTTCAGTCTCTGACTCGGTCTGTTAAATCTGCTCTCTCTCTGGACTCGCTGAACTCTTTTAAAATGATAAAAATGTTTTTGTTTTGACTTTTCGATGTTCAAACGTTTCCTCAAAAACTTTATTATCAGTCAGTGAACAGAAAACTGTCGTCTCCGGACTTTAGGGTGGCTTTGAAAAGTTCTCAGCAGGTTCTCTTTTTGATTGATAAGATTTGCTCCTCAGTAAAAAGAAAACAAGCGTCTAACTTCTCAAAGCCCCTCTCAGGAGTTTCCTCGTCATGATCTGTCTCGACTGAACCCCTCGTGTGTCTCTCCTTCTGCAGGGGAATGGTCTGCATAGGACGTCTCAGTGGTGAACCTGCCGTCCCTCCCTTCACCTCACCACAACAACTTCAGCTCCTCTCTCCACATTTGCACTCGCTGACCGTATGTTTGCCGGTTTCTAAGAGGACCCCTCCGCCCTCTGGACGTGTGAGGGTGATGATCCCGGCCGTTAAACCTCCTTTTGACTGAGTAACTGTGCAGCAGGGTATCAGACAGCGCGGAGCTTCATTTGGAAGTCAAAGCGAGGGGATGAAGCCTCGGCTCTGCTGCAGGACAAAGACTTTTTTGCAACCGTCGACATTCACGAACTCTGAGCTGGACCAAACTCGCAGACGGAGAGACGAACCGTGTGGAAAATAACCGAGGGAAACGGTCGGGTTAAGAAACTCTTTCACCTGATCGCTTATACATCCGTGTAAAAACAATAAACAAACGTCTCTGTAGCCTCACACCGGTGGAATATTCCTCACTGATTTGCAAAATGACAAGGAAGCCTGATACAGAGGACATACGTGCATGATCTAGTTTACTGCTACTCTATATATGTCGCTCATAAGCACAGATGTCATCGAGAAAAGAGAGCGACAGGTGTTGAATCATGTAAATATGTTTGTAGACTGCATGGAAGCTCTGTATAAATCTGTATATACTGTCTGGTGAATCTATTTATAGCACTACGGTGTGCTATTTAATCACTTTATCAATGAATCAATAATTAGAGAATCAGCTCGTTTCTGTCGAAAGTGAAGTTTAACCTTCAAATGAAGTAAAAGACGTTTTATTAGGTACCTGCAGAAGCAACAGCAAAGCTTCATGGGAGTTGTAGTTGTTGAATGTCCAGCTTTGAGTGTGTTTTTAACGATGTTTCGCTCACAGTTTCCTTATCCGTAGGCCTCAGAGTCCCGGCGTCGTTTCTGCAGAATCATCAGGATTTTTTTGGGACCTTCACAGAAATATTCAGACAGCGCTCAGATTAAACATCTCAAATTTCAGTGAACAAACTTCAGAAAAAAAAAATCAGTATAGAAGAAATCTTATTTTGGCTTCATCTGGTTGTAACTTTCTGTCAAACTTCCATCTTTTAATTGGCCTCCTCGAACCCGAACCACCACACTTTGGATCTAACATTCATTACATTCATTCAAAAAGAAATGCAAACTGTCAGCACCAACCACTTCTGTCCAAACCAAAGATTTTTTTAAGTCGTTTTCAATCAGATTTTGTTTTTCCAGCTTGTGATTTTCAAAATAAATGTTTTTTTAATGATCTGATGTTTTATTTTTGTTCTGAAACTCTCCAGAGGGACAAACTGCAAAGAACATGACAAGGACACTGGAATCACATTTAATACAGCAGGAGTTTTTTTTTTAAAATGCCTCCGCTCAGATGTGCACGTTTTCGCAAATAAAGCTTCACTTGTGACGTTAAGAGTTTTGTTTATTTCGTGGAAAAGTTTTCTTTACTTCAAATGAGGGTCCAGAGAGTGAGAAAAAACACAGTCAGGTGATTTATGAGCTAAACTCTGTGTCTCTTTAACGGGCTGTTTTCATGAAGTGTGTCCCAGTTCTCACAGTGTGTGTGTGTGTGTGTGTGTGTGTGTGTTTACTCGGTGGAGTCCAGTATCTGTGTGTCAGCTCATCTATTAAAGTGTCAGGGACCAGCTCCTGCAGTCCTGGACCATTACTCAAAAACTTTCAAGGGTAAATGCAGAGAGAGTGTTTTCACAAACGGCTGTAAGAGGTGAAAAAATAACAAATAAATAAAGTCAACTTCCCATCGGGATCGTCACTGAAGGTTTTTATGTAACCATCTCAAATGCTTGATTCTGATTGGACAATACTCTATAGCAACAGTCTGCTAATTCGTAAAAACATATTGTTGCTATAGAAACAACAATAATAATGGACCCCGGCAGACGAATTGTTATATAACTCTGCTGGAAGAGGTCACGTTAATTTGACCTCAAAGTTTTCATGTAACCACTCAAATCTTGATTCTGATTGGACAATACTCTATAGCAACAGTCTGCTAATTCTAAAAAACATATCGTTGCTATGGAAACAACAATAATAACGGATGAATTGTGATATAACTCTGTGTGAAGAGGTCAGGTTATTTGACCCAAAGATTTTTATGTAACCACTTCAAATTGGTTCTAATTGGACAATACTCTATAGCAACAGTCTGCTAATTCTAAAAAAAACATATTGTTGCTATGGAAACAGCATTAATAATGGGCCTAGGTAGACTAACTGTGATATAACTCTGCTGGAAGAGGTCATGTTAATTTGACCTCAAAGTTTTCATGTAACCACTCAAATCTTTGATTCTGATTGGACAATACTCTATAGCAACAGTCTGTTAATTCTAAAAAGAATATCATTGCCATGGAAACAGCAATAATAATGGATAAATTGTGATATAACTCTGCTGGAAGAGGTCACGTTAATTTGAGGTGGGAAAAAGAGAAAACTTCCACAGAAGTCACATTTATACACATACACACACACGCACACACACACACACACACACACACACACACACACACACACACACACCCCTGATCCCAAATAAGATATATAGCTTACATATATATTTATTGAATTGTATTACATATAAAATTTATGAAAAGGTGTGAATATGTTTTTATTTGTGGCTCAGTGTTTTGGTAGTTTCCTGCGCTTTTTGCAGACAGCCTCGAGTGGACACTCTTGGAACTGCAGTTCATAGATTCGGCTTCATTTCTCTAGTTTGCTTCTCTCAGGAACTGTCACCATCCTTTCCTCGTCCCACACCTTCTCTGATTCCTGTTGAATCTCAAAGTTACCTCGATTACTCGCAGTTACAACATGATTATCTGTTTCAGGATATTATCTAATCTTCGACATGGATTCATGCAAACACACTCAAACACACTCTCTCCTCCTCCTTCTCCCCTCCTGGGCTCATATTTCATGTGTCTCTATTTAACCGGTGCAGGCGCCTGCTGCTGTGGTCAGGAGGCCGGGTCTGTGATTTATGAGCCGAGCGACTGCGGCGGCCTGATAACCTCTGAGTCTCCTGAGGAGGTGAAAGCAGCTGCTCTATTTTAGGCTCAGCATCACATCACATGTGTTTTTATCAGCGAGTCCCACTTAAGCACGCCGTGTGGAGGCGTTCTAAAACTACTGCAGAGGGACAGATAAGAGATGTGAGGAGACAAATAAGAGAGAAACAAAAATCTGTTTTAGCTTTTACGTCCGGAGGAGAGATCAGACCAGAGCTGATAATGCCCGTCTACAAAAGCTCCGACCAGACTAATGGATCGTTTATTGCATAATGTTTACAGGTCAAGAGAGGACACGCTGATCTTTACTGCAGCTTTTGTTTGTTTTATCTCATGTTGAATGATTATTTCTGTTTAGAGGAGGCGGAGAGATATTTTAGAAAACAGGTCACAGATGTTCCTCTGAGGACTTCTGGAGGTTTCGCTTCATCGCTGTCGCAGGTTGGAAACACGTTCGCTCCATTTCTGACTTCATATCTGAGAGTTCAGTTGAGAACGTTAAAGTCCTGGTTGACGATCTGAGAAGCAGTAGAAAAAAACTGAGCCGTTGAGGCAGATTTTAAAAAAGCGTCCCACCCCCTCACACACAAACCCTGTTTCCCCCTTCCCACGACTCACCCTCTCTGGCAGAAGATCCTACGCTAGCTTCAAATAGGATTCATCATGTCGGATTGTTAGTGACTAGCGGCGGTAAATGCCAGTTCTGCTAGCGAGCGCCGTCTGCAGCTGCCTGGACAGCTACCGTGTTGACATGTCAGAGACTAATAAGAGTTATTTATGTAGCATGAGCCACGATAAAAGGAGATAAAAATGACCTGTTCAACAAAAACTCTGCTGTCTCTGCATCTGTTTTCTCCACCGCTCCAAGGATGACCCCATGTTTATACCAGTTAGATTCCTCGCTTGGTCATATGTCCTCTTCGTCTCCGCCCTTTCTTCTGTCAGCTTGTGTTTTCTTCCCACTTTTGGGGGTGAGGCGAGCAGAAGTGGGTTTTTTGCGTCCTTCTCCATCACAGCTCCTGTAGCTAAGCTGCTACGCTACTTTTAGCCAGGAGAGTGGGAGGGGACAAGTCGGAACTACTGGAGAGGGGTGTGTCGAATACAGCGAGGTGATTGGATGGAGAGGCGGCGCAGGAGATTGACCAATAGGAGCTGTCCGGGATGGATGGCTCCCATTGGTCGGTGTTTTTGCTGCCCTGCACCTGATAGGGTGAACGGATTTTCTCTGTTCTTTTTTTCTCGTCACTTTGTGGAGATCGCACTATAGGACCATGATCGCCATGGAAACGAGGTTCATATTAATTACCAATCGCTACAATCGTCAACCATGCCTTTAACTGTGCTGGATATAAAATCATCTGAAAGCATATTTGAGTTTCTCTGTCTGCTGTTTGCATGTGAATCTTAGTAAACTTCACCTTCTGACGCTCAAACCAATCAGCTGTTTCCCCTGTTTGTCAATCTGTCTGTGAGGTCAAAGGTCAGAGCGCACTCTTTAATTTATGATCAGTGTTGTTACTCAGCTGCAGAATTGTTTTGAGCTCATTTTAGAGTGAGCGAGTGCTCCATGTTTTATATTTGAGGTTACCACGACAACAACAAATCAAACATATTTGTGTGTCGCCTCCCTGATGTCTCAGCGATGTCTCTTCTGGGGGATGATTCGCCGTGATCATGGGAACGTACGCCAGAGCTCAGCTCCCTGGAACAGCAGCGTCAGGAGAGAGAGAGAGAGAGAGAGAGAGAGAGAGAGAGAGAGAGAGACGCCTCATTCGGAGCTAATTGGTGCTTGAAGCAGCGTCTGCATCCTGCTGAGAGAGCAGGTATCTGAGACGCCAGGCGCTTCGTCCAATTAGACAAAAACACAAACAGAGAGCGTGACAGAGCTCAGGAAGAAACCGCAGTGAGCGCCATGACAAGAAGAGAGGCTGAAACAGATCCTTTCATAGTCCTGACTGTAAATACATTCTGTGTTTATGACACATG